GGAATGTCATAAACAAGAAATGCTAGACCAGTCTCCATTCTTTCTAGGTCGTGCTGGGCGTGTGTCTGATGGCAGAGTGTACAGGATGGTCTATAGGAAGTTCTATGAGGAGCACATGCAGGAATATGGCAGACCCGAGATGCAGGTGAAATTTTATTTTCAGAAACAAAACTCAGTCTTCTTTTAGGAATGAGAACTTAGCCTTTTTTTTTTTTTTTGCAACATCTTGGAGCTATAATTTGACTGGATGTACAAAAATTATATACCATATATGCAAAGATATATAGAAAACAAAAGCTGAAACATAGACCTACTAAAGTAGTATTAGTTTTCAAGTAAGATTAAATGTAAAAACATGATTTTTTGATTAAAAATATTTGACAATCATTTTTCAATTTCAGAGGAGTCCACTAGATCAGCTTATATTACAAGTAAAACTGCTGGATCTTGGTGAGCCCAAAGCAATTCTTGGCATGGCTCTCTCCCCACCAAACCTAGATGACATAGAAAGGACCATTTTAATGCTGAAAGAAGTAGGTGAAACTTGCCAAAAATAGCACACCATAGAGAAACTTTGCCTTCTTGTTTTGTCAGTATTTTTGTTGCTAAGATATAGGTTTCATGATGTTGTTAAGAATATGAAGTGGATTTCGGAGTAAATTTTTTATTTAAATTGTATTGTCCAAAAAACAAACATGCTCACATGCATTAAAATGCACACGTACATGCACATCTATTATTTTCAAAAAGCAAAAAAAAAATCATAAATGGTCTTTAACAGGTTGGTGCCCTGTCATCACTGTCCAGTGGAGCGGTCAACCCCCATGATGGAGAGCTGACCTTCATAGGGCGGGTTCTGGCTAGTCTGCCAGTGGACATCAGAATAGGGAAACTCTTCATGTTAGGACATGTGTTTGGATTGCTAGAACAATGCATTATTATTGGTGAGTAGGCATAGGAGAGAATGTTTTTGCTGTTATATAGGCTGGCTTGAGTGGTCATTTCAACCATTTTAAAGCCTTCTATAGTGATGTATTTTGAAGTAAGTATGAATGTGATTTGTAGGTAAGTTTGGATAAAAATTGGTTTGCATTTGATATGAAAGTATGAAAATATATATGCAGTGTGATATTCGCATTTTTCTCATATTTCACTTGGCTAAGAAAATTTCTCTATCTGAAAAAGTTTTTATCTATTACCCAGGTGCTGCAATGTCCCTGAAAAGCTTTTTTGCAAGGCCTTTCAATGCTGATCTCAATGCTTACAAGTGAGAAGTATTTATTACTTAGTTATATAATTCAACAATACAAAATTTTGGAAAAGTTTCAATGTTAGTATCACCTGTTAAATGTTATTGGAGATAAACATTTTTTTAGAATAAAAGTTTAAACTGCACTCAAATATGTTTCCTCAGTTTCTTTGTATTTTAGTTTCATCACATTTTAACAAGTACAAATTGTTTGACATAATAAACACTAAACAGCTGTTTGTTTTCTGCACTAATTATAAGGTCCAGACTTGGTTGGGCAGATGGAAGTTTTAGTGACAGTATTGCTTACCTCAATGCATACAAAGTAAGTTTGTCTTCTATAATTTACAATATCAGCTGCATGTTTGCTTCTAAACATGCCTTAATGATATGAAAATATTTAGAAGAAATAACCATGATGTAAAAAAATTGCTGTTTTTGTTTTCAAGCAATTATCCTGTGATTTATTTGCCCCAGAGATGGGAGAGCAATGATATAATGTGAAATTTGTGCAGTGAATTAAAAGCAAATTCTTGTCTTTTAGACATGGGAGTCTAACAAGCAGGATCCATATTCAGGATTCAAGGGGTTAGTAAGTAGAGAGCAGCAGTGGTGCAAAAGTCAGTTCATTCAGATCCGTAGAATTGCTGAGGTAGCCACACTGGTCAAGGAGTTGACTGACCGTCTGGCCAAATTCAACATACGCATTCCTAGAGGCAGGCACAGGTTGCCACCAAATCCTGGACAGGATCTGCTGATACTTAAGGTTTGCTGCTTTTGAATGTGGTCTGGTCAAACTTCATGTAAATCTAGAAAAAAGAAAATTGGTATTAGCCTTTCTTATCTTTAAAACTGTGATTTGCCAAATAGTTTAAATTTTATACATTCCTCGTTCTTTTCTACTGTAGGTGAAAAATAAGTGATTTGATTTCTATAAAGAATTTTGAAAAACATTTGAACAAAGGTCCTTCGTGACTCATACTGAATACTGAAGGTGATAATTTACATGAGATGATATATGCCTGATTGATAACAACATAAAATATAGATATTAAAATCAAATATATGGATTTAACTTATTTTGTCATTTGTAGGTGGTGATTGCTGGTGCATTTTATCCAAACTATTTTATCAATGGAGCCAGTGATGAACAAGATGCTATTCGTAGCATGTCTGGGAAAGATCCATGCACCACTGTCATGGTGAGTGAAATGCAGGTTACCTCTTCAGTTGGAAGAACTTATGAAGAATAACTTCACTTGCAGTAGTAATCTAATGGGAATCATTCAAAATAGTCCTGCAAATAAGCAAACTTTTGAAGTATTTGGAGGACAGTAATCCAAAATGACGACAGACTAGCAAGTACAGTGCAGCAATAAATAGATATTGACAGAATTTATACATGTTAAATTATCTGGTTGTTTTCTTAAGTTCAGTCAAGTTGCAGTTTATCAGTACGAAATCAACATGTTTTGCTTGCCATTTATGTATTGCTTTCTAAAATGTCATTCTTAGTGTTTAGAGTTTTACCCCATTTTGGCAGTATAGAAACTTTTGCCAAGAAAGTAAAGTAAAAATAACAAAGAAAATCCACAAGGCACAAGGATGACAAAACTAAGATTAAGTGAACCATATCATTTTAGGTCAAGAATCTTCCAGCCAATCAGGGTGCTTTGTACAAGCATGCTATAGAGAACTTGTTTATGTGTTGTGGAAAGAGACCTAAGGTGCACTTTGAAGAAACCAAGGCATATATAGAGTTTGAGAGAGATCCCAATTCTTCACAGACACAGCTTATAGAGCCCCCAGTCTATGTGGCTTTGAAGTTGAAGTAGGTTGATGGATGCTTGGTCATGTAAAAGTTTTTCTTTTTGGTATTTATTCAAATATGGATTGATACAATCTTTTGAGCTTTGGAGCTTTATTTTCAGGTAATTTTTTATGTCATGACACATAATGTGTCAAACTTATATGTGTTTGTAACACCTTATGTCTCCAGGGTATTATTGCAATGCTTTAAACTACTCCAGTATTGAGGGGAAAGAAAATTGGGTAGACTTGGCTTAGTCAGAAAAGAGGGAAATGAATATTTTGAGGTTGTAGTGTTATGATTTTTGCTTGGGTGAAAGTTTTCAGGATTATGCCTGATATCAGGATTTTCAGTCTTCAATTCTTCATTTTAATGTTTTTTTTTTTTTAAATGGGTGAATACAGTGAGGAATTTCAGGCTATGTTTTCTAGATCATCAGTTTTTACAACTATTACCCATGGTTTTGTTACAGATGATACTGGTAAATTTCCCTTATTTCTGTCTTCCTTAAAAAATGCTTAAGATTATATATATNGTACTCAAATATTTTTCCTCAGTTTCTTTGTATTTTAGTTTCATCATATTTTAACAAGCACAAATTGTTTGACATAATAAACCTGAAACAGCTGTTTGTTTTCTGCACTAATTTTAGGTCCAGACTTGGCTGGGCAGATGGAAGTTTTAGTGACAGTATTGCCTACCTCAATGCATACAAAGTGAGTTCGTCTTTACAAGTTTTTCTTCTATAATTTACAATATCAGCTGCATGCTTGCTTATAAACATGCCTTAGTGATACAAAAATATTTAGCAGAAATATCCATGATGTAAAAAAATGCTGTTTTTGTTTTTAAGTAATTATTCTGTGATTTATTTGCCCCAGAGAGGGGGGAGCAATGATATAATGTGAAATTTGTGCAGTTAATTAAAAGCAAATCCTTTTCTTTTAGACATGGGAGTCTAACAAGCAGGATCCATATTCAGGATTCAAAGGGTTAGTAAGTAGAGAGCAGCAGTGGTGCAAAAGTCAGTTCATTCAGATCCGTAGAATTGCTGAGGTGGCCACACTGGTCAAGGAGTTGACTGACCGTCTGGCCAAATTCAACATACGCATTCCTAGAGGCAGGCACAGGTTGCCACCAAATCCTGGACAGGATCTGCTGATACTCAAGGTTTGCTGCTTTTGAATGTGGTCTGGTCAAACTACATGTAAATCTAGAAAAAAGAAAATTGGTATTAGCCTTTCTTATCTTAAAAACTGTGATTTGCCAAATAGTTTAAATTTTATACATTCCTCGTTCTTTTCTACTGTAGGTGAAAAATAAGTGATTTGATTTCTATAAAGAATTTTGAAAAACATTTGAACAAAAGTCCTTTGTGACTCATACTGAATACTGAAGGTGATAATTTACATGAGATGATATATACCTGATTGATAACAACATAAAATATAAATATTAAAATCAAATATATGGATTTAACTTATTTTGTCATTTGTAGGTGGTGATTGCTGGTGCATTTTATCCAAACTATTTTATCAATGGCGCCAGTGATGAACAGGATGCTATTCGTAGCATGTCTGGGAAAGATCCATGCACCACTGTCATGGTGAGTGAAATACAGGTTACCTCTTCAGTTGGAAGAACTTCTGAAGCTTAACTTCACTTGCAGTAGTAATCTAATGGGAATCATTCAAAATAGTCCTACAAATAAGCAAACTTTTGGAGTATTTGGAGGACAGTTGGATCCAAAATTACGTCAGACTAGCAAGTACAGTGCAGCAATAAAAAGATGTTGACAGAATTTATACATGTTAAATTATCTGATTGTTTTCTTAAGTTCAGTCAAGTTGCAGCTTATCAGTAAGAAATCAACATGTTTTGTTTGTCATTTATGTATTGCTTTCTAAAATGTCATTCTTGGTGTTTAGAGTTTTTCTATACTGCCATTTTGGCAGTATAGAAACATTTGTCAAGAAAGTAAAGTAAAAATAACAAGGAAAATCCACAAGGCACAAGGATGTCAAAACTAAGATTATGTGAACCATATCGTTTTAGGTCAAGAATCTTCCAGCCAATCAGGGTGCTTTGTACAAGCATGCTATAGAGAACTTGTTTATGTGTTGTGGAAAGAGACCTAAGGTGCACTTTGAAGAAACCAAGGCTTATATAGAGTTTGAGAGAGATCCCAATTCTTCACAGACACAGCTTATAGAGCCACCAGTCTATGTGGCTTTGAAGTTGAAGTAGGTTGATGAATGCTTGGTCATGTAAAAGTTTGTCTTTTTTGGTATTTATTCAAATATGGATTGATACAATCTTTTGAGCTTTAGAGCTTTATTTTCAGGTAATTTTTTATTTCATGACACATAATGTGTCAAACTTATATGTGTTTGTAACACCTTATATCTCCAGGGTATTATTGCAATGCTTTAAACTACTCCAGTATTGAGGGGAAAGAAAATTGGGTAGACTTGGCTTAGTCAGAAAAGAGGGAAATTAATATTTTGAGGTTGTAGTGTTATGATTTTTGCTTGGGTGAAAGTTTTCAGGATTATGCCTTATATCAGGATTTTCAGTCATCAGTTCTTCATTTTAATGTTTTTTGTTTTTTTTTAATGGGTGAATACAGTGAGGAATTTCAGGCTATGTTTTCTAGATCATCAGTTTTTACAACTATTACCCATGGTTTTGTTACAGATGATACTGGTAAATTTTCCTTATTTCTGTCTTCCTTAAAAAAAATGCTTAAGATTTTATATATATATATATATATATATATATATATATATATATATATATATATATATATATATATATATATATATATATATAATATTTGCAGTTATGCTAATACTTTTGTGTAATTTGCAGACAGCTGAAGCCTGTGTGTTTGGAATTAAATCTCATTGATCCAGAGCAGGCAAGGATCAGGATGGAGCAACTACAGAGGATTCAGGATGCCAAGCTCCAGACTGAAAAAAGACTAAGAACAAACAGGTGATTATAACATCTCCCTTAACCACTTCTTACCTAATGTGTGGTTTCATGTAATAAAAGCAATTTAAGAATTGCTTGTTTTCTCTCTTATACAGAATCAAAGCAGCAACTGACCAGGCAAGCTCAGTGAGTGTCAGACAAGTCCCACTACCTAAGGCCTCTCAGACCACCATTACACTCTGTGTAACAGAGGTAGGTGACTTTAAAGATGTATTCAGACTAGTAGTGATTAAAAAGGAGCAGTGTCTAACTTGGATTACCAGATACGTTGTATCGATTACCTGGTCATCTTATGATGCAATTTCTTATTTGACTGAAATTCCATGTGTGAATCAGGGGTAGATACAGGCTGTCTTCTAGGTCTTCTGGAAGACAGTCAAAATTTTTCAAGTTTACACTGATGGGCATCTAATTTTTTCTGTCGGAAGACCATCAAAAATGCAGGATAGATCAACCAATATAATGTGGACGACTGTCAGTAAATATCTCTGGATCCGCCATTGTGAAAAGACCTTAAACTGTATTCATTGACATAGTAACCACTGGTTATATTATAAATATAAAGTGAAATAAATGATAAAAAAGGATTTTTATTGTCTGCCTTATGTGAACCCATTCATAAATGAAGTGGATTAAGTAAGTAATGTTTGTTTGAAGTAAAGGAATATGCATGATATGCAGTTTTTAATCAATAATTAACAGTGATATAGCAGCAACATATTTTGATTAATGAAATGGTATTTTAGGAATGAAATGTTGTTATAAGGTTAATATACCGTAATTGTACCATGTATTGCCAGGTAATAGACTGTGGTCATTTTTGGGCCCAGTATGGAGATGAAGATACCAGAAGAACCATGGCACACATACAGACAGCACTCAACATGCATAATGGGAGAGACTTACAGGTAGGATTTAAATTCTGTAAGAATGAAATATGATAACCTGTAGAAAGAAAAAATGTCAAGTCTTACATGGAAAATGTATCGATAACTTTAAGGTGAATATCTGTACATTGTGTATTAAATAGTTTTTCAATGATCCGACTCACAAGTGGAGTGATAGAAAAAATTATGTAAAAATTATATAGCCTTATATAAAGAGATCTTTTTCCTTTCAGAGAAATACGAAAACCAGTGTAAAAGAATTTTTTGTTTTGTCAATAACTAACCAGTTTTGTTCATTTCAGGATTTATCTCCCAATCAGATAAAAGTTGGAATTCAGTGTGTAGCTCCATTCATGGATGTGACAGAAGAGTTTTACAGGGCCACTGTGTGTTCTGTGGTAGACATACAACTAGTACAGGTACTTTATGCCAATATTCATGGGACAAACCTGTGGCTGTTTTGATTCAGTTATTATCATGTTTAAAGTTTCTGTTGATGAATATAAATTATCCATTTTGCCACTTGGTCTGTGAAGTGTTGTTTAGCTTTTGTGTGGCTTAAGCAATTAAGAACGGTGCTTCAAGTTCAGCCTACCTTCTCTGTTTTGTGGACAAGAATTTCAAAATGGGGTGGTAGTGCCTTGAATGAATTTTTTGAGGAATTAATTAAAAATGTCTCTGTTGGGTGTAACTGTTATTTTATGCTTGGCTCAAAGACATAGCAGACTAACTGACTAATTCTGTAATTCTGAACAGGTGTTTTTTGTGGACTATGGGAACAAAGCTTTGATGAGGAAAGACAGGTTAAAGCAGGCTCATCCACAGCTGGTGGACCACCCATATCAGGTGAATGAAATAAGCACCAAATACAATTACTCTTTAATGCATGTAAATAACTCTTTTATGGATGTAAACAAAAGGTTGATGATAGTAATGCTAAGTATTTAGTGAATTTCCTAAAATAGTGAACACTTGTAAGAAAAAATGATCATGATTGTCAAATAGCAATCTTTCTCTCAAATTTCTAATTTGTATTCGTGTAACACTTTTTACAGTAATTGCATTATATTTTGTGTACTTTGAATATTTCATGTGACTGAGAAAATAACTTTAATTCTGTAGGCATTTGAGTGCTTTCTCAGTGGCATCAAACCATCTGCCATGAAGTTTCCAGATGGCAAATGGCCCATAGATATCATACAGAAGTATGGAGAGAGGATTGCAAATAAAGTTGTATATGCAAAGGTAATGTTCTCTTCACATGCTTAAGTGTCAACCAGTTGCTTACTTCCCTGATGTGCACCCAGCTTGTATGATCACAATTTTACTACCTCCGTCATGTATTTGTATAAATCTGACTGTAAGCAGGATCCAATTGATCTCTGTGGGCTTGGTAAAGTTATTGTTGTCAGATTTTACAAATATATGACATATACATGCAGACCTGTGCTGAGAAAGTTGATATTATGAGGAACATTCATGAAACAGTCTTAAGCCTTGTTACATTTGCTGCAAAGCATGTTATCGTTATGTTATTAATATATTTACATTTTTATATACAGACACTTTATGTCTGTATCTATTCTGATCACTGCATCTGGCATCTGCCTGTATCCTCATTGTCACTGTTGCCCTGGGAGTTTGACACATCTTGTTCACCCCACAAAGGCAAGACCATATTTTTGTTTTATTTTAAATAAGTGAGCAGTTTTGTTTGGTTAAAAAGGCTCCTTTTCAAAACTCAGAATGATCAGATTTATTTTTACAGAAGTTATTACATAAGTAATGTCCCTGTTTATGTTAAATTGTAGCAATGGGAATGACTTTTTTCTGGTAGGTGTCTGTATTTTTCCCAGATTTGATGTCCAGTTGTTTCGTAATCTCCATATTACAGGTCTACTCCATCATAAACAATGCACTACGTGTGGAGCTAGTAGAGAAACTTCCTGGCAGTGAAAGGTTTAGCAGTTTTAATGAACTGTTAATTAACCATGGGGTGGCTGATGTGGCAGAGGAGACATACCAGTCCAGGGTGAGAGAGAAGTTTACTGCTCTTGTTGTTTAGTACATTCTTAAAAGTTTTGTTTTTTTTGCACTTAGTTATAAAAAACACCAAAAATTTACATGGAGAGTCCTAATAAAGATAACAATATTGATGACAAAGTTGAGTGAATATTAAATGTAAAAAATTGTAGAATTTTTATAAGTCTTTTTTGTTATTATTGGTTATACATAATGGATTTCATGTCTAACTGGCATAGGAATTAGAATCAGATCAGATGTCAATATGTTTTGCACTTCAGAGAAGTTTTATAGTATAATATCCATAAGCTCTCTTCATAACACTATATTTGTTGTAATTAAGGTGCTCATATATATATTTCTCATATGTTTGATAGATTCCTACACTAATGTTTACCATAAAAGAGGTTTCTAATCAAATTACACTGTTGTTATTAATCTTAAACTTCTATGAAACTTGCAGCAAAATCATCAGCAGCGTTTGGAGGAGGCAATTTGTGACTCTCACATAGCAAGTGGGAGTCTGGGCACACCAAAAGATAACTGGCTAGAACTGCCTATTGATGATTATGACCTCCAGAGAACTGCACACAGAGGAAGGAAGGTGGGTTGTTTTAATTCCTCAAAAATGAGCACAATATAACTGGATATACATTCAAAATTTAGTTTGCAGTATAGTATGTCATGTCTTGTTAAAAAACTTCAGGTTAAAAGTTTTAATGTAAATGTTTTGCTGTGTGTACATTTAAATTTGTTCATAGCACATTTTATAGATATTATTGGCATTGTTAACAAATACATGGATAAATTTTGTCTTTGTTGAACATTTTCAGTTCAGACTTCATGGTCCCTGGAATCCCTATGAGATGTCATTTTACAACATGACTAACATTGGAACACTTCGGTGAGCGTAAAGTAATGATTAACCATGCACGAAGTAGGATGGACACTAAATAAAGTCCCTAATAATGTGTAGGCTCTGTGATTCAAGTCTTGAATTATAATGCGAACCAATCATCAAATGCCTATTAGATTTAGTTTTTGCACTTTCTTCATCTGCAGAGCTGCCAATATAGATAGAATGAGTGTGAACACCATTGTGCTGAATGAGGAGCCCCAGGACACCCATGCAAGACTTATGGTAGCTGGCTTTGTACGTATGAATGCCACTGGTAGTGCCATGATTGCCAATGACACAACCCTTATGCCAAACATCCACGGTCTGCCGGCACTGATTACACTGCTGTTTGCTCCAACAGCAGAACTGAGGTAAGAGAGTTAGTTTTATGAGATGCTGAAGGGTGATCTCTTTATAACATAATTTATGTTTTGGCCAAGTAGCCTGTTGATATAGTTTAATTATTTTAATAAAGTTGAAAGAGAAAAGACAACATTGTTCAACTCATTGCATTTCAATTTGAAATTTATCAAAATTAACATTAACTTCCATTTCATTGAGTGAAAGGGTTTCTCAGCATATTTAGGCAATGTTTAAATACTGTTTAATTTTTTATCTATTTAATTATATAACATGTTTGCTTCAGGATCATTTTTTAGAAACCACATTCATTATTTCAAAAAACTGGATCAACATCACTTATCATTCCAGAACGGACCGCCTGAAGACCAGGTATACTGGGGCTCTGTGTGGTTTGGGCTGGGATGAGGAGACTGGAGGCCCAGCACTGCCAGATCATGATATAGAGATTACCTTTGACACTAAGATTGACATAGCAGACATATGCAAGGTAAATGGCTGCCATTGCCTGGTATCCACAATAAATTGTGATGCTAAATGGAAGATGATGATGTTGATTTTGATATTGATGATGATGAGGATGATGATTATTCAGTTGGGAGTTCATATGTAAGCTTTATTTTTTTAAACCTGCTTAATGCAAGACTTTAAAACAATACACCATGATGCATTACCAGTGACCAAGACATAACTACTTGTACCATTGTGTTTGCTTGTGTGACCCATGTGGCACCAATTTCAAAATTTCAAACGTGTTCTGCACATTGAAAACGTGGCAAAAATTGCAAAAAAATATTATGACATTGATTTATTTTGATGGTAAAAAAGATACTGTATATGTAGATAAATTGTTATGATATAGTTGGCAAAGACAAAATTAATGTTGAGAATAATGATTACAAAATACGACAGTGGTTTCCTTTGGTCTGCAGATCAATGGAGTTAAGATGGCCATTAACCTGGCAATAGGCAGCGAAAGCTCCAGCTCGGATTGGGGGCCTGATCTGGTCAATACGATACAGCACTCAGCAAGAAAGAAACTCATGAGGTGTGTATTATCATGATTTGGGCATGTTTAAAATGTTTTATGTCTTTTTAAAATAAGTCATTTGTTTATTCTTTTGCAAATTTCAGTTTTTTATTGTTATTTTTTACCATGTATTTGACATGTCTGTATTTTGATATACATCACATTGGACATCTGATTTTCAACTTTGTATGGGTCATTGCACTGATCTTTATCAAAGTATAAAATTTAACTGCTCCTTTGTAGCATAATTGTGTAAGATAATTTCAGATTATGAAATAGATATTATTTTCTGTTATTATTACTAAATATTATTATTTCACCAAGATTGTAAATGGGACCATCACATTTAAATGTAATTCTTGTCACCATTTTGATGAATAGTGGATTGTAAAACGTCAGCTTTTTTTAAAATTAGTACTCATTAACATGAAGACTATTTATATAAATTATTTGCAACTCAATTTTTGTAGTTTGCTTGAAAGAAGACGGGTGTCTGTAGAGCCCAAAAACTTTGAATGGCCTTACAGGTGGAATATGGTAAGTCAGTTCGTTTGAACATCAGATAATTGTTATTATAATCAGATATTGTTGCAGAAACTAATCTAGACATCTCTTCCTCTCTCCATCAAAAGGTTGCAGGACATATTTAAGACGTATACTAGATAACACAGCTACATGTACCCCCCCCCCTCCAAATATTTTTTCTTATGTTATATTTTGCATTTCCTAGGTGAATGAAGATGATCTACTATATAATGCAGTAGACGATACTGAGGCGAACTGCCCCACATTACTCAACTTGTTAAAAGGCATTGCAATCAGCCAGCCGGATGAGGAAGAGGACGATGATCCAGAGACCAAACAAGAAAAAATGAGAAAGCATTTGGATTGGCTTGAGAGTAAAGCTGGCAAGTAAGTTACATAATTAAAGGTTGCATTAGCTGTAACTGGTATTTTAGTTCCAGTAAATAAGAGGACTTTCTATTAGTTATGTTATTCTTTTGGGAATTGTTATTCATTTGGGTCTGTATGAATTAAACTCAAACGTGAATTGTATTAGAGGTCTGTTGAAATTGGAAAAATACCTTATTTAAATAATTACTGTATCCTTGTGTTAATATCTCCAGATCCATAGCAGAGGAGAAGATCTTATGTGAGGTGTGTAATGTGATGTGTAACAGTCCCAGGGATGTATACATACATATCCAGACCAGAGCACACAGACAGGAAGTCACAACATGTCTCATGTAAAGCGAGCTTCACTTTGGCTTATGTCATGACCTTGACATTGAGTCTCATTATTTCAAACTTGCCAAGCTTGCAAGAGGCACAAGTTATGTTGTGGAAAATTACAATCGACAGCATTTGTCAATTCCCTCTCTAACATGATGTCTCTACTCATTAGAACTTGTCAGTTATGTTGAAAAACCAGCACAGTATTGTAGTGCAAATTATCCATTTTAATAGCACAAACTATGTTATCATGTCTGAAAGCCAAAAAGGATATTGACAGTGCAACACGTGACGCAGTAACAATTGCTTTAAACACTGCTACCTGTGTTTCATTCACAAACTGTGCAAACTTTCTTATTTTACTGACTGAATGTTCGGGCGTTCAGTCCGTTTTTCTCTTTGCAAGAGGCAGAAGAGGAAATTTGTTTCAATATTTGCAGTTCTGATATGGCATTTTCTGTATTTTTTATGTAAGCTTTGCTGAAGTCCAGCAAGCTTTCATCCAGATCTACCCAAAAACATGGTGCTCAAGAATAATTATTTAAACTATATTTCCATACTTTATTTTATGTAATAAAAGTTGTTCAGTATTATTAATTGAGTCGTCTCTTATTTTTATGGAATGTATTAATGTCTAGTTTCGGTATAATGTTAATAATGTTTATTCAAAAGAGTGTTCAAGAGTCATTTCTTGTAAATATAAATTTAATATTTGTGCTTAATGGAGGAAAATTTACCGTAACACGAAGGCAAACTGAACCGCGGGACATAGGTGAGAGCGGCGGCAATCTTCATCGGTACCACTTTTACATGGTTTACACCTGTTATTGATACAGAATGATTAAATGTTACCATAAGAATTCTACTTAACGAAGACTATCTTCCATCTAGCACTTCTATTATAGTGACACTGAGTATGTTATGAAACGTTTTCTAATGAGTACGAATTCTCTGAGTAGAAGTAAACTGAACATGCTCGTATATACCAGTATTTCGCTATGACACAACATGAGTCATGCATAAAAAAGGGTGTTCCTGGAAAACAGTTCGAGTTTTTTCGTAGAAATGTTTTATAAAACTACAGAAATTAGTCGGTTAGCGCCGAGGACTATCTTCCTTCAAAGCCTTGCCAGCCGCCAGCTGGTAACTTTTTCTCAAAATATTTGGGATGTGCTTGTATCGCTGTAACCTAGATGTAGGGCGGCAAAACGAACACAACCAGTGGCAATGTGACGAGGAGGTCCGTTTTCTCCGTTTAATGCTATCTTTGAGAATGACATCATTGTTGTTATTGTCTTTGTCAGTCAACCGTGAAGATACTGCGGTCTGCAGTGTTAGATGATCTTGTAAGTTCTGTAACCTTTTGGACTTTTCTATCCCAAGAGCCTTTTTGTTGTTCTCTTGATTAAGGTTTCCTGAAACAATTATAATTGAATTTATCAATGAAACATTTGATACTATTTAGCATGTAAAAACGTAGATAGTCATACAGCAAATGTTAACATTTAAATGTTTGATTTAACTTTTAACGCAGTTTTCAATCTTTAAAATATGGACTACTAGGTGTAGGTATCATGCATGTAAACGTAGTGTGTACACGTGCCTTCAAGAAATGCCGCAATTGTTTTATGTACTATTTCATTATTTGGTTTTGTAATCTAAGTAAAAAGTGCTAAAACCATTATTATCATTTTTTTATTTATTTAAATGCTGGAGAGAGAGAGAAGGAGAGAGAGATAAGGAGTAATTAGGTTTTTGGCCATAAAAATGAAGGTCATATTATAATATATTACTAATTCCCCATAAAACTACCTGTCTTTGGCACGGCATCATCGCCCCGATGGTCAAAGATCGACCATGTTTTAACGGACATATCCCTGCCAGTGACAGGCTTGTCAGGAAAGTGTGCGATCATTAACAAATCCTGGGTAAACGGCACTACGGACGGCCCCGAGCAACGTCCTTCTTCCCCGCAGTTAACGTATAACGGTTCCATTCAACTAGGTTTTTTTTTCACCTGGAATGTTCTCTGAAAACTTTTATAGTAGCGTCCTGTGTTCTCCTGTGTTTTACTTGCTCAGACTCGCTGATATTAACACTTTGTTTATACGATAGTCCTCATAAAGAATCCAATCTGCTACTTTTCGTTCCTTTGAAAAAATAGGTTGGATTCCCGAATTCAAAGAGGCAGAAAAGTACCTATTTTTATGTCTCTGTCAGCAGTATTTTAGAGAGGTTCTATGCCATTGACTTGGATTTAACAAATGAACGCCAGACCAAGAGCCAAATGACCTGACTGTAGCTTATCTCAGACAGGTTTAATGTTACCAGTGCCTCATCTAGGCCATTTGTGGGTCATAAAATGGAGTCAGAAGTCAGCGAAAACGCTGCCCACTAAGGTCGACTTCAGAGACTTACCTACGTTTATGCCTCAGACTAGTTAATTGGATTAAAGAGATATTAAAGACCGCTCCATGGTCATTCGCCTTTACAGCAGATTTTGACTAACGTGGCGGCATTTAGCATATTTCAGCATAGCAATAAAGAATTGCTGGTAAATCTCTTAATTACAAAAACATTTTTGAGAAAAACTTTAATTATATCCTTGAACTTGGAAATAAATTACCAAACATGATGATTGTTTACAGATATATATTTAACTGTCAGTATTTATTTTTCGTACTTTTCGTAATTATCAAATTACAGATGTCAATAAAATGCCATTCTCCACCTACAAGGATGTGATTCTGTTGTGTTACAATGTATAAAACTTAATGTTGACGGCAATTTATTGGAGACTACTCCGAATTTCATGCACACATAAATGATTGTAATGAAGGCGCTTTATAAACAATTTACTTACGGCAAGAAGTTATAAAGTTATAACTTCTTGCTTACGGTAAAGCAAGGACATGTTTTGTCACCTCTTGGTTTTATTTGATAACATTTAAAATACGGTTGATAAAAATGCAGTCAGGCATATTTGGTTTTACTTACGGAATTATTGTTTTACCTACTCCCGATATATGGATATATCTTTTAAATAATATTCTATTAATAAAAATATATCCTTGCTAGTCCTTTTAAATTAAATATATTTTCTGGTATAAAGTGGTGGCACTTTACAACGGATTGAAAACACAATGTACAGCTAAAATAAGTTAAATTCAAGATAATATGGTTTAAGTATACAAGGTAAGGCGGCTGCTACCGCTAGGTGGTGTACATAAGCTGTTTTTAAGATGCTCCTGATAATTAAATGCTGAGAAGATTGCTTCTTTCCATTTAAGTAACCATTAAGAAGTGTTTTAGTATCAGTTATGTAGGACGTAAATTTGTTTGAAAAAATTGTTTGAAAAAAGTAGATGCTGATTTTTTTTATTAAATGTTTCATAATATCGGAGCATCAAAGATATTACTGACCACAAACAACTTAAAATTGAATTTGTACAATTACACTATCACTTATTGTAATTTCAGCTAAATTATAAAAGTCATGTCCTGAAAAGAAATGCGTCAATTAAGGCTAATTAGTCAAATTATCTTGCTCAAAGCGTCCTGTCCGGAAGCAAACCCTAGTAAACAAGATAGAACTTCCAGATAAGCACTTGACCAGGTGGGCTGGTGTTGTGTGGCTCTTTCCACTGTTCCAGCAGCGCCGCCCATTTGAGCAACGGCGCAAATTCAATGCATTCCGTCCTGCTGATTGCTCTCTCGAACAATACATTGGGAAATCTATAGTATCAAAACGTTTCTTGGCCACCCCGTGGGGTAATGACCACCACGTTATCCTGTTAAAAGGATTAACTTGGTAAACATTGTACAAGGGGTTACATAAACGCTAGGTCAGCTCAGGTGAAGGCAACGTTATATTACGTACGTAATGTGGGTGTATGTGCTTGGGAGAGAAAGAGAGAGAGAGGGGGGAGAGGGAGGAAAGGACAGACTGAGAGCGAAGCAATATTCTCTTAACTACACTGTATTTCAAACGTAATTGTTTCGGCTTGATTGAAGGCATTTTAAACATGATTTCCCATTACTTTGTACAAAAGGAACTGATACACCTGTCCCGGCGATTCCGCAGTTTTGTGAACAATGCAAAAGATAAATAGCACTACATTTGTGAAATTTTGAGAAAATGAAGCAATGGAGGGGGTGATGGTATGGGGATAGGATGATGCTATCATACTTCTTATTACTTGCATGTCCTTTCCTATCCTTTTATACACTGTTACGTAATCCGGTGTAAATGGCATTCTCCTCTTCTATTCTTCTTCTGCCCTTAGCTTGACCTGCCACCTACTCAGTTGCCAAGGTGACCAGGAATGGGGGGTCTTAATTGGTGTGGGCCAATCAATGGAGCTGGTCAAGTCAACCTGAGCAGTTGATGGCAATCTCGATGGCCGGTGGACACCTGAATAATGGGGAGATGGTAAGATAGTAGAGCAATTTGTTGTTGATTTGCACATTGTTTAAGGGTGTCGTTCACTCTGGGTTCTGGTGTTAGTGCAGAGAAGACCCCGGAGGCGAAAGTGTGAAGTTTTCGCACCGTTGTTGTGTTCAGTGTAGTGAAAAAGTTATAGGCTGTAGCTTAGTATTGGAGAGAACTCCAGCGCCATGTTAGGCACACACAACCCAGGTGAGTTTTATGTTACTCTTTTTCTGTCGAAAATAATTATGGTAAGACTTTTTAAATTTGGAATCTACATTTTTCATTTATGGATTTTCACTAAACAAAGGCTTAGGTGGTATAGGGAAAAACCTACTACACAAATAATTCGATATCAGCATAAGGGTATATTCAGGAGCTAGGTGGTTCAGTATCAACTAAGGGATTAGCACGCAATTTATTGTATTGACCCACCAGAACCGAAAACTACTTACCTTTGGTGCTTAACCCGGAGGAAATTTATTACTTTCTTCTTACATACATTCTTAAACTAAGATGGATCACTTTTAAATTCCTGTAATAGAGTTAGAATGAACGTTAAAATACATTTCTTGCAGATATTGATTCAGTTGTAAAGATACTTTCGGAAACAACATCAAAGCGATTGGATATCTAACAATGGTGTTTGCTACGTACTTAATGCGGTTATGAGTGATTATGGTTTTATGCCAAGGCTATCGCAATTCTGGTATATTTATCCAGTGTAATTTCTTTAAATTTACCAAGACTGCGATAGAAAGAAGCGCGTAACTACACTGTTTCTTAAACCACCACGAGTATATTTCAGCTATCTTGATATCAGGGATGATTGAATTATGAATAAGGAAGATGATTAATAACAAATGTAAAGGGAATTAAATTTATTTAATAATCCTCTTTACATATGATTGGTCTGACCTGATGGCCCTATTGGTTTCATAAAACATTAAAATAGTTCGTCTGTGTTGAGGTGTGTTGACACACTCGGAAGGGAAATAAACACTACAAAAAAAAAAAAAAAAAAAAAAAAAAAAAAGCATAGAAGTTAACTGAAAGGCTAACAAAAAAGTCAATGTGAACTGTGAAAATACAAATTTTCTTTGAAATTGCACTTGAGCAAATTCTCCGGTAATTATATTAAACACCTTTGGACTTATGTCATTGGGTCCTTTGATTTGACGCTCAGTAGGGTCTTTTGTTTTCAAAGACATGATTGACATTTAAAGCTGTCCTTTATTGAGAATGTGATTTGTTTTATGATAGGAAAAAAGCATGCATTCGTCAAAAGGGACAGAAAGACACTGGTCCACCTCTGTATGGTAGCCGATCTCGCTAAAGAGCAAATGATACTTCACCTAATGTATAGGTGATTCAGGCTTTTCATTTTGTGGCATACTTTCATAATATCTATATTGTCTATATTCTTATTTTCAGCTATAAAAAACTACGAGTTTCCATGGGGAAGTTCGAGCGCATCTCAGATCAATCCATTTGTGACACCAGGAGCACAACATCATTTTTCCTTTGATGTTCCCGCTCATTTAGCCCTACGTCCGCCAGTACAATCTATACCACCTCCAACGCAATCACGTAGAAAGGCACTGCTAGCAAAATCAAAGATGACGGAGGCACAAGCAGGTTAGAATTAATGCTGAGTGATTTAATCAGTTATTTCAGCATTGTAATTACTCCATTAAAGCAGATATAAAAGACAGAGCAACAATGTTAAACTACAAAATATCACGAAAAGCTGGGTACAAGTATATCATATTACCGTTATGAAAAAATGCAAAAGTAAGGGTTTTGCTTTCAGCACGTTCGCATTTTGTATGGGCCATTCCGTGGTATTTTTTTGCCGTTTTGGAAGGACATTTGACACTTCATATGAAAATATCTAAAAAAGTAAAAAGATGGATTGCCTAGTTTTTATAGTCATTCCTCTATATATGTAAGTTATATTTAGGCAAAAAGTTAGGATTAAAAAGATAACAGTTAAGGAAAAATAGTAGTAACTAAAAAAGCACTCAGAGAGCGCAGACCTCCGCCAAGTCTCCATCCAATGCCGTTTCACCCCTGAATTTTCGATATTTTTGATTATTGATTATTGATCTGGATCACCACCAAAATCTAATCATCTGTTTCTTGGCCCATTTCTGACAGTTCCTGGAAATTTCATCAAAATCGGTCCATAACTTTTTGAGTTATGTTGATGACAGAAAGACAAACAGACAGACAGACAAACAGGGGTGAAAACATAACCTCCTTGGCGGAAGTAATTAGTGAGCAGCTTGTAAGGACATGAAATGGACATGTGATTTTAACTTTAAACTTTAACACCGAAACTCTGCTCTGTCTGTGGAGATATTTTAAAAATCAAGTCAAAATATGAATATTTGATTATTTCACTTTTTAGATATATGTAAAGTGTTTATGAAAAAAGAATTTAATTTGAAAATTTTGCATATATAAAAATCAAGTAAGCATCCGGGAAGGACGCTTTGTCCATTGCTAAATAAAATGTAAAACACGGCTAATAATAATATTTTATGATATATTTACCAACATAAATTTGATGAATAATATCAAAGGTAAACATGTCTTTCCATGATCATATATTTCATCTTCAAACATGTTACTATTTTTGACTATGATATGAGTTCTTATCTGCTCTGATCATATTTAAATAGCATTGGGGCATTTAAGAGAAAATTTTACCAAATTCATTAATTATAAATATAACAAATTCTCTAAATTATAGTAACTTCAAAATTATTAATTCAAATGAAATGTTTCTAAACATTAAATGACTCGACAGTCATTATATCCATATCTTCCTATATGCTCCTATGTAAATATCAACATCAAGTACGCTTCAGAAAATATTATTTAATATAAGGGGTAATATCATTTTTAAGGTTTGTAAGTTTTTATAAGAAGCTGTGGATAGCAGAAATAAGCATTAATTAATTTTCAAACACAGAGAATGTACCTTTAATTAAACGGAATGTAAAGCATTTCTTTTATTTTCTTATGTATTTTATATGGTTGTGTATAAAAAGAAGATGATATATTAACAGAGACGAAAGCTGCTTCAATATGCCTGTCTTTTACAGATAAACTGAGAGCTTTTTACCGTTCATTACATAAAATTGAAGTAGCTTTACTGCGTTATTTTAACACATTACTTTTCAGTAATAATTGTTCATTACATCTTGCTCTTTAAAAAAAAAAAAAAACGTTTTTGTTTACAAAGGAAATTTACAAACATTCCGGCGGAATTTTATTCTAAATCAAGCAATGCTATTTATCAAAATTATTTCAGATATGCGCGAGTGCGCTACTGCGAAGATTGAGCGCCACAAATACACGGCAGGGCAAATTGAATTGTTATTGGAAATTTTCAAAGAAATCAAATATCCCAATCTAAGGCAGAGAAGAATCATTGGAAGACGGATGGATATTCAACCGGAGCAGGTTAAGGTAACTGAGGAAAAGTTTTTTGCATTTTTTCCCTTACCTAATACCCTATGGTATCGTTAACAGAATACTTATTAAAGTACATTAACGATTGAGTGTGATGATGCTTGTGTGTAAATATGACAAAGACCTTTATTTGGGATAATGTTTTCTATCCGCTTCTCTTTACTTCTATAATATTTCTCAGTCTTGTTTGTTTGCGTTTTATTTTGATGATAAACATTTTAACAGTATCATCACCTGATACTTTTTAAGGCAGATTCCCTATATTTTGTAGCCCAAATATACAGCTTTACAGAAAGTCGGATGGCAATCAGTCCCAGTGTAATTCTTACACCTCACCTTAATGACAGACGAATTATTTAAAACAAGGTCTAGAATAATGACCTAGCCAAACTTGTGTTATTAGGACTAAAATTTACTTATTTTGTTCCTTAGACATGGTTTCAAAACAGACGACGTCGAACACTGCTTGAAGGGAAGAATAAAATCACAGAGAATGCCGGACAAAACAAGAAAGAAGCAGATACCGCCCAGCCAGAGAAAAAGCTCATATCTGACAATATCGTGAAAAGTAAGTATGCAAAATTTACAATGCCACTGAAGAAGATGTGTATTGATAATTTTAAGATTACTGCTTTCTCTGATTAAGGCTTTTAATTTAATTTTTTTTTAACATTAGCACTGATCAAAACTCACTGATCTATGTTCATGTTGTAAAGTCGAGCTCCGCCTACATTACTTTACTTTTAAATACGTATTACATTATTTACAACTTCCTATACTATCGATGAGAATATTTTTAGTATGTGCTGTAATAGTTTTATCATTTACCATTCAGGTATTTTACAAGAACTGAACAGCCTCGGGGACAGTCAAGATGAAGCTATAAAGAAGAAAAACAAAGGATTCAAGCGAAAACATTATTGCAACAGTGAGCCTAAGCAGTTAGTGGAGCCAGCCGTTGTAGAGAAAAACCCACCAAAGCGTGTTGTCGTCGACTCGGACGCATCGCAGAATAACATTGGCAACAATGCAGGAACGGTGACATCACACCCCTCGGCAAATCAAAACGATGCTAGCGTAGCTCTTGATTTTACCATCCACAACAAGGACCAAAGAGTGCAAAACTCTAACACAAAAGGACTTGATCTGTCCATGCTAACTCCCCAAGACAGTGATATTATGCAAAAGATCACAGCAGCAGCTGCTGAATGCGGATCAGTCCCTGGTCTGCCATCTTACTCAAGAGCATCAGACGCGATAAATGGAGGGTCTTGCTCATTAACGGGTTCAACTCACGTCACCTCGGTAACGAACAGTCATACCCGACAGAACTCCGTTACTCTTGACTCTCATAACAGTAGACTTCAAAAGGGAACCTGCTCGCTACCTGTCCCTGCTACTGGAGGTAAACAAAAGGATGAAACGACAGACCAATTTGAAAAGGCAAACAGCGTGAAAAGTGACAGGTTGTCATCGCGCCACAGTTCTTATGATGAAATGTCTCAGTTATGGGGAGGACACGGGCAGAAAGCAGTGGTGGGTACTCCGGACCTTCATGATAAACTCTTAGGCGTCTCTGACGGCTGCCCGCCACCTAATCGCGTTGCACCATCGCCGCTCACTGCAGAGTATTTAGCAATAACCAACGACATCAATGGTTATCCATATGCCACGCCTTTCTGCGCATTTTCTTCTATATTGGACACTGCTAAACCAGTAGGGCCTAAACCACCTTTATCAAAACAAAGTGCACTATCGGACAACTGCAGCATTCAGTCTGCTGATCGGCCTACTACTGACCGTAATGATCTGATTGAAGATAATGGTGTGATCCCACCAAATCGCATCGCCCCGCCGTCAGGCCCAATACCTTTCTTTCCTTCGCGTTTCACCCATGCTTCCCCTTTACAGGTCGCTGTTCCGGCACCGTCCCCGTACTTGCGTCTTCCACCCGGCACTTATCAAGGACTGCTACAGCCCCTGACGCCCGAGTCGCGAACTTCGTCCTCAGTTTCATATCTTCCAGATGATGTGATCGTTCGTCGCCTTATGAACTTCGCCCCAAAAGAGGTCCAGAAGAATCACAGCAGACAACCAAGTCGCACCTCAAGCATGTCTGATGATATCGATGTGGAGACCATCGACGACATTGTTGACGAAGGCAAAGATATCTTTGGGGAAACGACCCAAGATAAAGCTGAAGACATATCTGTTTCGCCTGCAGATGTACCTACTTCCAGCACGGCTGATATATCTGCACAACTCTCAGTCTTTCCTTCCACTAACGGTGCACAGTACCCCAACCACACAGTTACACCACACTCATCACTTCCTCCAACGTCACTCCCAGGACTTCAAGAACTTATGGCATACAAGACACCGACAAATGCATCTATTGGTCAGGCTGTTCACCAGCGTACAGGCAGCGTCAACAGTTTCTCTTTGACCAGCAGTGGTTCAAGTTCTTCTCCACCAAGTTTGGCCTCAAGTGGACTAGACGATTTATATATGAATGCCTCTTTTATGGCTTCAGCATCTCCTGGAAGGCTTTCATCGCTTCGGAATCATGTGGATCCCATGCGGTACTCGTTTCCTTACGGCACAAACAATCCCCTGTCTATGTATGATCATCACAGACCATTGACTGTGACGTCATTCCCCAATCCATTCTATGGGCAGCAGTAGAGCCTAATGTTCAGTCAATCAAAATACGTGCAGCTTTCATATGAAGACATCGCATAATTTTCATTAAAAAAAAAATTGATATTGAAGATTGGCCCCTTTTAATTTCCACCCATCTAGGTGCCGTTTATGTTGACATTGTTAATCGTTAATTGTATTTATCATAAGGTTGAAGAATCAGTTAGTCGATAGTATAATAGATAACTAAGCAAACTAGAACAATGTATCAATCTGGTATTTTTAAACAGTCACATGAAATGCATCTCAGAAAATATTTAATATTTTTATTGTAGGTGTCTGTCATGTTTTAGTAATTTTAGCAATTTTTCTCGGGTTTATTTGCAGAGGCGTTATAAATAACCTGTTGCATTTGTTTAGATTTTCGTAATAAATTCTTAGATATTTCAACAGTTTCTTGACCTTACTCGATATGGTAGCCTAAATTATTAACGTTTTGTAAAAAAAGGGACAAGACTAGAATACTGTATAAAGTAGTAACAGAGCACGATGCTTGCCAGTGACGGGTCCGGCCAGGTCGTTCTACATACTAAGAAGGCTGGGGTCATCGGTATTATTGTCCACTTTCAAGTGGAGTTGATGGCAACTATTTTTTTCTCCCTCCGCTTCTTACTAAGTGGGTTACTCCTACAATGAATGAAAAAGAAACAACCTATTCCAAAAGATTTTATTTCTAAATTCAATGTGAAACGTTACTTTCATCATTCACACATACTGGGCGTAATAACAACTACTTATTACAGTATTTCTTCAAAAATAAGCTATATGATGTTCAATATTGGATACAATACCATATATAATTCCTGTGTAATAAGATTAACCCTCTATATTAGGTTCACATCACAATAGAAAAAAAAAAGATTGGGATCACGTCTTCTACACAGTATTCAATTTATGGCAGTAGAATCACACTGTGATACATGCTTGTTTAATTGATTACAATGGAACTACAAGGATAACTTAATCAGGATGGGAGCAAAACTTAACTTCCCGATTCTGCCACTGAACTGTAGATATACATTACGTGTGCTTTTAACTGGACATGCAGTTTCGTGGTAGAAAATACATGGGCTGCCTTCAAAAAGTAAGCTAAGATATATAGACTTGAAAAATCAACAAAAAAGTATACACACCGCCTACATAAATGAAAAAGACAATCTACAAAGCCATACTATCACCTTCCCCATATTTCATTCTAAATCCACTGATGACGCAATAATTGCCACTGCCGAAAACGAGGGCGGTTATGCTTGGCCGACGTACTTCGCAGCCATACCCGGACGTCTTTGTGCTTGCAATCTTACAAATAGGTAAAAGGGCTCAGAATTATGATTTAATATGATGATGAAATGTACGCGCTTGCAAACTATTATTTGGCACTCCGTTACAAAAAGGTACCGCCAATGTATTGGCAGCTTTTAATGGTGAAATATATCGTCCTATATTACGAGCTGTGAAGTTAGTACCTGTAAATGGGCATGAACATCATTTAATTCACCAAAGTATGTTCGAGTCGCTTGTACTTCAAGGGCCTTTTTGTAATGGTAGTTCAGAAGTCGAGAAACACAAACACAGAAAAACCTAGCATTATTTACTTTGATTTTCTATAATAGGTTTGAAAAACTAATTGCACAACTACAGGTTCACAGGCGTTATTTCACAGACATGCCCTAAAAGATCAGTGGCCCATTTCAAGCATCTGACTTACTGGTCAGCAAGGCTGGCATATAATACAGACATTCTTAAGACAATTTATCCAATCTTTTTACCTGCGGTCAAGGTCGTGGAACCTATTTTACCTTTGAACATTTTGCAAATCAAAACCATTTCTGTCACGCATTATAAAGTCCAGTGTAACGTGACAGGGAATCACCCTTAATAGAGTCCGCTTCCCATTCATTTGTACAGGAAAGCATTGTCCTACATTTTGACCCACTTGTGTCAGGCTAACCCTAACAGTTATAACTAAATGGAGGAGGGGGGGGGGGGTGTTCCTGTAATACGGACCCTCAGTTTTGTTACACCAGACCTTGAGCTTGCTAAATATGAAACGAAAAATGTTAAAGTAAAATTCAACTGAACGGAATTATTGGTTAGAAGTAAGGCGGAGAGGTAAACCAACAATTGTACCTTAAAATGGCATCAAAATAGATTTAAGATTAGCACATCTAGACTAAAAATGAGCATTTACAATTTTTATACTGTTTAATAATGCAAGAGCTAATAGGATGACATGGACAGACACCGGTATACGGCATATATACACACAGACATTATAAATGTCTGTACATAAAATATGATAATATGGCAATTTTTAAGTCTTACTTGTTAACGAGACCCAACTTGCAAACAAATGCAAATTTTTTACTACCAATTCCTGTTGAAACGGAAAAAAAAATGTATGCACATACTAAAATTAAGCCCTTCCTTCTCCGTTATATGAAATTCCATACTTATCATTTTAAACCCATCTTTCCTAATCAGAAATATTACATGATTTAAATGAGCTGCCAAAGAATACCCGCCTTTAAAGTGGAACTCATGGAACAACCCAATCAAACTGATATCTGTTTTTCAACTAAAATGAGAAATGTAAAGTTATTGGCCATTTTAATCAAATACTTAGATCACATAAAAAAGACGTGTATCAAATCTGAAACATGAATATTCTTTGCAGATTAAGACTCAATATTTCCCATGATCCTATTTTTACAAGCAGGGTGCTGCCACAAAAGAAACAATTACAACAAATTCATCCATACTACTGCATCAAAAGGGCATCTATACACTGACAAAATTATAGTAGCAGGCGTAGCTTAAAAGGACCATGACAGAGAACAGTCCGAAGTCTTCACTTCTGTGGCCACCTGCCCAGATCCAGCTAAGCCATGACAAACAAAAATATAATAATTATGATGATAATAATAATTATATATCATATATACACAAATTTATGTGTCTCGAACTGATGCAAATTATCTGCTTCCCACAGTCAACTTATTTTCTGTTAAGCAGGTAAGTGACAGCCACACGAAAAACTTTGAGTCATCATGCAGCCGACCAGCATACTGCTGATGAGTATGTAGACTCGATGAACTGAGCAGGCACCTGCAACTTTTCTTCTACCATACTGATGCTGCTAGCACGATTCAGTGTCAGAATTTGAGGTCAAATTAACATTCTGAAAAAAAAAGGAAGAAAGACTAAGCCTTCATTTAGATCACCATCAAAGTAAATGATTAAGACTAAAGAATGTATTAAATGAACCAGCCAAAAAATGTAAAAATTTACAACAAGGAATTGTGAGTTGGCCAACCCAAAGGGCTCATTCCAAATGAATCTATCATTCTAGGTAGATTAATCAAACTCTGAGATAACTCCCACAGAATGCAATCAGATTAACACACTTAATGGAATAAAGAAGAGCTTGTGATTATAAAAGTACATTTGAAACAGGAGGTGTATTAATCTGTTAATCTGATTGCAGCGAGTCTACAAAAAACATTTCATTTAAAATCCATGATCAGGGGGAAACATTAATTATTCACAACAAGTTACAAAATCTTTGTAAAATACTTACATATTTGCTTAAAATGCTTTCAACTGCTGTCCTCCTGAAAATACAGAAGCAATACATATTAATATATTTCTGCTCATTCCAATCAGTAAAAAAAAAAAAAACAACACAGACCCTACAACAGACATCAGACTTAATTATAAATGGAGTTACGCCAAAAACCGATCCCTACCTTATTTCTTTTTAGAAAGCAGTTAAATTGACAATAAATGGGGCAGAGCTTAAAGCAGAAGTGCATGGGAGAGCTAAAAAGCAGAAGCAAAAGGGAACTTTTTCTCTTAAGATGTTTTGTTACACTGTTATGGGCGGCGGTTTATACAAAAATTAAAAACACGATTAGTCCTCATCGTTATCAGATCAGACGAATTAAAAACACGATTAGACGTCGTAGTTATCAGATCAGACGGCAAAATACGACTAGTCGTCAAAACGCAACTAGAAGCCAAAACTCGATTTTACGCTATATGGCGCTCATGTCAATGGTCTTGGCTACCCTTGTGCCAACGTCACAGTCAATGCCGTGAAATTCTGATACTGACAAGTGCTTGCGATTGACAGACTGAGGAGAGTTGACAGGTGTTGTACTATAGTAGGCTAGTATGTGATAGATACAATACGAGTCGCCAAGCTGTACGTGAAATATTACGTGTATTGTCGAGCCGCAGGCTCACAGATTAAGAAAATTGTCATTGTCAAAGAAGGCAGGAAATTTACTTTGGAAGTGTACATTTTTAAACTTTCGTTTTCACATTATGTATTTTGAGCAACTTGTCGTTCAAATTCGAGAACAATTTTCAGTTTTTAGATAAATGCCGTTTCATGATATTAAAAGTTTGAGAAACGACTTGTTTTCATTGTTGTTTTGTCCGTGGTGGGCGCTAGGACCCGATTACAAATAATGGGCCCTTATTAGCTATAGTGAGTAACGGGAGTGCAAAAGACCGTGGAACGCACTCGTACATGACGTGCTTGTATTTCGAATACAGCACGGCCGAGTCTTTTGTTCTACGCACTAGCCGTGGTTTAAAGAGAATTACAATAATGGCTAACAACAGTCAGAGTATTCGAGCGAGGAATGTTGAAGCTGCTTCAATAACGTCCGCCATTTTGATCACTGTGTATCATGTGACTTGGCCTTTTTGTACATGAGCGCCATCTAGCGTCGAAACGAGTTTTGGCTTCTTGTTGCGTTTTGACGACTAGTCGTATTTTGCCGTCTGATCTGATGACTACGACGTCTAATCGTGTTTTAACTCGTCTGATCTGATAACTACGACGTCTGAACGTGTTTTTAATGCGTGAATTTCAGAAATGCCTTGTTTAATTCTAAAGTATCGCTGTCTGATCTGATAACGACCCAACTAATCCTGTTTTTTATTGTTGTATAAACTGCCGCCCATACACTGTTCTTATACCTAGATAAGTATTTTACAAAAAGAAATGGGGGAGGGGGGGGAATATCTTGACCAATTTTAACATATCTCTCTACTTATACATATCTCTATCTCTCTAATTAGAAAAGCATTAAAAATTTTTTAGATTTAAATAAAATCACATTATTACAATCTGATGTCAATTGAATTTCACTACGTTGTATCAATGCAAATTGAAAAACCTAATACTGACTGTTCGTGCATTGTCTCAGGCTTATCTGGAGATGGTTTAATCAGGCTTACCTTAATACTGAACTATTAATAGTTACTGACTAATGCTTGTAGGGATCAAAATTCATGGGAATGTCAATCATGAACAGTTTATACCATTTGCATACGAACAATGTCAATGATCCTATTATATCNAAAATCATGAATTCAAAAAATACAGGTAAATCTTTTACAAATTCTTATCCCCTGAAGTCTCTTCTTTCAGAAAATGCAACTTTTGATTGATTTTTGTACATTTGAAAATTTTATGCCCAGGACACAAATACCACGGAATGGCCCCTGTATGAAATCCAAGGCCATCAACAGAGGCTACAGTCCACTTAATAATTCCATTACAAACCACACGTTCCTGATGTACATTAAAAAAAATGTGTAACTTGGATAAAGCTATCCCTTCTTGGTAATTTTAAGTGTACTGGCAAGATAATCTTGATGTAAAGCTGTTGATCATCTCCTATACTCTTCCCTCAAAGAATTATCAAATTTTGAGACATATCATTACGCTATTAAATTTCCAATTTCATATAAAGCATAAATCAGGGAATCAATGGACATCACAGTAATTTTCATCACAGCATATCTCAATTATATACAGAAGTTTACCCTACCTTCAGCATAAGCCACATATATACATCAATTGTCATTAAAGAGCATGAACTTATTATAGCAACCAGATTCTGTTTGTCAGCTCATGACCTTATGGTGGAAAAAGGTCGCTGGTCCAGGTTCCCACATGAAAATTGTACATGCATTTTTGGGAACAAACTGTGGAACACGTGGTGTTAAGAGTCAAGTTACAGCTTTTTGGGCAAACAAATTTTCTAGAGATATATGTAAATAAGTTTATCTTTCTAATTCAATTTGGACTTCTGGGTGATACTGTGAAAGTGATTTTTTTTTTAATTCATGCACCATTTACAGATGTGTATAGTGAACTTGTGAGAAATTAGCCTGGGGCACTGAGCCCAGTGAATCATAGTGACATGAGTTATTGGTACATTCTGTTCAGTAGTATCTATTTAAACAGATCTTTTGACATGTTCCTACTATTATAGAAATGGATAAATGAAAAATATCAAAACATCTCTGCAAACCAATGCAAGTGCAATCAACATCATATCAACCTGAATAATTTTCATTTATTTTAAGAAGAAATGTCCCGCTTCACAATCATGTTTCTATAATTCTGTAATATATTTGATGCTTATTTTGAGGTAAAAAGAAGAATTACAATATCACTCTGGATGCTGCATTTATCAACTATTAGGACTTGCTTCAGAAGGTTTATATTTTACAATTGTCTCAAAATATATATTAAAATACAAGTACAGAATGCATATCAGGTATGTTAATAGTGACATTGTCTAAAACTTACTTAGCTGCCAATCCACCCCCTGGTGGTAAACCTTGGATGTCTTCTTCTGAAAGTGCATTCATCACATAGTTTACATCACAATATCTCTCTTCTTTCTTGGCAGAGAGACCATTGAGGATTTCTAAAAACAGCAATAAAAAACAAAAGCATAATCAGAACTTGTATCCATAACAAAATACAAAATTGGCCTTGAAATATTATATATATTGAACAGTTAGATCTGCAATTTGCAAAATTTCGCATAGGGACATCAGATACAAGTTAAACACCCCATAGGTAGCAAACATATCTCTCTCTTCACCTCCACAGTTGCAAACCACCAGAAGGGTTGGATAACAGAAGTATCTCTGCCTTCAATGAGCTCAGCTTCAACAGACTAATAAGAAATTGACAAAGAAGGCAAATAAAACTATTTGAATTGAAGCCTTTTAGGTAATGGTCTCCCCAACTAAACAGATATACATTGAATAAAAGGGACATTTAATATCTATCAATCATGCAATTCATCCTATTCTTTTTGGTTATTTCTATTATCATGTTTGCTCATTGTGGTCCCTACAAATAAGCTGATAATATGAATAACCAAATACAATTTAAGCACTATCATAGGGAGATATGGTTGATCACCAGTGTAATGCAGGCGCATTTAGTATGCACATCCACTATTATAAACTAGTACAATGTCCTGATCTTTAGTATGGAAACACTTTCTGGTAATATCCATATCCATAATATGTTATCAGATGTCCCAAGTGGAAAGCTTTATAAAAACATCAGACAACATTTATTATCTTTTTTTTTTTTTAAATGCATTTCAGGTTTTTTTATTTGATTTTTTAAAAATAAATTTACTGCTTTTTTGTTTCCTGATAGGNGTTTTTGTACAGTGCGTCGGATAACGAAAAGCCCAGAATGGCACACATTGTGGATATTAATGTATTTTTAACAAAAAGACGAATATATCTCATGAATCTTATATAGTGTTGTTGTTGTCTGCTTTTCCCGCGGTTTTAAGTAGGTCAACAGTGACTATGCGATGTCAGAGAGAGCTCAGTCAGTTAAAATCTCTTAAGAGATTTTAACAAAAAACCGTACGTTTAGGAAAAAAACCCTGGATTAACTTTGAATGCAGGAATGGGGTCGCTGACCATTGGTAAGTACGGGAAAATTGCCGTTTACTCCAGGAAAATCCAATTTTTGGCCAAAATGAAGAGTTATTATGACTTTAAGACTCATGAGGGAAAGACATGGGAATGGGTGAACTAGCTATAATAATGGTAAAAGAAGTGGTAAATATTGATGTATTCTACACCTGAACAAATAAGGGAATGTACCTTTGACTTTATTTTCTAGTAAATCGTCTAGCTCTTTCTCCCTATTCTGGGCATCTTCTGACACTGAGGGTGCACCTTGGAAGGCTACAATAACAATACTCATATTGTCTCTACTGCCCTGAAATGAAGAAAATGGGACAAAATACAAAACACAGCTTTGTTGTAACACAAGCACAAACTAAGTTTAATGATTTCTTTCAAGCATGCCCATGGCCAGGATCCAATAGAACCTGCATGGAATATGTCCTCTACTTGTAAAATGAAGATAAAAACTTTGTTACAGCATGCAAAACAAAAAAAATGTCATTAAAAAGGGCAATACAATCTTAAAAAATAATAATGTAAAGTTTCATGGAAAAGTTAAGGTTAAGAAATGTTGTAAAAGAGATCCCTTATAAAAATTAAACCACTGCCATACTCACTTTATAAAGACATGTGTCCACCACTTGATTACATATAGACTGCAAATCATCAGTGACCTGCATCCTGTTCTTGACAAATTCATAGAGGTCCTCATTGGACATAACGTCCCACACACCATCACAAGCCAGCACTAAAAATTCGTCCTTTTCATTTCGGTCTTCTACATATATTTCCGGCTCTGGTGATACAAGCTGTTCACACGGACCCATGCCCTCTACATTTTTATATTCAAAGTCTCCTAAAGCTCTAGATACTGCAAGTGACCCATTAACACGCTGAATCATGACACTTCCCCCAGCTTTTTGTATTCTCTCTTTCTCTGTGGGGTTCACCGGTTTGTGATCCTGAGTGGTAAACCATACTCTACCATCGCGACAGTGGATACCTCGGGAATCGCCACAATTTGCAAACAAAATATGATTGGGTGAGACCAGACTACAGACTGCGGTTGAGCCACTTTTATCTTTACCATTGATAACATCAGGGATATTTCTCATCTTTTCATCAAGATTAAGAAAACCTGTTCTTATCCCCTTCTTCACGTTTTCCAAATTCGGTTCGCTTCTTTGAAAATCTTCATTTGCAACAATTGCTTCCAGAAGTTGCTCTGAGCAATAAGCTGAAACACGGTCACCTGCATGCCCATCAAACACAGCAAAGAAGGACCAGTCCTGCAGGCCTGGTAAGCCTATAACAGCACAGTGTGCATCTTCCATTTCAACCCTCCATCCTTGCATACTGCTGAGTCCAAACCTCAGTCCATTCCCAACACCAGTCTCATTATGCTTCTCTGTCTTGGGTTTATCCAGAAACGCTCCCATTATACCCGCTTTGAGTCCCTTTCTGATTTTACTGAAAAAGAAGTACAGTTTTCCACTATTACTTAAATGGGGGAATGCCTGTGACATAAAGACGACTTAAACACACTAACTCGGACGCAGTAAAGCGTGGGAAGCTTATTTCTGACTAATACCCAATATTAGTGCAATGACATAAGCAAAATCCCCTAGTTTCTGGAATCGCGAAGTGATCAGCAATTGTTTAGGACTTCAGAATACAAGCATGAATGTCTAAGTCTAGATTTTGAGTGGTAATCCTGTACGTGCACTTGCAAGAAAGAAGAAACCTGGAGGAGATGGAGCAGTCGAAGAATTTGAAACCTAGAAAAGGATCCATATATAAATACCGTTAAAACTTAGGAGTCATGACTTGATAATCCTTGTACACCGTTTTATCTTCGAATCCTTATTATTGAGATATCAGTGGCTGGCCACAGTCATAGCCTTGTTGAATTATATTGATGTGCGCTAATATGTTTTTAACTTCATTTCCAACAGCAAACCGAAAATCAAAATGGCGGAAGCAGATTTACTGAGCATGCGCAATTTATTAAAAACCCGGATGAAGGCCAAAAATTGCCAATGACGTCATGAAGACCCAATCAAACCAGTGCAAACCAGAGAATGAAAACCACAATAAAGAAAGGCGCGGTAATCAAACGCTCTCTTAACAGATCACTGAATATCTTTTGTGGTTTTCTGAATTTTCGGAACAAATTATTTCCACATTTAAAGAAAATAGTTTTCTGTTTTTGAAAAATGTTTGACGTTTATGAAAACAATGGTTTACACAAAATATGACCATTTCATTTTTGCGGTCTCGACCAGATATTCAGGATATCGGAGATATCTCGATTAAATCTCATGTAATTAATAGTATTTATAAAAAATACCATCGCTTATTAATTTGCACGTTAAAAGGAATACCATCGTCTTGAGCGATATCCAGTCCTCATCATAGAGTCTGTTCATGTTAATTAAACAACTGAAAAACAAAGGCGTGCAAGTAGGCCTACAGTAGGGCTACATTAGTAGGCCTACAGGTTGGCCATATAGGCCTACGTATAGGCCCTACCGTAGGCAAAAGATTACGAAATTTGACTTTCAGTATTGGGGACAGGGATACCTGTTTACCTATAAGAATAAATTGCATGAGTGATAGCTAATGATTTTGTACTCTAAATAGACTCAAATTCAAAATCTAAAATTTTACTCAGGTTTTTCTTCCATATCTTGCGAAAACAACCGCCTACTAAAAGCAGTAAGGGGGTAATTAACTTTTGTGCGCGCTAGGCTCCCGGAAGCTGTCAGCAATTTAGCGTGAACCCCCAACGAGTTAGGTCGATCCAGATGGATCGATCTAAATCTGTAGGAACCCAGTCTATGATTTTATCCGATTGCGGTATGTGCCTGTTGAAAAACTCTTCAAAAGACACTTTTTTGGTTTAGACTCAACACATATTATTTCATTCAATGTTAGATACGTTTTTGATTAAAATAAACACACACACAAAAAAAGATTTTTTTGAACCCATTTTATTAAATCTTCTGCTTCTTAAGTCTGGAAAGCTTTAAAACGTTAGCCACTGCTTGCTAAAATCAATTCGTACTTCGGTTTATTTTTATTCCAAAAAATAGCGATTTTTTTTCTTAAGGAAACAATAAATCACACACTGAAAGAAATAATGACACAGATATTTCTGAAATATGTGGCATATACCTCTATGGATTACGAAAGAAAATAATAATGTGCGAAATAAATCAAAACAACTTCCGTAGCAAACGTTTTGTCTACAAAGTATGACAAAGGATCGTCCATTAGATTGTTTGATGATAAAGCATAGGCCAATATTTGATCAAAGATACTGTCATTATCCATTTGTGTGTTTTCGTTCACTTTGTATTGTACTTTGCTAGCTCTTAACTTTTTCCGTAATACAAATTAAGTAAATATATCCATTTAGCTCCCGGAATCCAGTAAATGGAGGCGTATTCTCTAACATCTTCCTGTCAGCCGTCCTGTCGCACTATGTTGTATGTTGCCCGTTGCAACGAGAAAAACAAAGTCCCCAATTGTAACAGAAACCCTAAAAATTATGCCAGGGGGAAATATTGTTGAGTATTGTGAAAACCATTTCAGCCTATCATGCACACATAAAAGGCTTTTAATTGATCTGTATTTGTTGGCATTCAACAGAAGGTTCCATTACAGTTCATCCTGTAGACAAAGTTCCATTGCACGAATTAATACATAGCATAGGGTGCGATAGATCAGAACAAGTCGAAACCAAAGTGTGGTACTTGTAGAACCACCCAGTGTTCGGACATCAGACTGTGCCTGCTTGGCCATCAACGGTTGGTTACACCGTCACAGGAAATATAACTCATGATTTTAACTGTAAAGAATCATGTGTTTGATCAAGTTATGGATATTGGTCCTCTTCCTTGTCTTGGATGTGCGCTGGATGAGACAAGGTAGATAATCAAGTTTTGAGCACCATATTGTAATAAGTGTAGATACCGTATAAGATTACTTTGTCTTCTCGTTTACACAATCGAAAGCATAATTTAAGGGCAAACACAAGTATGGTATTTGAAATTTGGCCGATGACAGCCACCTTTATTGAAGGTAAAAAATGGTGTAAAATATAATATAACCTTAAATAATATTGGGTAATAAAATTTACCTAATGTCATAGGCCTGGAAAATTCGCATTAATAATAAATATCCTAACAATTAGTGCACATATTTTCATTTTTCTTGGATGTATGCCGGATGAGAATAATCAAGTTTTGAAAACCATATTGTGATTCCGTATAAAATGATTTTCTGGTTATAATTAAGTGTAGATTTAGATATGTCGCATGTAGAATGGATTGGGCTTGGAAACAATTATTTCATTTTACCAGTTTTTGATAATTTGTCGTCAATATATAGGTTCAAATTAACAAATAAGTCTACAATGGACGCCTCAGTTAATCAACAACAAGCTTTTCGATCTTCAATGAAAGATGCCATTGCTGATGACAAGTACAAAAATAAGGCTTCGTTCACATGCAATGTCTATTTTCTATTTTCTATTTTCGGTATGTCTTATGATCACGGTCTGTGCACTGAACATCCCGCCGCGTAATTACTGGCAGCGCGAGCCAGTTACTTATAGTAACTTATAGTAACTGGCTCGCGNAGAAAATAGACATTGCATGTGAACGAAGCCTAAGTAGGCCTAGGCCTATTAGCTTTTATGGACTTCCGTAATCAGTTCTCTCAGTAAATGTTTAAAATGGACAGATATGCGAGGGTTGACGGGAGTCAAGCACCAGTCAGATCGTGAGAAGAAAATCTCGGAAATAATTAACCTCTTATTGATATCCTAGTATTTGGAGCAGATCATATATTACACATTTTTTAAGCGGTTTCTTAAGCGTTTTTTAGTTGCCCCGATTTTTCTCTTCTTTATGCTCATTCTTCTTTTCTTATTTTTTAAAACATGTCACACTGGCGATGCAAGATTCACAGCTATTTCATCTCTTTTAAAATTTTAATTTTTATCACCAAACATCATTTATCGGTGTAGCACAAAACTCATACGTTAGCACTCCTATTGACGATTTTTGATATGTTCGTTGTGCTTAAGCATGAAAGCAAAGTTATCAAAAGGCCTAAGTACAGCGTACATATAACAAATCATCAACAGGAGTGCTAATTTAACGCATGGATTTCATGGTAATATCGGACCCCAGAAATTGTAATTCCTATGAAGGTGTTACTTGGTGTAGGGCCAACTTGTTCCCTAGAACAAATATGGCTTTGGTGCCACTTTGGCAAATTAGGACAATTTAAAATTTGACCAGGGAATTTTCAGGCTTTGTTATTCTGATTTGGAGAATCTATTAGTCACATCAGGGGACAGCTTAATTCAATTCATGTTGTATGCGCTGCGTGTCATTTTGTCGATTTTGCATTGTGGGATTCTTTTAAGTAGTGGTTGAAAACAAAGTAAGTCAATGAACATGCATGGACTCTCTTTACATGACTTCTTTTCTTCTGGGTTAAAACTAATATTAGCAGTCATGGGACACCTTCCACAGCTCAGCGTGATCTGTAGAAAGATATACAGGATGAGTCGTGCGCTGAGATTAAATAAGTACACTGTACTATTTGTCGTTAAGCGTTTATTGGTCCAACTTGACAATGATCGCTATATCTGAAACAGAAGATAAATTACATAAGTCTACATAAATAATAATCCTATATCTCCCCCCAAGTCTCTAGGTTCACTGATAACCAAAGTCAGTAGAAAGACTGAAATGTTTCAATGATCCACGAGAGGTCACTAGTGTTTGAAAACAAGTAAACTACAAAGTAACAGCTAAACTGAATATGCAAATGACAACAGGAACAGCAAACATTGGTGTGCAGCTACACAGGATTTCAAATGTCTATGACAGTTCATAGTCTTTTTGCCAAGCTGGGGGTCGAGTGGCACGAGTGGAGCGTCTAGGTTGATCCATGGTAATTAAGAGGCTGGGACATTCCAGGTTGACTATCCACTGTCCTGGGGCGTGGAGTGGTGCAAACACGTGTGCTAACACTGACTGGCCTAGGTGGAGATGCATTCCCCAAAGGTAAAAGACGGCGCTTTGGGGTGACGGTCCCTTTGGATGGCGTATCTGTGGCGGGTGAGGGTGTGTTGAACAGTTGAGGTATGGGTGGTGCAGTCAATGACGGCGGAGTTTCACACTGCATTTGTGTGTCATGAGAGTGTGGGGTAGCCTTGGCCTTAGGTGTTACAGGTAGGCCAGGGATTTCTTCCTTGCGTTCCTCCTGATCAGTGGCAACCTTGGCAGGGAGTGTTGGAGGAGAGCCAGGGATTTCCTTCCTTGTCTCCTGATCAGCTGCAAGTTTGGCAAGTGGTGGGGTAGCATGCGGAAGCTGAAGATCACGGTCTATGGTCTGGATTGGTGTGGGTTGCATGACAGGAGTGTAACGCTGGAGGAATTTCCTGTTCCGTAATGTGACTCGTCCCGAGCCATCTACTCTCACAACATATTGATCAAACTGCCGTACTTCAACCACGGTCCCAGTCTTGTCCCATTTCAGGGGATGAGGGCCTGTCTGGTTCTGGATTCGGACACGCTCCCCTACTGCAAGGGGTACAAGTCTCTTGGTGTGCTCCGTAAGGCGTTCTGCCATCTTCATATGGCAATTTCTGAGCGCTTCCTCCCTAGCCTTAAGGGTCTCTTGCCAAGTGGTGTGTGGTTTATATCTTTCCGGTGGAATGGGGATGAAATCATGGATGGGGTGCCCGAAGACGCACATTGCCGGTGAGAGTTTAGTGTCTCTGTCTGGGGTGTTCCTGTACTGAAGCATAGCACGCTGAAAGCTGTCGGTGTCCAGGTCACCATTGGGGCTGGTATTGTCTGTGATGAGGCGTTTTACTGTCTTAACCCAACTTCAGCAGGGCAGTTACTATGGGGAAAGGCTACTGATGACATACGATGATGTACACCCCAATCAGAAAGAAACTTCTTGGTGGCAGTTGATGTGAACTCCGGTCCCCCATCTGAGGATAGCTCATCGGCAATGCCAAAGGTGACAAAGGTCCGTCGAAGAGAAGCTATCAGGCCAGCCGCTCCTTGGGATGCTCTCTCCACAATCGGCCAGTTGGAATACCGATCAACAATGACAAGGTAGTTATTACCCATGTAGTGGAAGTAGTCAGCACAGACGCACTGGAATGGGTAGTCAGGATATATCAGTGGTGTCGGAGGGGCACTCGGTTGGGAGGGGGTCATGCGGTTGCAGTGGTTGCAACCTGTTCTGGTGGATACTATATCCGGTGTAATGCCAGGCCAGAAGATTGAGGACTCAGCTCTGGTTATCATAGAGGAGATCCCCTGATGGGCACTGTGCAATGTAGAGAGGACGTCTTGCCTTAATGCAGGTGGGATGACTACACGGTCTCTATACAACACAACTCCGTCGATTGTGCTGAGGTCCTCCTTGAACTGATAATACTCGCGAAGCTTGATGGGGAACTCTTGGCGGCTCTCTGGCAGACCTGAGGTTATTAAGTCGACTAGCATAGCCATATCTGCATCACTTGTGGTTGCTGTGCGTACTCTGTTCCAGGTCACTGATTTCAAGGTGATGGATGCCAGAGAGGACGTAAGTGCAGAGATCATGTTTTCCTCCATGGGGATGTGACTGGGGGCAGGGGATCGGATTTGAGACAGAGGGTGATGTTGGCTGACAGTAGCAACGTCTTCAGGGAGTGGGAGCTTATCTGGATCTCCTGTGGGATGACGAGATACGCAATCTGCAGCAAGGTGTTTGACCCCACGTATATGTACCATCTGGAAGCGGTATCTGAGGGTCTTCTCCTTCAAGTTTCTTAGGCGGGGGTTGTTGATATCATCAAGGGACCAACAGCTAAAGACCTTCAGTAATGGCTTGTGGTCAACTGCAATGATGAGGTCATGACATCCAAGGACAAAGTACCTTGTCTTGTTCAGAGCATCAGCAACAGCTAGGGCTTCACCCTCGATGGGGGCATATCACGATTCAGCAGAGTGGGTGAAACGGCTGCCTACAAGAGTAATCTTCCATCGAGATGGGCAGCAGAATGGTTGGATAGGCTGGCAAGAGCAATGCTTCTGTAGGAGCCAGAACCCAATTCCATTTTTGGACCAGTCAGTTGCAAGGCATGTGGGCCTGGACTTGTCAAATATTCGGACCCCCTCTTCAATTTCCTTGGAGAAGACAGCCTTGGATTCTTTGAAGAGACTGTTGAGATCCTCATCCCATCTGAAGGGGGTACCAGGTTGAAGAAGATATCTAAAGGGAAGGATTTTGTCTGCCATGCTGAAGGCATATGATACCTGGTTGACCAAACCAAACCATGATCGCACATCAGTGATGTTTCGAGGGGTGGGACAGTCTAAGATGGCCTGAAGGTACTTGGAACTGGGCTTGACACTGTCCAGGGTAATGTCAAATCCTGCAAATTCAACCTCATCTTGTGCGAAAACAAATTTCTCTGGGTACAGGGTGATGCCATGTCTACCACAGATGTCTAACCACTCCACGGCTTTGAAGAAACTCCCCTCTATTGAGCTGGACCAAAGTAGGACATCATCGACACATTTGGTTTTGTTGGTGATGTGCGAGACAATTTCGTCGTATCTCCTGGTATACCCATCACCTGAAGCAATGTACCCTTGGGGAGCAACCTTGTATCGGTATCTATCCCAGGGTGTGATAAACGTTGTGAGATGGCGATCCTCCTCACGAATGGGTACACTGTGGTATCCATTCCAAGCATCCAGAACTGTCTTTTTCTTGCCTTGGGGCACAACCCTGGCTTGGTGAAAAGGAGAAGGGGTGTGGAGGGTCTCTCGTGTAGCATGTGCATTCAGAGCCTGTAGATCAACTGTGCGGCGTAGCCTGCCATTGTTCTTCGCACATACAACCATACGGTGGCACCAGGTGACTGGCTCGCCAATTGGGACTGGTTCTATGACCCCTAGTCTGACATCTTGGTCAAGTCCTGCTTTCACTTCTTCCTGCCAGTGAAGTGGGACTGGTATTGGAGTGTGATAGGCTACTGGTGCCGCAGAAGGGTCTACCATCAATTTCATTGGAGGGCTGTCCATAAGGGGCAATGGCTGATGATCACATGTATTAAATGTACTGGACCTGTAATAGTCCAGAAGGTATTCCTTCAGTCGCCCACGATTCTGTTCCGTTGCAGGGAAAGGCAGCTTGGTTGGAGGCGGGGGAGTTGGTTGACGTTTGGGGCAAGTGCATGTGTGTTGGGCATCAGCGCCACGAGCTGTAAGGGTAATGTCAGGGAACACGGACGCACACTGCGACATGTGATATGCACCCACAGTAGGGAAGGTCTTTGGTATGATGCCAAGTGCAATACATGCCTCCCTGCTGATAAAGAGCTTGTCAGAGCTGTCGGTGACATATGTCATCTGTCTTGTTTCCACCAGTTTGCCAGATGGGCCCCTCCCAGCATAGCGAAGTATAGTTGCTCCGAGAATGCTGATGCCATTGTTGACAGCAGTGTGCATCTTCATAGTGACTGGGATCAGGTCCTGTCGCTTCAGGCCTAGACGTTGGATTACCTTAATGCCAGCAAGGCAGCTCTGACAACCAGTGTCAGCCATTGAGGGATGTTCTATTGGTGTGGCTGAGGATAGAAGGCTGAAGCCTAGCTCTCTGTCATCATCTGCACAGACCGTGATTCTAAGGTTGACGAACGGTTGTGGTTTGGAAGCTCTTTGCACCCACGTGTCATTCAATTGATCATAGATATGATGATCTAAAGCAATGGCCCTGCCTTTCGTATGTTGTGTTGTGATGGTGACAGAGCAGAGCGATTCAAAGACTGCGCCTTCACAGTCATTTGCCTCATGACAGGAAGTAGTCTTCTGGCTCGGCTTGGGTTTGTCTTTGCTACGGCACACTATTTCAAGGTGGTGGTATCGTGTGCAAGTCTGGCATTTGTGCCCAAAGGCGGGGCAATCTCTCTTACGAATACGTAGAGGAGCAGCCTTGCCATGGCCAGTTTTTCCGCAGTAGCCACAGGGGTCCTGGGGTGGTTTTTCAGCAGGGGTGGGGGTCTCTTTTTTCTTGCGTCGGTAAGTGCTACCGATGGCCTCAGCTGCTTGGGATTCTTGTAAGCGTGATCAAAGCGCTTCCCTGCTTCTTTTGCTTCCACAAATTGGAGGACTTCCTCCAATGTCATGTCCTGGTTCTTTTCCCCTAAAAGGTCTATTTGGATCTCAGAGTCTGCTAATCCACGGGTTAGAACATCACGGGTCATCTCCTCCATGTAGCTTACAGCAGTGTTGCATACTCCTGCCTGGCCTTTTAGACGGGCTCCATAGTTGTGGACAGGTTCATCTCTGTCTTGGCGCATGTTCTGTAGTGTCACTCTAGCCACCATTGTGTTCTCTGTGCGTACAGCTAATGCTTTGATTGCGGCCATCACCTCATCAACAGATTTGTTTGCAAGGCTCCCACCTGCTGTCCTAGTTAGGTCTTTTCGCAAGGGGTCATCACAACATTCCAGCAATTGGATAACCCTGTCTTTGCCAGCTATCTTTGTTGCATCAGCATATTCTGTCCATCTGGACTGAAAGTATGACCACTCTTTGCTGGTACCGCAGGCTGATATTGTGGGCCGCTTGACTTTCTCCACTTTGGCTGCAGTAACGTGAGCGTTGGTATGAACAGAGCTGTGTGTGGTGAGTAGGGCTGCTACGATAGTGGCATCAAGGTCATCTGTGGTGTAGTCACAGCCTTCTATTGGGCACTGGACCGCCGGCATGTTGTCAGGTACGGGATAGCGATCATAAATAAGTACACTGTACTATTTGTCGTTAAGCGTTTATTGGTCCAACTTGACAATGATCGCTATATCTGAAACAGAAGATAAATTACATAAGTCTACATAAATAATAATCCTATAGAGATGATGTAGCCTTCAGAAATATATAAGTTTCGTGCCTAGAGAATCTCGTCTACGATGGCTATCCACGTACTGAAAATAAATAGACTCTATTATTGGCATGGGCCAAATGGCAGATTTTTGACATCGACCTGAAATAAATTTTAACTCCATAAATTTTATTGCGTCAAAAATTAACATTTTCCATCTTAAATCATCATCAACATAAATTATATAAGAACTATATAATTTTCTAACTTGATCAGTTGGTCGGGTATGCCGCTCTTTATAGGCGTAGGTACATGTTAGGTACCACTGCAGGTAAGGTCATTTTCCATTCATGTCAGACTGAAATAAACACTCCAAGGCTTATTTATCGTTAAATAATTATCTACATATCAAAGCGCTAGAGGATGTTACACAGATTTTATCATATAGTAGTTCATTAATAATTTGTAAAGAAATTTGTGGCCATCTTGGACATGTAATGTTGTTCACGGTTTCCAAAGTCACAACAAAGCTTACTGAGTTTGTTCTGGAGTCCCGTTGAACACTGAAGCAAGACAAAAAAAAAGGGTTCCCAATGGTGTGATTTCTTTAAGTCTTTTCTGTAGTTTTTAGGTTCATCAATCTTATCTATCAATTTGCAAGCATGGGCAACAATTACACAAAATAATAAATCTGGTACAAAATTGACAATATGTTTCTTATATTAAAGCTAAGATGACTGTAACTCCAGCACAGCCCCTTTGTGATAGTGGTTGGACTTACATACCAGCAGTCAGCAGGTGTTATAGACATTCTGGGAGCCTAAAGATGACATACGATAAGGCTGTGCAGGAGTGTGATAGAATTGGTGGAATCATAGCTATGCCAAAAACAAAGGAACTTCAAAATGCCATGGTGTCAATACTGTAAGTGATTATGCAATATTGTCAGTTCCAGAATAAAGTTTGATAAATTTTGACCCATGGTGAATGTTATTACATGTATGATGTACAAAACATACCTTTATTGCATACAGATTTCAATAATCATGGTATTTTAATGTTTTGGTAAAAAGTCTGAGCAACTCAGCTGACTCACTCCACCAATCACTGCAACTACTTTCCCCTTTAAACAATAGGAGTGATGAGGAATACTGGATAGGACTGGAAAGAAAGGGGGGAGCAGGGCATGTTGACCACTGGGCAGACGGGACTGACTTAATTTATGACCACATTTGCCCCTGTGACTATAGAGAGGATGCTCAATGTGCTGCATACCGGACTCTTGGTGACAACAATGGTGGATGGCATTACTGGGCTGATAGGAAGTGTAGTCATAAGGAGAGATTTGTCTGTGAGAAAACAGGTAACTACATGTTACAGGACTGTGCATGCATGCAAAGAAGGGCAGCATGTAGGCATATTTAAAAGACATTGAGAGAAGTTGAGAAAGCAAGAAAGATTCAGTGCAGGTTCAGATGGGTGTTTTAAGGCTATATTAATATGAAAATTCAATCTCTGCCTGTATCCCTGTACTTGAGAATGTTTGGCGTGTGTTTGCGTAATAGAGACAGAGAAAGGGTTCACTAACAAATCTTTATCAAAGCTTCAACAGCAAACATGACACAGATGGAAAGAAAGAGGGAGAGATGTTGTAACTGAAGATAGCCATGGCATATAGTAATTTATTTGTAGTAAACACTGACTTTTATGTCAATATAACTGCCATTCTTCTAGGAGGATGTTACGCTGGAAATTAGTGAAGATACTTTTAAAATCTCTGAACTTTGAGATACCATCAGTAATTTTTTAGTGTAAAAATAAGTTGTCATTTTTGTTTTCAGTTTCATTTTCTACTTGTGATCCTCTTCCACTACCCCCAAATCTGGCACCAGAAGACTGTGAGGTTGTGTTACCTAGCAATGCTGTACACACTGGACCATACCCTCTTGGTACAACTGTAGCGATGAACAACTGGTATATGCTGCCACCTAGCACTCAAACCTTTACATGTGCAAATTTCACCTGGGTTTTGAGTTCTGAATTGCAGCTAGGTAATTAACTTGGCAATTCATTAAAAATAGTTCCAAAACTTATATGTATCAAATACATACTTGTCCTAATTAAAAAANTTTCATTTTCTACTTGTGATCCTCTTCCACTACCCCCAAATCTGGCACCAGAAGACTGTGAGGTTGTGTTACCTAGCAATGCTGTACACACTAGACCATACCCTCTTGGTACAACTGTAGCGATGAACAACTGGTATATGCTGCCACCTAGCACTCAAACCTTTACATGTGCAAATTTCACCTGGGTTTTGAGTTCTGAATTGCAGCTAGGTAATTAACTTGGCAATTCATTAAAAATAGTTCCAAAACTTATATGTATCAAATACATACTTGTCCTAAGGAGTGAACACCTTTTGTTTAATGGAAATATTATCTGGTGACAGATATGTCTAACCCAAGGGCTCGAGTCATTCCCAATGAAACTATCTGTATACGTAGATTGAGCAAACTCGATCTACGGGACTCATGCTGAATGCAATCAGATTAAAAGATAAACATTCCTTCTCTTGTTTCCAATGTACTCACATTATCACCAGCTTTCCTGTATTCTACTCAGTGCCAGGACGCGTGTTAATCTTTTAATCTGATTGCATTCAAGGAGAGTCCCCACAGAGTTGGATCAACCAACATAGACCCATATATAGTCTCATTGAGAAAAAGCCCTTAAATGCAGCCCCAGTGTGAGTACCAACTGTTCCTATATAGTGTAAAATATACATGTTTTCATTCTGTTTACCAAAATAACTGTCAGTGCCATGCCATAATATCCAATTTCATTTTCAGAAGGAGGCTGTACAAATATCCCATTGGTTCCACACAGCAACCATACACTGGATGAGCTTGTTAATACAGGCAGCCACAACTTTACCACTACTTTCATGTTGAATAGTTCAATGCTGTTTAGAAACAATAGCTTTTTGACTTCAGATATTTGCAACAGGACTAACAATTTTACATACTTTGTGAATTTGAACAGTACCAATTCTCCAACAAAGGAAATATATAATTCTACAATGAGGACAGAAATATATAATTATACCAATATCTCAGATCCTGGCATGAGGGAACCAATACCATTGTGGTCCATACTAAATTATACCTGTCACAAAGGTTACAGACTTCAAAATGGAAATAAGTCTTTTTCTATTCTGTGTGGAATAGGATGGAGTTGGGTGGGACACGTTCAAGATTGCTTGCGTAAGGATCATTTTGCATTTGTAAACAATAAGTATGAAGGTACAGTACTTTCATAAAAATTCAATAATGGGCTTAAAACTATTGAAGAAATAGGTATGTATATGCATTATTTAATTACCATCACTGCTACATTGTGCTACTATTTAAAAACTCAACACATTAAAAGTTTTCTGAAAAATGTATCTTGTTTCACACAACTCATATATTTGATGTACCCATCTGCTCATTGGCTACACAGGTGTGCAGTGTCCACCTCCCCTTAATTTGCCAAACACGACATTGAATGCTACAGGCGGAATATATTGGTATGGCAGCATTCTAGAGTACAGTTGTATTTCCAATCATCAGTTTGACAGAAGGACAAAAAGGAAAACAGTAACCTGCAGTGAAGAGGGTGAATGGTCACCAATCATCCAAGATGGTTGTGTTGGTAAGAAAAAATGAATTAGTTTGAATAATTAGTAGGAAAATTATAAATGAAAAAAAATATTACATATTTGACATTAAAAATACATGCAACTTATTAGGTATGATTCATATATATGAAATATATATTGAAAGTTAACTTTCAAATGATTATTATATGTGTAAGTTATTAACCTTTCCTTTGACACTACAAACAGCTATTTTGCAATATCAAAACAAATAACTTTTTTTCAGTAAGTATCAAATGGCATTCATTTGACATTAATAATATATGTAAAGTACATGCATAAGTTCTGTTCATGTGAAATTAATTGGATGTATTTAGAAAGGGTCAAACATTAAAAGATCACATTCATCTTAAGTAAAGCCTAAATTACATTTGCCATGGATGCTGTAAGATGAAATCATATACGATTTTCCTTGCGATTGTTATGACATTGTACGTGGCTAGAGGCTATGGTGATTACATTTTCATTATGTGCTGTGCAATGTCATGTACAATAATGCTACAGGCTTTGGGGTTAGGAGCTTGACCAAATCGTAGAGGCCATATGGAGGCTGTTAATCCATATGATCTTGCACTGCCACCGTCTGTGTCAGTTAAGATGCTGCACGAAAAGAGATTTTGAGGCAGCTGACATCACATGCCAAATGTAATCTAGGTTTAGGAATCTACAGACTGTGTACAAAACATATCTTGAAAGTTAAAAGTATTTTAGAGTATTACACTTTGAAGGCAATCAACCCAGCATGTTATATTCCAGAAATTCCATGCTACCAACCACCAAATGGATATGTGTATAACACAAGCATAACACAATACGAATATCCAGTAAGAAGCACTGTAGATTTAATATGTGCTGATGGCTTTAATTCCACAGGATCTATCCACAGTTCACCAGCAACGTGCTTGGGTAATAGTCGTTGGACAATTCAGTTTGATGCAGAGATGATGTGCACAGGTTTGACCTATAATAATATAAAACTTTTTTTAGATTTTGTATTAGATTGTCAATGGTTTCAAGGATTTGGTTAAGTGATAATAACCACTTACTTTGGAACATGGACACAATTATGTCCATGCTTTGAAACAAAATGTTTACGAAACAGCTGCACATAGGTTTAGCTGATTTATCTCAAGAGCACGGTCAGGCTGAATGCCCACAGCTAGGTCATTGGGTATTTGTAGAACTGTGAACAATTAGTAATTGGCAGGATGACCTGGTTATAGATGGAGAAATTTGAGAAGCTGGTCAACAAACAAACAAACAAACAAACAAACAAACAAACAAACAAACAGAGAAAATGACACACAGACAATAAAGATGAAAGTATATGGATTGTCAACCTAAGCAAGAAATAGATCAGTGACGATGAAGGATAGATCCTGGTGAAAGAGCTCAACTTTGCAGTAACATCAAAAACTATCCCAGTGGCAGAAATAATTGCCTCAGTTAAAAACACCAATATTCTAGTTGGAGAGCAATAATGGATCAGGCAGAAAGTCAAGGAAACAATTTACGTGTACATCCGTCAACTGGACCCCACCTTGAAAAATAACCAGGGATACCAGCTGCACCCCCTCCCCTTCTATAACCAGGGCATTCTGCCAATAGATTGCTAGCCTGAGTGGGAATCATTTACAGGTCAATTCCCAATGCCCTGTGTGGATTCAGCCTGATAATGCTCTTGGAACAAGACCAAAATTAGTTGATTCATAAACATTATATATATATTCCAATTGAAGTTAATGATTATTTTCACTAAAACTTTAGTAAGTAAATGTATATATTGTTTTTTTTTAATTAAATAAAAGTCTGTATGACAGACCAATGATATTCTATAGTGAGTCCATTATCATAGCTTACCATAATTGCGTAGAGCACTTGTCTACATGTCTTACTGTGATTTCAGACTCATTTTAATACAAATGTGCTTCCAGTGAATATTGTTTAATGTGTTAAATAATATTTCAACAACTAAACTTGAGACTGACATGTAGTAATTAGGACTTAATGTGTCTTACCTATTTAAGTGCATTTGTCAAAGGTGTGCTACCATAATCACTGCAAGACATCACACTGTTTTAAAAGAATATAAATCACTTCTATTCTAGCAATTCCTTGTCCAGAGCTACCTAAGCCAGGTTACAAAAGCTATGTCTACAGATACTCAGTGTTGAATGGTGTTTTCCACGCTGGCTATAGCCGCCATAACCATGATAACTATAATACCAGTGTTGTGGATTTTCGCTATCGTGATTATCTGGTTTTTACATGCGAATATGGATACAAGTATGAAAACTCAAATAAAATGTTCTGGTATTATCATTGCATGGAAGATGGTAGTTGGACTTCACAAACCATGCCAAATTGTACAGGTAGGATTAATTTTGTAAAAAAAAAAACTTTTAGAGATACCCTCATCTCAGTTACATCTTTTTCTACGTCCCTGCATCAACACTTCCCTGCACTGTAACATCCATGCATTGCTTTTCTCCCACAAGGGGATCCATTCTCTATATACACTTTACAGCTTATTGTTTCAACTTAATGTATAATAATTGAGAAACTGAGCAAAGATGTTTACTTTTGTAAATACAAATGGTTTCATAAAGTAAAAAAGGGAAAAAGTCATTTCTTGGTTGACAATTCTTGATATATTGAGAAAAATCACGAGATGACATGCAAATTTATACATTTATCATGTCGAAGCCCAATGTCAACAACAACATGATTTGAATTTGTCTGCATTGCATGAATAAAGGGCATTATTATTATTCCTTCATATTGTTTGTTGCAGAAATCCACTGCAAACCTCCTCCTTCAGTAGGTTTGGCATTTCTCACAGCAGATGAAGACGAATTTCCACCTGGAAAAACTGTCACATACAAATGTTTGGATGGGTCAGCTTTCAGTGATGGTTCCCGGAGTAAAAACCTTGTTTGCCAATTTGGAGGATGGTGGAATACAACAAATCTGCCTGATGCCTGTGATAGGGCAGTCACATGTGATATGGTATCACTACCAGCAAATACAATGATTGACCAAGTAAAATCTGTGATGTTTTCAACAACTGATAATCGATTCCTTCCAAATTCAGTTGTGGTGATACGCTGTCAAAATGGATCCCAATTTGAAAATCTCACAGATCATTATGCCTTTCAGTGTACTGAGAATGGGGAGTGGAATGCAACATTGGACGCAAACGTAACAACATGTATTGACATTCTCAATACCAAAGAACATGGAACACCAGAAACAAAATTCTCACAATCATCACAAACGTACACATCAACTGTAAGTCTGACCAGTGAACTGACCAATGTAACAACTACAAAAGTACTGTCATCAACTCTTGCTTATGATCCTTCCACACAAAGTGCTGCATTGACAAGACTTTCAAATTTTACATCTACTCCATATCCAACAACTGATGAGAATGGATTTACTACAGGGTACACATCTACTTCTGATTTAACTATTGGGACTCCAGCTTTTACTGGCAAGCTTGGACCATCAACACAAATGTATAATTCCTCAAACAATGCAACTAATACAACCACAGCTTTTTCAGCCACTACTATTATGCCCCACAATATGACAAATGATACTATTGTACATAATTTTTCTGCTTGCGTATGTGAAGACCCGCCTTACTTTCCAAATACGTTTATTAATGAATCAACCAGAGCACTGTGCGGCATTGGTGATGAAGTAATCTATTCCTGCAACAAAAGCTATGCTTTGCCTGACCCTGATGGGCCTGGCACTTTTGCCATTGAGTGTCTGCAAAACGGAACTTGGAGTGTTCACAATGCAATACAGTGTAAGCGCACATGCTCAAGTAAAGACCTTCTCACTATTGAACATGCTGATTCAACAGTTAGTAATGTGACTGAGCAATTTGGTTTCACCCATATACCAGGAGGAACAGAGATACAGTACACATGCTGGAATGGGTATGCTTTTCCTAATAACAGAACTAGTGTTGTTATAGAATGTGGATCGAATTCCGGAAAATGGAATGTGGAAAGTGGACTTGGACACTGTGACTGGGGTAGGTTGGCTTTTAAACACATGGGTGTGTGGGGCATGTTATTTTACTATTTTAGAGGGAAATGCCTGGTATCAAAGTTTACCACTTTACTGTACTGCTACTATAAAAGTACAACGTACATGTACAAGAAACAAAACAAAACAAGCATGCAAAGAAGATGAACAAAGTATTGAAGTATTATTTACATTTAAGTGCTCTTTATTTTTAAAAACCTGCATGCACATATATAAATATTATGATGGGCAAAGATATTTATTTTGCTGTCCAAATAGCCCAATATCTGTTATACTGAGACCAAGATTTCATACCTACCACTTACCAATCTATGTAATATTTTCAGTTCCACTCCCCTGTCCTCCCTTTGGCATCCCCAGCAATGCTGTTGTAAACACCACTAAGACAGCACCAGGAACAGTTGTCAAAGCATCTTGTCTTGATAACACCACTTTTCCTGATGGTTCACTGTCAAGGACTACAACTTGTAGACCAACTGGACACTGGACCAAAATACTTCCTACTGCCTGCTTGGAAGGTAGATAAACTATATTACAACATGTTTGCAGAAAAAACACTCATCTATCTTTCCCAATTTCATAACAGTTGAGGAGACACTTCTCTAAAACCGCATTACAGAAAAGTTACATGTACAATGTTGTGTTGCTAACTTGTAATTGAGACACTAATGAGCTTGGCAAAAGTTTTGGTTCAGTAGTCAAAACAAAGAATTTATTTCCACACAGGGCTGGAATTGAGGCATACATATACAAAATAATGAAACTAGTAATTACTATCAATTCCAGTGCCAATTTGAAGAGGTAAATACCCCGAGTAATATTCAACTTTTTTAAGATCAAAGTTCTCATTCTTGTTAAACTAGTTTGAAAAGCAAACTTAAGTAAATTAAATTACAATTCTTCACATAAATGATATTTTATTTCTCACCAGTACCCATAACTTTGATGAAAAGAAGATCCAAGCATGCAGCACAGCCCCTTGAAGCTCCTGGTGCTGTGGGTATTGGGACGTTAGCCCTAACATTACTGGTGGTCATCCCTGGTGGAATTGTTCTCCTGGATGCACCAACACTGATCAGTCACATAAAAAGGGGGCTCAGAAACATGCAAAGAGCTACACAAAAGAAGTACAACTACTCAGTATAGTGCTATATTTGGATGGAAAGCTGTATCTGACTGATGTATCAGTCAGTGCACCAAATACTGCTGCTGTACATAATTATGCCATTTAATTTGAGCCTTAATTGGCATTCCTAAAATGTAATGCAAATTAATAACGTCATCTGTATTTATCTTAGTATTTATACTCTTTATATAGATGGTCTTAAACATTTTTACACTAATATGTATCAATGTGGAGTGGGGAGCTACTTTTTTGGTCAAAAGACAAACCCTTATTAAGGTATAATGAGATAAGAATACATAACATTAGAAAAATGAAACAAATATGTCACATTTTATAAGGCACTGATAATTGAATGCCCTGGGTGTTGATATGCACTCAACTAGTATCCTATCTAGGGCAAGGGAAAGCTCTTAGTAGCTTCACAGGCCGCATTCAGAACAGTTTGATCCGAGGACTAACTGATACCCAGATCAAATATGGCGACCCACTTGAAAGCAAGGCCACCTAATCCCATAATGGTCTCCCTGCCTACAACCCGCCAGCCCTGCAGGGGCCTAGCAATTAAATTTCAGAGACGAGATTTAATCCATTTCATTGCTAGCTAGACCCCAGAAGACAACACAGCGCCATTCCACCGATGTACGTATTATTTGATGCTTAGTATTAAATCTAAAAGATGAAGAAATTTATAAGATATCTTTATGACCGCAAATGGGCAACTGGAATTCATTTTGTTAGCTATAAAAAACATGAACATGATTTTCTTCAATTTGAATGACTTTTTATATTTAGCATAAATTAACTGATAGCAAAAATTGTGCTAATAGTTGTATGACTAGAGATCTCTTACTAGAAATTTAAAGTAAAGACTACACTAATTTCTCAATCTTTTCAATGGGGAAAATTAAGAATTTTACAGACACTGTATTTCTAAGTCATAATTTCTTAAGTTAGAACATTCCAATTGAGTGGTAGCAGTAAAACTAAAAAGCAGGCTACTCTATAGTTCTACTCTAGCCAGTAAAAGCACCATAAATGCTATATAGTAATATAGAAATTATGTTTTTGAAAGCTTGGTAATTTTGCCCACTGTCCAGGTCTGAAAATATCAAGTCATTACCGTAATTCTAGACCTTACTGTTTTCATCACATACATATGCTTGTTACATAACTTACTGTAGGAAACCATGGAATACAGATAATAACAATACAAATATTTTGTTGATTAAAAATAATATATGTGATATCATATTGCACTTGCTACAGAAAACGTTCATCATTTGCATAGATTTTCATAGATTAATTTAGCTGCAAGTGTTGCACAGCAGTATTCTCCAAAATGTATGCATTGTTTCACTGATCATATGACCATATTTTGCTGATAACTGTGCTTTAGAATTTGCCAGTTTGATCTTGAGAACATCTGGAAGAACAACATTTGGCTGCCATGTCCAGTCTCTACAGCTTTGCGGGGGAAAAAGTCACTTCATGATCAAAATGTAGAAGAAATGGCTAAAATTGGGTCAATAAAAATTCTATTTCACTGAGTTGTAATCAAGTGCACTATTGTATTGATGATCTTACTGCCTCTTGGGCAGGTAATGAGGTCCATATTTGGGTTCCTGATCTTGTCTTCCAACAACTGGTCCAACTCCATTCTCAACTCCCTGACTAAGTCTGCCACCTGGTGACAGAAAAAGAAAACTGTTCATATAATATATTACAGTTTTAAGACAACAGCTATGACCAAAGCTAACTAGAAACCAAATAATGGACAAAAGACTCAAGACAATGAAATATGGTCAAATATCAAAAGAAATAGAGATGTGAAAAACACTTATATAGCATAAAATTAACAAGGCAGCAAAGCTGTCAAATGTACAGACAAAAAGCAGGAAATAACTATGCACAAAATAGGCTACTGTCAATTCTGATGCAAAAGTACATTATGTTAAACTGTAAATTCAACAACAAATTTTAATTATGCTCAGCAGGTGATACCAATGTAAGTAAAATGTGTAACAAGCATAAGGCTTCAGGCCCATGGGAGTTCAAGTTCACACTTTGAAATGTATAACTTCCAGAAAAAGAAGCCAATTAGACTGTTTTTCCAACTCAGGCTGCATTTTAGTCCTGTATTTCTTTTTTGAAAGTTTGACAATCATAAGTAACATGGTTTTCCCATAATGGTCATCATGGCAGCAGCACCCAAAATTGTGTTTTCTTCTATTCTGATGCAATATTACATAATGTTTAACAGCATAATGACCATCAATTTTTAATAATAAAATATTAGTATCATGGATATTCAGAAAATGTGACTAGCAAAGGTCTTCAGGCCCATAGAACTTCAAAGTCACACCTTGAAAATGCCAAAATGTAAACAAGACAGCATTGTTCTGAAATTTTTTTCCATTTTTAACAATTTTTAACATAAAACAAAATTAACAGTTTACTGCCATTTTTATATGATCAACTAAAAAAATTGATGAGATGGGAAAAATATAAACAGAGCAGTGTTAAATGTCCAATTTCTTCCATTCTGAGATTCTGAACATAGTGAATGATTGAATCTGACAAACTGCATTGATATGAGTTTATTTCCATTTTTGAAACTTAGTTACACAATACCCCATAACAAGTTTATCATCATTTTTACAAAATCAACTAACAATGTTGTAAAGATGCAGGAAATATCAAACAAACACTTTTACATATCTTATTGATTAAATAATGAAACTGTTAACATGCCTAAGAATTGAATCTGAGGAAATGTGAAAAAACAGCATAACTTCTAAATTAATGGCCCAATAATGCTGATTTTCAAACTCAACCTGCGTTTTAGCAGGATTGACCACTCCTGTAAGTTTAATGACAATTGGCCTATCTGTTTTTCTTATATTGTGTTTACTGTGTTGCATATATGCTGAAAAGTGAAAACAAACCATAACTACTAAAATAGTGGCCCGATCATGCCGATTTTCAAACTTGACCTGCATTTTAGTAAGATTGATTACTCCTGTGAGTTTTATGATGACAGGCCTATTGGTTTTCCTTGAAATGTGTTTACAGTGTTGCATATATGCTGAAAAGTGAAAAAACAGCATAACTTCTACAATAATGGCCTGATCATGCTGATTTTCAAACTTGACCTGCGTTTTATGAATATTCATCAGCTCTATAAATATAAAGCCAAAAAGTAAAACTGCCTTCCACTTATCGTGTTTACAATGAAAGTGCGCAGCGCCGACGGCGACGACAGACGCAGGTAACAGCAATATGTACAGACACATCTGTGTCTGTACATAAAAATGAGGATTGGCAGTTATTTATGAATACACATGTTCAAGCCAAAGGGATAAAAAAACAACTTCATCTCCAGATCACAGAGACACTCATTATTAATGATGAAAAAATTATTCTTCTTTTCCAATATAGCTGAGCAGAAACTCTGACATCGATGTACAGCCACAGTGTACAATGATCTTGACCACATTTCTAAGGAGACAGGATGGCATCTTAGGGTGCAATTTGTAAAACCACCTACTTTAACCATATATATATATATATATATATATATATATATATATTACACCTGGGCTTTTACCTCATGAGACGCAGCTACAAATCTTATCCATCCATCATCCAGAGATATAATAAAGTTTCCTTTCTCCAGGTCTATGTTGATGTATCCACCTCCAAACAGCAACAGTGGATACACAGACACCATAGTGCAGTCTCGTATGTACACCTGCAACATCAAAATAGTAATAGCATACACAGGAAAATGTCAATTAAAGTATTCTATTCTAAAATCATGTGTGTAGAAGGTTATGTGTCATGATAAAGTTGTTTATTAGTTGATTGTTAGCACCACTACAATTTAGCAGTCACAACTTTGAAACTCCTCAGTCTCGAGTACTCAACAAATTCAACATCCAAAAATCTATTACATTTTGGTTCAACAGGCATTGTATGGGTACCATAGTTTAAATACTGGAAGATTCACCTACCCGGGAGGTCTTGACTTTTTCATGATAAACAAGGTATGGACTCTCATAGTAATTGACTTGAAAATTCACTGAGGATGGATGGATGTTTATCTAAAAGTTGAAAGAAATGTTGATCAGACCAATTTTTGCTTGAGTCTCAAGTTCAATATTCATAGATCTGCATATGCACTAACTTGTTTATTGTATATTCTATACCTGACATGACCATTAAGAAGTAAATATGAACACAGTTTAAATCATAAATGATAGGGATACAGAAAATACTCACATAACCATCATCTTTAGTTTTAAACTTCAATTCTTCTGGTTTTGGAGGCATCAGAACACTTCCTTCAAAAGACAAATATTTATTTTTCAATTTCAATTACAAGGTCTGTGCATACCATAAGCATTCATAAACAAAGTCAAGAATCTTCAATCATTTAAATATAAATGTCTTTATGAAATGTTTATAAAAGAACATTAAAACAGTATTCTTAAAAGCACCATCTAACACAATGTCATATTCCTTACCGAGTCTCATCTAACACAATAAAAATCCCGTCTCACCTAACGCACTTACCTGCTGCACTCTCTTTGTATCTTGCCTCTGGAGTTTTGATCTGCACCACATTTGGATATAAGGCTGCACACAATATTGCAGACACTAGTTTCAAGTTGTCAGAGTTGCAGTTAGCCTAAAATGCACATTCATAAATAAAAGGACTGTTCACAATATTTTAACATTTCCTTCTTGAATATGTTATTCCTCTTAGATATAATATGTTTGACCAATTGTATCTAATATGCACCTTCTCCCTTCTCTTTATTGATTACTCTTGGGGAAAATGTGCTTCTCATACACTCCCACCTCATAGCCCCACAGAACATAATGACCAACCAAACTACCACATTAGTATCACCCCCACCCATTCCAATTGCTTACAGTCGGATTAAGGCTCCATTACCTCTGGTCCAGTTGCCTGAAGAACCCCATCAGAGCCTCTTGAAGCCATTTTCTCAATGCGCCTGGCTGTCAGACCTCCTTGTACAAAGCCAATGTCTGACAGAAGCTCTGTGAATTGTTGTTTCATGCTAGACAACATCTGAAACAAAACAAGTCAATTTTTCTAGGCAACCCATTTTGTAGTTGCCACTGCAGTGTACAAATTAAGGAATATTTTTAAATATGCATACTGAAAGGGAATAGGATATGTATCATTAGTGCAAATTGTTCCTTTTGGTCATCACCACTTACTGAACAAATATACGTAACCTCAATACAGATGAAAATATTAAATTTAGAACAAATTCTGTACAAAATGAAATACACGTACACATAAAATGCAGATAGAAATAATAATCATAAAAACAGAAAGACTTAAAAATATGAAAGCAGCCTGGTAATTATACACTAAGAAGTTGTCTCACCTGCAATGTCTTTACTGACAAATAATTGTCTTGGCAAAACATGTAAGCTGAACTTGAAGTGCGCTGCTGAACTGAGAGCCAACTCTGTGAAAATTACAGATATAGGTCATTTATAGAAGAAAAAAAATCTCTATCATTCTTTGCACTGCAATACCAACTTGTTTTTAAATCAAGAAGATGTAATGAATCCTAATGTAATGTCATGCCAAAAGAGAACATCTGGCGATTAACAATTATTTGTTCAGCATAGTCTTATTTGAAAATATATTTAAATAATACAAATTGATCTAGAAATAACCACTATGGGGAAATAAAAACAAGTGGAGCATAAGAATATTTTTAATGTTATGCTTGTCAAATACACAACTGAGTAAATAGCCATACCTTCGTAGTCATCATATCTCTCAAATGTGTTTTAAACTTCAAATAATTATTCTGGTGTTTCTTTACAAAATAATTCTTCAGTGAAGTATTTTACTTTCCGCTTGTCAGTAAAATACACACTGGAAAAATACCAATTTTGGCATGGCAGGACACGCATATCTGTACCTATATTCTTACCTTATATGCCTTCAGCATCGTGAGGTGATCACTGCAACCCACAGCAAACTCTAGTTTCTTCTCTGTTGCTTCTTGCTTCTTTCCAAAAGGAGTTACCTAATGCAAGTCAAGTTTTCCATCAGTTATACACAATTTACAGACAAAAATATTGTAGCGCCAGTACAGGAATGACTTCCTTTTTTCATGTAATACTTATCATAATTACCTCAAATCAACAGTACCAGTATTTTAAACTGCTGCTAAAGTGAACAATTTATGGTTTAAACATTGAAGTATCAATGAATATTACTGTTTAAATGGGAACAAATATACATGCTTTTCTTTCCTGCAAGTGGTACATAGTAAAATAAACGATACATGTATCTGACCAAAATGATGTGGCATATACACTGATCAAAAATATGAATGACCCATGTGTGAATTATTTACGTTACACATGATGGGCTATGGACAGTAATCTATAGCTACTGACAGTACGTACAGTAATCTGCAGCACACTGAACAACAAAATTCACTTTTAATGATTTGCTGATAAATTTTTTTAAGTATTGCATGGGGTGTTTATATTTTTGCTCAGTGTGCTTGACCTTACAAAGGGAGACTTGAAGGACAGTGTGGCAGCTATGGTGAGGGCAGGATCCAGACATCTAAATATGGCACCAAACAACATCAGCTTGCCAATTCTCACATCAACTGGCAACAGAGCCAAGTGGTAACCTAACGCCGTCAGATTCTGAAAAACCATCAGTAGGTATAAGCATTATGTTTTGCAAGTTTAGAAACAGCAATCTTTTTTTCTACAAAATTGGCAGTATTCCCCTTCCCCAGGACATTTCTGATGAAAAACTGAACATATTTATTGTTAACTGGTAGTGTTTGACACATTTTTATTCACAAAGTTACTCACAATGGTAAAATATGTATTTAAATATGTTCATCAAACATCAAGAAAAGTGTGCTATGCATGAGACCTCACCCCATCAACATCCAGAGCACCAAGATCTTGAAGTCTGTGGACTGAGCTATTGATGCTGTCCTCCTGTGGGGGTTCTATCAACTTGTACAGTACCTCCTGGAAACAGAGCCAAATATATTGCACGCTGATTCAGCCAAGGGCCAATTTATTAGTGCTATTATTTTTTTTAAGAAAGTATAATTAATATGCTCCAATATGAGCCAATATATATTGAGATTTCAAGAAATCTGTAACTGTTTCCACCTTTATTTTCTTTTAATACTCAATCTCTCTATTTCCTAACCAGAACTGATTTAATTGTCCAAATAATTGTATACCTTAACATCCAATACATTGAACAACTCCAGCATCTTGACTTTCAAGACCAGCTGCTCCAATGGTACTCTCTGGATTTCTGGAGATAAATAAAAAGACGCAGGGCCTGGATTAAGATCATTTCCGAATCGGACTAACAACTACCTTTAACTTTAAAAACATGAAAATACAAAAAAAAAAAAAAAAACTTTTTAAATTACAATTAGCCTAGAGAAAAAACCCAATAACCTACCTGGTATTGGCTGTCCCCTCAGCTGGTATTCATATCTATGCCCTGTGAATAAATGAAAGCAAACCCCAGAGGCCACTCTACCAGCTCTTCCTTTCCTTTGTACAGCATTGGCTCTAGTGACCCATACTGTGTCCAAACTTTCCATACTCTTTGTGTGATCATACCTACAGTGACACATTTTACAAACATTTGATAGATTTATCATCATACATGTATCAGGATGTGTGATTTATGGTTTCCTATGACACTTTTATATGGTATTCTAAGAAAAACTCGCTAAGTTTAACCCTCTGAAACTTCACAGCTTAGCCAGGGTATACTGTATGAAAACTGTGGTGGCAAGGAAGTGTCACCCTTCTTGCAATCATACATTTATAAACAAACTGACATTTATTTGCATGTGTCTTGAACAAGTGTGCTCTTTATGCTCTGAGACAAATTCCCACCTCTTCTCCTTCATCTTGCCACAGTCAATGACATACACCACATCATCTATAGTGATAGAGGTCTCAGCTATGTTGGTGGCAATCACAATCTTGGTGATTCCCTCAGGAGGGCGACTTAAATATAATGATTTGTAGTTTTCATTATTTTGCAGTTTTAATTATCCTTTGAGTGGTATCATAAACATCAAACTAAATCAGGTTTGTATTTTTGTGGAATGAAGAATCAACAAAAACACCTCATGTTTAATTGTATTGGCATTATCCTTTGAAATCTATTATATTATATAATTCTTTTTTACACTGATGACTTGAAGATAACAATTTCAAAATATTCAAAATATCCAATAAATATTATTTTAATACAAAAAAAAAATAATAATAAAATAAAATAGGGGCTTCCCTTTCAGGTAATCAAGCACACTTACTTAAAAACAGCATGCTGGTCTTCACTTGATAGTATTGAATGTAGTGGAATCACTTTATACCTGAAACATACATGTATATACACATATAAAAAAGCACCTTATACTTTTATTATGATAGGAATAACTGTTATATATCAAATTACTTAATAATTATCACAGTGGTTACTTGCTGATTTGAAAGTCAAGAGGTCTGAAATTATTTTGTGAAAGATGCATTTTTATTGATAACTGGCAAGACTCATTGTTATCCACACTTAACCAGGTAGATAGAGAGTGACAAAGCTGACAGTGTTTTCTTGAATTCTTACTTTCCTTTGTTCCTGAAGACTGAGCTGACCTGCAGTTTTTCATACAATGTGGTGATTTCTGCATAGCCAGGTAAAAAGATGAGTACCGCACCATCTTTTGGGTACTGAAAATATCAAAGGAAATTAATAGGTAATGACAATATATTTATGACTCAGAGACTGCAACTTTTGTAAAAGGAATTTTATTGAAATAAATGGCATATATAATGCTTAAATAGTTACATCTACAACAAAATTTGAAGTAAGTACAAGAAAGTCAAGGGAACTTTTAATTCTATTACCAATATCATTTGTGACTGATAATCAAGAAATCCATACATAATAACTTCATAATTTTTCCATATTATCTGCAATAGATTAACTCTGGGATAAGTTAAGTTTTTACTGAACTAGACAAGTCAGTAACAAATTTGTGAAAACACATATGCAATGACATTTTTGGTCTGAAAGCCAAATTATCTTTAGCAATGGGAAAAATGTTTTTACCTGCTTGACTAAACCTGTGCAAAGTTTCCTTGTGACAGTCATCATCATAGTAGTATTTGCTACATTTCAGTCACTTAATAAAATAAACTTACAAATAATATTGACCTTGTTCTGTAAATCAATTCACAAACCTCATGTTTTCCTTCAACAATCCATTCAAGTACATTCTCTACTAGGTCATAATTAATGGTTTCAAAGTCCATCAATGACAAGCTCCTGATTGTTGATTTTTTGTAGTCTGAAAGCAATATAATAAACCATATAATAAACCATCAGGTGCAAATTCAATCCTCAAAATAGCCCATGGTAAGAGCTTTCATATAATTATATACGTTTTTATCAAACATGCAAGAATTAGGTTTAAAACACACCAGTGCATCTTTTTCAAAATGTTACAATTATGTATTTAAGGGCTACAATATGTCTACAGGAAAGAACACATTAAAAATATGTGGCAAAATATTTACATGTATTCAGGATATCTACCTGGATATCTCAAAATTAGCTGTCTCACAGTTAATTTAGCATCATCAACACTATCCTTGGCAGCTTTCATATTTCCTGGCACATCAAAGGCTGCCTCCTCCAAGTCTTGCATGGAAAAACCATCATGTCCCTTGAGTCTACTGAATTCTTCCCTCTCAGCAGTCTGCAGTTTTCTCATCACATCTCGGGGTTTGGCATAGGGTGAAGTCTCATCCATCACAAATCTAAAACATGCACCAAAACATTGTCAACTTTACAAAAAAATATTACAAAATAAGACTGTTGGCCGGTAATTTTTAATTGCTGCTTTTAAATAAAAAAAATAGTTTTTATTTTTTTAATTCACCTTAAGATTCTTCTGTTTATTTTTAAATGTTATGAACTTTTTGAAGTATATTTTATTTAATCTTACTTAGTCATTTCTATAGCATCTTCCAAGAAATACTGGTCAACAGGAAAAGCTTTCCCTGAAATAGTCAGAAATAATCAATTATCCATATGAATTCACAGATGAATTTTTTTCTAATACTTAGACAGGTAATGGTTTTGACAAACCTTTATTTTTGCACTTATTAACATTTTTACACATTATTTACCATGCATTTAAGTAATATAAGTATAATGGCAATTAGTTATTCAAACCAAACACACCTGGTATGTGCACAACTGGACATAAACTGAAGTAGGAGGAGAAAAGATCTGCATTCAGAGTGGCGCTCATCAAGATCACCTTTAAATCCTTCCTGTGTGGTAGCATATCCCTCAGTACCATCATTAAGAAATCACTGGAAGAATACACATTTCATCAGACATGATGAAACTATTGGTTCTACTGGTCATGACTGATAAAATTGTCAAGGACCTATTCAAAATGGAAGCTCTTAAAATTGTTGCTGGTTGCTGAGTACAATTTTAAGAGCTTCCATTTTGAATAGGGTATCAATAAAAACTATAATAGCACATACAAGATGTCTTTTGGTCTGGCAGTTTTTCATAACTGCAATTCTGAATGTGCTGCTGTTTTTTAATATTTTTTATATTATTTTTTAAAGGTTTTTACCATGTATATATTATGATATTAAAAACCGTAAAAGTAATATGAATGCTCCACAGATGCAATACCAGAAGCTTTATGTCATTATAATTAACCTTTCTGCAACCCCACAAAATCCTTTCATTCCCAACTTATTATCCTTATAGTTTGGCCATGTCCTATTTCAGTACTTTGGCAATATACACTGTATTGCACATAAACATTTTTATCTCATGAAGTATAAGTAAAAATAAATTTTGTATTAATTCTCACTTCAATTAACCATTAATAAAAGCAATCTGTCCAAATATCAATCAACCTACATATTGTTTGTCAAGTTACTTCATTCATGTATTCCTAATACTAGTGATATGGAAGAGATACATAAAAACAATAATATGAATAATTTCTTGGAACCAAAACATTTCCAGATAACAGAGCACAAGTGAGAACTATCATTTGTAAAGCAATTTCATAAAGGTCTTCATAAATCATAGTTAGGCCACACTTTTTTAATTTTATGGATGACATCCTGCGCGCGCACCGATTTTCGTCCGTTCTCCAAAAAAAAAAAAAAATAATAAAAAATAAAAATCCAAAAAATGCCCCCCCCCNTAATAATTAACCTTTCTGCAACCCCACAAAATCCTTTCATTCCCAACTTATTATCCTTATAGTTTGGCCATGTCCTATTTCAGTACTTTGGCAATATACACTGTATTGCACATAAACATTTTTATCTCATGAAGTATTAGTAAAAATAAATTTTGTATTAATTCTCACTTCAATTAACCATTAATAAAAGCAATCTGTCCAAATATCAATCAACCTACATATTGTTTGTCAAGTTACTTCATTCATGTATTCCTAGTACTAGTAATATGGAAGAGATACATAAAAACAGTAATATGAATAATTTCTTGGAACCAAAACATTTCCAGATAACAGAGCACAAGTGAGAACTATCATTTGTAAAGCAATTTCATAAAGGTCTTCATAAATCATAGTTACCGAGAAAACATAATAAAAACAGATCTATGCTAGTATATCAGTCAAGTTCAGTAATATTGTCTGTCTAATTACAGTAGTACACAGTCAATCATAGTCATTAATTATTCCCAATAAAACAATTTTAATTGAAATATCTTACCTTTCCTCACTTCTTTCATGTACTTCATCAATGATAACATGTGACACACCTTCCAGAAGACCATCTCCTTCCAGACGCCGCAGTAAAATACCTGTGGTACAGAACAGTAATCTGGTAGAGGCAGACTGAAACAAAAAAGATAGTTATTAGCCCTGAAGATGGTTATAACGGTCTCTAAATAAAAAAACATGATTCCTTATCTATAAAATTTCACTTTTGTAATAAATAAATAAATAAATAAATAAATAAATAAATAAATAAATAAATAAATAAATAATACCAAATTAAAGGCTGGAAAATGTAACACTGTATGAAGAATTAACATCAACATCAGACTGAAAGTTGTATTTAAAGTATTCTAACTTAAAATATTGTATGAGCCTGTGGGGGAACTTTACATGTTTTCAGACATGCACTTTTCATAATGGAATTACCTGAACACTCTCCAGTCTAATTTGGTATCCTACAATGCCCCCCAACCTGTCTGCTCTCTCTTCTGCCACTCTCTCTGCCACTGCCATGGCAGATATCCTTCTTGGCTGGGTACATATAATATTGCACATCTCTGCTGACTTGGCATTTAAGTAGGAGTCCAGTATGAATTGTGGAACTTGGGTTGTCTTGCCACATCTATGGTTAAAGGAGGAAAAAAGGTGCATACTTAATATTTTTTAACATTTTGTTTGGAGGTTTAGCTTTGTCAGTTAAGTGAGAAAGCAAACTTAAAAGTTAAGGAGGTGTATATACTATGGATTATTTAAGTGGGCTAAACCAAGTCTGCCAATTCGTGCAGCAGTCTTGGTAAATTCAAGGGATAGCAGTCTAAGCACATGGTTACTGTTGCCCTGCTAAAAGGTGTAACTGACTTAAAAAATGACCAAATGATTTTTTTTTAGAAATGGGGCCTTAGTAAAAAGCATTTTATATTAATTACTTACACCCTTTGTAAGTACTACCAGTAGCTTACCATACCAAATTCAACAAAATGATCTATTCAAATTACTCAGCTACTGGTTTTATCAGATTTACTCAGACCGCAACAACATGCAAGTAAACGTACCCTGTCATTCCACTTATCACTACCACTTGGTTTTCAGCAATGACTTTGAGGATTTCATGTTGTTGCTCCCAGGCTGGAAGGTTTTTCCTTAGAGCTTGCATCTTTTTGTAAGCTGGCAAATTCTGAAATACAAAAAAGTTATTATAGAACAATTTTCAGTTAACATATATTCATTTTTAAGGAAGTACATGTACCTGTACTTATCTTGAAACATTCACATTTTTCAAAAAATATAAGCAAATTTCAGACATAGTGGCATACAATCCACATAAACTAAGATATCACTGTACCTGTGCTCTCTTGAACTTTTCACGTATTCTGTTATTTTCCCTTTTCACCCTATGAGGATCCAGTCTTTGAGGTTCTTGTCTGACAGGTTTCTTGCTGGCCTCTGCTTTGTGTTCAGGTTCCATTGTTGCTTGATTTTCCGTTTCCTCTTCAAAATCAACAATTTCCTCATCCTCCTCAAAATCACCAAATTCTGTTGTTTGACTAGGATCTATTTCAGGCTTACCTTTTTGCCTTACACTTGGCAGACTGAGTTCAAGGGGTGGCTGTGAAAGAACATCTAGCATTTCACTTTCATTTTCTAATAAACTTACAAGTGAAAAAACAACTGGAGCACCAGTATCAGCAACCTCTTTTGCCTCCTGCATAAGTCTTTTTGTAATGTTTAACAACATATAGCCAGGCATTTCCTTAAACTGTGTAGATACTGCAAGAATTGGAGGTTGTTGTGGGTACAAATTTCCATTTGGAAATCTAATTTCTAACTGAAATTTACTTTTTCCATCTTTACTTAATTCTTCTACATTTGCATGTGGATTGGTGGCAGGTTTGTCACCTTCAGGCTTTGCATGTTTGTATTGACATCTGTTACCATACTTGCAGCTTCCCCTTTGAAAGTAAAGGCATGGTTTCTTTTCTACAGGATCCACATTTATTTTGTATTTTTTTCTGGGCTCAGGCATTTTACTTGCTTGAATGGTCCTATAGTATTCTTTAATAAAATCCAAGTCTAAATCAATTGTCCACACTTGTTTTGGAATCCTCTCACAAAAGGCATCTCCATATATGGCCTCTAGAGCCATTTTTTCATCTTGGCGTTCACTTTCAAGTTCTTCTAATGGCATTTCCTCTCCTTCCATGTTGTTAAGGTCATCTTCATCAAGCTCAGATATTAAACTCTCCAAACACCTGCCCACATCTCCATCTTTATCTGTCAAGGCTTCAAGGCATCTGGATTTATCAAATCCATAACTGCAAGGCAAAAGTATTTGGGACTTTTTTAAAACAACAATCAATTTCTTCGCTAGCATTCATAATAAACTGGGAGTTCACATTTCATTAATATGAGAAATAACTGTACTGGCCCCCGTTTCACAAAGAATCTTAAATCCGTAGTTGACTATCTCGAGCTGAATGGCCTAGCTAGGTCGACTACACTGCAGTCGACTAGGAGTGTTTCACAAAGAATCTAAAGTCGTAGCTTGGTGTGCTTACCGTAGTCGACGCGCACGAGAAACTCTTCAAGAAAAGGAGGTTTAAAATTTCAAAAGTTTCACAGGACCTGACGTTTCATGGCCTCTTTCGGCCGAGAACGATCGTTTATCAACAATAAAAATCAGCCAAAACACAAACAAAGTTTGTTTTTGAACTTTATTGATTAGTTTAACTTCGATACAACTTCAAAGTAACAGTTAAACATTAGCTTGTCGTGGAACACTGCTGACGGACGTCTAGCGGTCAAAAACATAAACAAACACGCAATTGGCTGGGTGAAGTGGCATTTTATTTTTCATTTCAATATTCCATAAATGTCAGTGCTATTCAGGGATATTATGACACAATATCTTGAAGGAGGTATGTTCTTTCCAAATTTTTTGTTGTTTATGCTCTCATTTACCAAGTTTTAGTTGAGCTTGCCTACTTAAGTCTCCTCCCGAAGAGGCTAGACATCGTCGACTAGCAGCTAAGAAAAAAACGACGTAAGCGACCTTTTAGATTCTTTGTGAAACAGGACTTAGTGACGTAACGACTTAATTACATTGGTAACAAAGCTCTTAGTCAGGGAAACCGACTTAAGTTTTTTTGTGAAACGGGGGCCTGGGTGTATCTAACTGATTGAATCAGTAAACCAAACAATCAAATAACTTTTACCCCAAAGCTTTAATATTTGTTTGTTCCCAAAATGATCTTTACTCTAAAATATTACCTCATCAATTTGTTTAGGGCATATTTATTTGCCTGCTCAAATTCTGTCTCCCCTGATTCTTCTTCAGTAAACTGAGTAGCACCTTCAACCATCAATTTATTATCTGTCATCCAGTACTGCTGTGCAGTTCTTAGATCTTTATCATCATATTCCAAGATAGCATCACTGAAACCCATACAAGATTTGAAAAGAACATTTTTTAAAAATATGTGATATAAAGCACTTTACTTTTAAACATCATATGCTAAAATATTATAGAGATTCAACGTTACTTCTTCTGCTTGGCAGAATTGTACATTATTGTATCTGGAATGCTTTCTCAACTTGAAATACAACAATAACTATTTCACATTTGATCTTCTGATATACCCAGTGAGTAATATACCTTTCTTCATCTTCATTGTCTCCTTGTAACTCCAGCAGTGCCTGTTTCACCAAATCCTGATTTTCTGTGCTCATGTGGAGTTTTTGCATTGGGACTTTGGTTCTGATAGGAAAGTTTCTGAAATAAATACAATTAACAAGAAATACAGCAATAATTTCCATGCAGTGGCATACTAGTACTGTGCAGTAATTTGCCTATCCAAAAAAGAAAAGTAAATGAAAAGTTCATTATTTTTTATGTTCTGATTTGGTAAATGCACTGACATTTTCACATTCAATTTAAGAACAGAAACGTTATTACCCGCCACTGAAACGTCCTCTGCCTCCTCCCCTTCCTGAAAAATTATCATTTGTAGTCCAGTTTGGTGCAGCACTTCTTTCCCTGGTGAAATGACCTCCTCCTCCTCCTCCTAGAGCACCTGAGCTGGTGACACAAAAGTCCTCATAATCATCCAGACTAATTCCAGCACCACCTTTCTCTCTTGGTACGTGGCCACCTCCTCCACCTCTACCTCTTTTTCCTCTTCCACCACTGCCTCCCCTACCTCTGGCTGCCTTCTGTCCACCACCACGATTTGGACGGCCTCCTCTCCTTTTAACACTATTCATTTCCACTCACTTGTCTTGATTTTGGGCTTTTATAACTAAAATTTACAAAATGAAGTATAATTTTAAGAAGAACTGTAATGAAAGGAAAATGTCACTTTACACAGAGTACACCATATGGTGTGTGCGTGTGCGTATGTAATATTTGAAATGTACCGCCATTGGTACAGTACAGCTGTAACAGTAAAAATACTTAGTGCCACATCCTATTTAAATCATTAAAATGTTTTTGTGCGCTTCAACTTACCAACTACTGTAGATACAACATACTCATAGTAAAACCGTGGCACAAAAGGGCTGGCTATGTTTTAACGTTTGAATATTCTTGCCTGTTTGGTAACGTTGTGCAATACTTACGGTCAGTCTATCACTGCAGACTCGTACGCATGCACTATTCCATTTTGTACCCACGTTACTACAGGGGAAGTGGCTTACTTAGAGCACAGTGCGATAAAAAAAATCTCATTTTCTTTACCAAACGTGTTATCTATCACAAATGATGAAATGCACTGGTACTTTGTATTTCATTAACTTAAAAACTTGACCGACTCATGCAGACGCTCTTTACAAAGCTGCACCACGTTACTTTATTAGTTTCAATACTTCTAATTTTTATTAAATCAAATTATTATAGAATTTCACCTAGTTTACAATAATTTGCATCAATGACATTTCTTTTTCGCTGAATAATATTTGATTTATTTTTGGAAGAGCATATCGTTTTATTTGTCCAAGTTTTATGAAAAAGGTGTTCATTTCAGCATTTGCTCCACGTCTGTTTCAAATGAATCTCCAAATAGTAAAGAGCAGGTACGAGAAGAGTTTCGGTTCGCTGGGTTATATCACTTAGGCTATACGTGTCATAGATAAGGAAATGCCTTGAACTATTATGGGCCTCGATGTAGGTCAAGGGAGCAGTGAGAAAGATATTTGCATGCAGCTTGAAGCAAACGCGGATCTCTAGTGTTGATTCGGGCAGGTGTGTTTCTTAGCTAGCATGGTTTTTATTTTAATCTGCTGAAACTTTTCACATGTATCTTAGACACTTTAGCATATTTTCATAACAAGTGTAAATAAAATGGAGCGAATAATGAATGATCTTGCACATCTGGCTTGGGTTTTCGTGTGAATATGACATGTGACAAAGCATGCATTGTATTAAATTGAGACTTATATACAAAACCCCATATCATATTGAAAAGGTGTACACAATTTAATATGAACTTTGTTGAAATGTATTTTTAATACATGCATTGTCAGTTTAATATTATTAAATTTTTTAAATCATAAACTTATTACATGCTCACTGAAACATAATACCTGTACATGCATATGGTTGTATTATCCTCCATTATAAAAAGGCATACTACTAGTACATGTGAATACTGTAGGTACCAGTACATGTATGTCTCAGATGTGTTTTTTGCTGATTGTTCACTGCCCAATTGATTGGATTTTTTTAGATGACTTTTTCAATACTGAAATGATTATTTGAAGTTCAAAATGCAAAGTTGAGAGATGTGATGACTTTTTACTTTTATTTAATTTTAATGAAGTTTTAATTTTGATGACAATTTTTTTAAATGTGGAACCAGCTATTTGCAGGACCATTTATTTGATGGTGAGCATATCATTTAAATCATTCTCATGTCACAGCCTTGTTATTTATAGATTATTTATATTATTCGAATATATGTTTTGAAATAAAACTTATCTAAACAAACTCAAAATCTGCTGCTTTTCGTTATTCTTTATCACCAAAAATAACTTATTTTGACATACCACATATGCATGTACAGTATATTGGCTTACAGTCAATAGGCATGAATACTCTATCTGCAGGTTATTAGTGATTACTGTGTTTTAAAAAAATAATTCTTTATATTTTGCAGAGAAAATGTCTCAGGCAAAGGGCAAAAAGCTAATCAACACAGTAGAAAGATGTGTTGATGATAGCTTGGAAGGTTTTGTTGCTGTCAATCCTGGTGCTAGACTTTTACAAGGCCATCGGGTTGTGGTCAGGTCTGACATTGAAGAATATAAAGCATCTGGGAAAGTTGCTGTAATTTCTGGAGGAGGGTCTGGTCATGAACCAGCACATCCAGGTATGGTCAATGACAGCAAAGCCAGCAGACATCCCCCTTAGCTATCCTGTGGATTGCCTTTTAGTACATTTTTCTGGATGCTCTAGGTGTGGTACTACATATCACAATTGTCAGGGCTGAGTATGATGAAAAAAATTATCTGTTTATGTGTTAGATGTGTAAATATTTTAGGAAATGCTCTAGATTTGGTGAAGAATTTGTTTTGGTTTTATCTCTATAAAAGTTTTTAGATCCTGTCAGATGTCATATTTTTATATAATATTATGAACTTAGTATGTTATCATTAAGAGAAAAGAAATACATTTTCAAATGATTTTTAACACGTTTTGTATAAAACATATTTATATTTGTATAGTTATTTTTCCTGTGTATAGGTTATGTGGGGCGTGGTATGCTGAGTGCTGCAGTATGTGGAGCAGTATTTGCCTCTCCTCCACCAAACAGCATTCTGGCAGGAATCAGGGCAGTAGGAAAAGGAAACAAAGGTAGGAAAAATACATGCATAAATGTGTATGTACTCTCAGTTTTGTATTGAGATGAGGCACTTGGCTTATTTTAGCATTGTCTTTCTTTTCATCTTTTTGCTTTTTTCTTTTGGTTTAAGAAAACAAATTTGATAAGTTTTAGACAGTTTCTTATTGATCAAGTTGGTGTGCAAAATGGACAAGGGAAAAATATGCTTACAGCCACAGAAATCTTATGATGGAATAAAAGTATATGCTTTTCACAATGTTTTTTTTTTTTTTGCAGGAATAATAATGGAATAATAATGATTTGTTAATCAGCAAATACTATTAATATTTGTCAGTACTGTATTGAATCTTAGTGTGTTTTACAAAACATCTACCAGTACTGCATTTTGCACATGATTTTTGTCTAACAACACAAGTTATTCCATTATTGTTATCTTGTGCAATAATATGCCTCTCTTGTAATACTACTCACATAATACAATATTAATTATCTAACAATTTTTTTATCTGTCTAATGACTTGATATCTATCAAAAAGTCATTTTGATGACTCTTAACTTTCCCTTATGCTATTTTAAATCTATGTTTCTTAACATAAATCATATCATTTAAATTCCCTCCTGTCACTATACACACACTAGAATGTACTCTTTTTAAAAAATCTTAACTGCCCCTTATTTGCACAGGAGGTGTGTTACTGTGTGTTGCTAACTACACTGGTGATAGACTAACGTTTGGCATTGCATTTGAGAGAGCCAAGAGAGAAAACATTAACATTAAAATGGTTGTAGTGGGAGAGGATTGTGCTTTGACAAGTGCTGATAAATCAGCTGGGAGGAGAGGAATGTGTGGATTTATTGTGACGTGGAAGGTATTATTTCCTCATGCTGGAACAAAACATGACTGCTGCATTTGATTGTCACTTGATTTCAAATATGACCTGCCAGCCTGTTTGTCTACTTGTTTTTCAAACAATTACAGCATTTTGGCCAGTGGGAAAGTTTTGTCTCAAGTTAGAATGATTAGGTATATATTTTTTCAATTTAATTTTAATTGTTATTTGTATAAAGAAAAATAATAAATTTTAAAAATTAGGCTGATAAAGTCTAGCTATTTGATTAGAAAAGAAACAAACAGATAAGAAAATCGAAATGTTTGGTTCTGTCTTTTTGGCTATGGCATAAACAAGTACTCATTTAAGCAGTTGGCAGACTGTTTTGTTTTGAGGAATACTGGTGGTGGTTTTATATAGATTAACAATTCTGCCCACTAATACTTGCTTCATTTGGAATCATAACCTCTGATGTGTAGGTGGTGTTTTGCTGGTTGTGAAAAACTACACTGGGGACAGGATCAACTTTGGCCTGGCAGCAGAAAGAGGGAAAAGTGAAGGAATAAAAGTGGATATGGTAGTAATAGGGGAGGACTGTGCTCTAACTTCACATGATAAAACGGCTGGAAGAAGGGGGTTAGGTGGAACTATATTTCTGCATAAGGTACTTGTTTGACACTACATATATGCTTATGCGTTTCATAATAGATACTACGTAATGTCAGCTAGGGGCTTAAAAGCAGATTCATAGAGCTCTGCTCAACATTCATCAATATATTTAATTTATTTATCATATATGTTTAATGAAGTGGGGAAGAACAGTCTTAAAGTGTGTTTTCAAAAACCTTATTTATTCCACCTATCTGCTATATGGCTTGGTACTGGGTACTTAGCACTTTTTTATTTTGAGGTTGATGTACTATATGTATTTTTATTAGTGGATTTTATATTTACAGCCAGGAAAACAACCAGTTTGCACTGTATTTCACCCTTCCAGTAGATAGAATTTTAGTTCACTGAGTATTTGTTATAATTTTGTGATAATTATTTGTTCCAGAGCAGATCATTATCACATGATGAAAAGATGAATGTTTATCAGCCAGGCATTCTTTATAGTTGAAAATAACCACCACAGGCTTGCAATCATCATTATTTTAAAAAGAATTCAAATTTTTATAATGGGTGATTTACCAATATGGAAATAGGTTTCTTTCCTTATGCTTGTATATACTGTACCTAACATTTGGAAATGGATTAAAGCCAGTTATATTTATGGAACAGAAAAAAAGCTTAAATTGTTTTGCATTATTTGTTTCAAAATACCTTAAGTCAGTTCTTTATGCTCTAGTGATATTTTTTTCTGAGATTTTGAACTGTCAACAAAAAAAAATTTTATGCAGGGCTTTGATTTTTTTTACCATCCTGATTGAAAATTCAAGTTTACAGGGATTAAGCTTCTTTCTTTGACACTCAGATATGGTTTTAAAATGCCTTAGGTTTTTGTGTCTGTTACATTTAGAAGCTTTGTCTGAACTGGTGAGGAATTTGACCATGGTAATCTTGTTAAATACTGGTATTTATCACAGCTTGCAGGGGCCCTAGCTGAAGAGGGAAGACCACTGGAAGAAATTGTTAGAATATGTACTGAAGCAACACAAAATATGGGTAAATAAGTTTTTCAATAATCATTATTGTTTTAATAGTTTTAATAGTTTTATACATGGCCTGGATTACAAAAAAGGGGTTGTGGATGGAAATAATTAAAAGGTTGAATTAAGGGATAGGTTATGTTAAAGTTACAGAACTTACTAAATTCACATTATGTTTTTATTTTAGTCAGTCCTTGTAGTACGGAACTACTTTTGTTTGTTTAGTTACATTTCTGTATATTTTTACTATTCACAAACTTTATGGTTTTATTGCCAAATATAATTTCAAATGTATAACTGATGTTGGATGTTCCCGTTGGTCAGATTGAAATATTAGTTTTGAAACAGCCTTTTGCTGTTTTAACATTTCTTGCCTGACTAAATCAAAAGGCATATTTCTTTTTAGTTGGATTTTATGACAGGGGGACTAATAAAAAGTAGCTTTATTTTGAAGGTACAATTGGCATAGCCTTGTCTCCATGTAGCCTTCCTGGTCAGGGACCTACATTTCAGCTTGGAGAAGATGAGATGGAACTTGGCTTAGGTACTGTGTATTCTTCCATGGTTATAAAAGTATACAGTTAGATCTGTGTGTTTCTAAAATGTCTTTTCTAAGTTAATATTTTTTGATATGGTAGAGGTCATGATTATCAAGGATTTTTTTTCAATTTTTATGATAATTCTGAATTGTTTTCCCTATGGTATTCAGGAGTCCATGGCGAAGCAGGGGTGAAGAGAATGAAGGTATGCTTTAGATTGTATCAATAAGTAAATCTTTCTGAAGGTGAGCTTTAAGTGGTATAAATATTTTTCTGAACAGAAATGTTGTAAGCAGTTGAAAATATTTAATTAACATTTTTCTCACAAATAAATCTTTATTTTAGTTGTTAACAGCCAAGGAAACAGTGGAAGCTATGATTGCCCACATGACCAACAAGAACAGCAGCACACATCTTGACATAAATAAAGGTAAATGTCCAATTATTAAATTCATATTGAAGTCATGGATTATAGGATTAACTATACATGTAGTTCTAATGATTCACAGAATTTCTCAAAGAATTTGACTTTTGATTGTTCAATATAATTTACTGTCACTTATGTCTAAAATCCATACCTTTATTGTACCACCAGCGTTAGCGCTGGTGGTACACATGGTTTTAGTCCCGTCCGGTCCTTTCCGCCGGCTNAATTGATTGTCAACCTTACTTTTTTAATTTAATAAAAAATATTCTTCTTTTTTCATCATATTAGGAGACAAAGTTGCAGTGCTTGTTAACAACCTTGGTGGAACATCTGTGTTGGAGCTAACTTTAATGGCAGGGGAAGTAATTCGTAGTATAGGTAATAAAGTATTTCTTGCATGTGTAAAAAATTATGATTTGGCATAATGATATACTGTATTAACTTGTGTATGAGATAGAGCAAATTGTTCTCATGTTTCTCATTGATAGCATTTTGGATAAGATTGAAGATAGATTACGATATGTTTTTTATGTGTTCTAGAAAATAAGGGTGTGTTGGTACAGAGAGCTTTCTGTGGGTCATTTATGACATCTTTAGAAATGGCAGGTGTCATCGTCACTGTAATGCACCTTAATGATGTCAGAGCCAAATGCTTGGGTAAGATCCCTATTTATGTAATAAATGTTAATATACAAAATCAATTTAATTATTATTTATATTATATTATGTCTTGCTTATAAAAGAAGTTATTTTTCATAAGCATTCACAAATCAATGTTTGTGCAATTGTCATTTCAACAATTGACTACCAAATTATTATGCCAAATAATTATTTAAAAAAAACTGTTTAAAAAATTTTTCATATCTACAATTTGATATATTTACTTTCTTATAGATGCCGCCACCAGTGCTCCTGGCTGGTCACCCCCATTCCTTGCACCAGGTATGACCAATAGAGAAACCCCAGAGAGAATGCCAGCCGACGATGCTGACCTGTCTGATATGATAGTGACCAGTGGGGAAGGACTCACTGTGGATGCAGGCAAGAGATTTTGTTTATTGTCACCTTGATATGCTGTCCATTTTTGAACTAACAGTTTCACCACCCCTAATAAATTTTATCACTTGTAATAGATCACCTGTAGTAAATATGTGCTCAATGTTTGAATACTAGAATGCAAGACAGTGAATGTTCACATTACTGGACTTTTTTTAACAAACATGTTACTGAATGATCGTGATAAATATATAAAAATATAAAAATATACATATAATTTTCTACAGTGAATATTGCAATATGTTATACTGGACTCACATGCAGCAGTAGTTGATACAAGTATCCTTATATCATACTTAATATTATTGGTTTGATTAAATAAAAATGGACCCTTACAGATACAGGAAAGTTGCTGTACAGTATCCTCAAGGCAATATGTGAGACACTGATAAGTCAAGAGAGCTCCCTGAACCAGCTGGACTCCCAGACAGGAGATGGAGATTGTGGCTCAACACTCAAGGCTGGGGCTGAAGGTGAAGAAGTAAAAAGTATTCAATTGAAGTTGGATTTAAGGTAGCAGAAAATTCATTACAGTAAGATATGACATGAAAGGTGAAACAGAGAAGCATAGAAAGTACTGTAATAAATTAGATTCAAAGAAAATTAAATGAAATTGACTTTCAGGAATTCTGAAGTATCTAGGCACTGAGACATCCCCAGGTCTTCCAGTTACACACCCTCAAAACCTGCTCCTGTCTTTAGCATGCTTGGTGGAAAGATGGATGGGAGGCTCATCTGGAGCTGTAAGTTACAAGGCAGTTTGTGTGCATGCTTGCTTGCATAAAATGTGTTTTTTCTCAAGTGGTTAAACATTTCATTTTTATGTAAGGAAGGACTTTGCTCTACCAATTGTTACTGCTAAAACATTGACAGTGAAGGTAACTGCATTTCCATGCAGCTTAAAATTCAAAGTATTGAAAGTTATTAACACAAACTATTTCAGATGTACAGCTTGTTTGTGACAGCCGCTGCTGCAGTTGTAGCTCATGACGTTAGTGCTACAGGGTGGTGTTCAGCTTTCCAAAAAGGCATGCAGGCTATCTCCAAGTAGGCAATTTCAATTAGAATTTTGATAAATAATTCTTGACATGAAATTTCTATCAAAATTCAGACTGGGTTGTGTTTCTAAATTTGCTGTACTTGAACATTTTTTCTTTTTCTGCAATGTATTCCTAGATTGGCTCTATATTTTTATTTCAGATATGGTGGGGCAGAGCCAGGAGATAGGACTATGGTAGGCCATTTTCTTTCATGATTTGGACTGATTTTGCATAGCTAAAATATAACCAACATGATCATATCTAATGTAAACAGAGTAAATAGGGTCAGGGCCCCAGCAGCTGTCAAAAAGCATGGGAAGTGGAAATACTAGCACATGTTATGCAATTGGGATACAGTGATGAGGTTTGAATAGATAAATTTCCACATTAGGCCCAGAATAACTTTATGGCCACCCTTGCTAAATGAAAAGGGCAAAAAAGTGTAAATATTAGTTGTACTTATGACTTCCACTTAAGATTTTTATTGACACAAGATAAAACGAAATGATTGCATTTTATCTTGTACCAATGTAATCAGTAATATATATATCTATTTTAGCTCGACTCCATGAATGCCGCCTACAATACTCTTGTGGCTAATTTGTCCAGCTCATCTCCAATAGATGCCTTTGAAGCTGCAGTGAAGGTATTTTGCTATTACACTTGTACATAGTTTGGCCATATGAGTGTGTGTGTGTGTGTGTGTGTGTGTGTGTGTGTGTGTTGGGGGTGGGGGGGGGGAGTAGAGAAAGTGGGGAAGGCAGAGAAGTATGAATTAACCAAGATGAATTTCAAGTTTCACTCAGGAGATACATCTAATGAATTTATTTATTTATTTATTTATTTATTTATTTATTTATTTATTAGAAAACTTTGATATTTGATTTAGTATGTACTAAAGTTATATGAAGTCAGCGTTCATATTTTATCATTTCAAAAGGAATCTTTTGTGTCACCAGCATTATGAATGTTTTCTTGCAGGCAGCAGAACAGGCAGCAGCAGACACTGCAAACATGACAGCCCGTGCTGGCCGTGCTAGCTATGTCAGCAAAGACCTGCAAACGCAGCCAGATGCTGGGGCTGTGGCAGTTTCTGTGTGGTTGAAAGCAATTTATCTCACACTGAAGAAGTCGTGAATAAGTTGGAAAATTGCTCAATTGATTCTGAAATATTGGCATTTAGGATCATGTATGGCACAAATCTGTGAAAAAAAGCAGAGCTGATTACTCTAATTTTTGACATACAGCTAAATTCTAGTCTTCCTTATGAAGTGGTCATATATACCTCATTTGTAACTTCTCATATACTTACTGGATTGTTATTTATGAAATTAACTCTATTAACATTGACTTAAGTAAAACTTGTATTGAATTATAAAACAAATGTGATGAGAAATTACCGGTATGTATTTCATGTTTGAAATGTCAAACAACATATTAGTATTAATTCATAATTTTATGATATTGCAATTTTATCTACTTATTAAATAACTTTGATGTATACTTTATTTTTAATCATCTATGATACAAGTAGCCGTTGTAAAATGAAGGTGCTTGCACTGCAGAGTCAAGTGAAACACATCACAGTATTAAATCATTTGTTAGGGAATTACTCTGCAATTTTGATGTTCCATAATATTAAAACAGGGCTTCTTTAAATACCAAAGAAAAGGAGTGAAAACTTACCAAAACAGTATAAAATAAAGACAAATGAAAATGGTGAATTCATGTGTTCATTTAAATGAAAAAAAAGATCACTTGGGAAATAAACTAAACAATGTTTCAGATAGTGCCATGGTCATTTTGTGTCATTGATGAAATTCTCCAGATACCAATTTTCTAGCAAGTGGAGTTCTTCTCTCTTGTGCTTTTTTATTGAGTTCATATTGCCACTCAGTTCATATTGCCACTCCTTTTGCTAATTCCTACACATATGCCATCACTTCAGATCTTTTTCAACATTTTTGCTTTGCAGCTGCCTGTGCCAAGGAAAGTAATATCTGCCTCCCTTTCAACTTGATAAAAATTTAGAAATCGAAATTTAAGCTCCATTCTTCAGTGTAATTATAAAAAAAAAATATTATTCCAAGTATCAATGTAAGTAGAAATTACAGAAAAAGAAACTATGTACATATGCTGCAAAATCAAACTACCATCCAGACTCCGTACATTGGGAAGGATGCAGATACATTGTAGGTAAACAGTTTGGACTCTTACACCGGGTCCTAATATACCTTTAATACACTTCAAATGATTCAATGGAATGAATAAACAAAAAGTACAGATTACAGTGTAACTTTTTTATTAGTAGTGAAAGTTTCATGGCCCAGCCTTTTCATGAGGTTCCACCTGCTAACAACCTTGATGTAAACAATTTTAAACAAAGCCAAACAAAATCACAAGTTAATTTACACAATAATTATATACATCAACAATCAAAGCTCCACAGCATGACAAACAATTCACATTACAGGTTTTATTTATCTGTTAAAAATATTAAATTTGCATACCATCATTCACCCTGAGATGGAAACTATAAAACAGTATCAAATTTGTTTAATACAAAAAATAGAGATTATCTGCAACTGCTTCTTGATTAAGGATTTCTTAACAATGATTATTGCTTGTTTTTATAGAATATTCAAGCAAAGAGTTCCAATTATCAACCTCAAAGAACTGTTTTTGGATTATCTGAAGTTCCTGTACTGGCCATGGTTATAAGTAAAAATTTCAGGATATCTAGGTCTTACAGAATGAGAATTCTTGCATAGTCAATTGCAACCGTCACTAATTACAATATAAAATATTTCAGCCAAATGATATCTCAATCAATGCTGTCAACAACTATATTTTCATGTGGTCTGTAACAGGATGAGAATAACTGGAATTCCAGTCCCTGTCAAATATGGCCTTCAGCTGTTGTGGTATAGAACTGTTGGCAGAATTTGAAGTCTGGTTGACAATAAACCCTATGCCTCCTGTGTCAATGAAGTAGTCACCAGACCAGTTGGAAGTACCTGGGTAATTGAGTGAAACAAGGAATACCATGTTTAAAACAAAGATTAACATAAGCTTCGACACAGGGTATGTATATACATTTTCTTTTTCAAGATAAAGATTTGATTCAATCTGTCTTGAGCTTAAATCTGATATCTTTTAATGTTTGATTATTAAAATAATCCAACTTTCAGGTTAAAGTATTGGTTCACTAACAATTTCTTAAAATGAATGTACAGGCAGTAAAAAAAATATGCAAAAGAAGAGGATACAGTACTTCCCCCTTCTTGTGGTTTGTGCACACAAAACCCAGCATGCTTACCTATATAAGCCACATTCTCTGTGACCATATATTTATTGTGATTTACACGAGAATATGGAATCTTGGCCTGCTTTACAGAGGCTGGAACTTTAAAGAGTTTCTGCAAGTAAAATACACACATGCATATAGCATTATCAAGACGAAGTTGAAAAACCTTAAGTAAGGTAATTATCATTTGCATACATTTAGATAAAAGAATATATTTACTACTAAAGTACACATTGCTATTGATTTCGCTTTACTATATACCAAAACAAGAGAAATAATCCAATCAGACTGGTTTCTTATCTAAAGTCATATTTTAGTCCTCAGAATCATTCTTGTGAGTTTGAGAATGGTAAGTTACATGCTTTTCCTTCCATATTTAAAAGTAAATAAATCAAGGAACTGCAATAGTAACATTAACAATAACAAAAGATGCAGGTGATGGCTAGATATCCAGACAAGGTGTAAATCATTAAAATACAATTAAGCTGGAGTGAGAAGCATGGGCAGGTTACTTACCACTTGAATATGTCTACTGTATAATTTCAAGGACTCCAAGAAATATGGCATAGAATGTTGTGTGTGATTCCACCAACTGCCCAACACTCTCACCTCAACATTCCTCTCATATGCTGCAATACGCAGGGCATTGTCTATCACAAACCAGGCTCTGGGGAAAAAAGATTACATGTAAACAAATTGTAGCAATTCCCAGGGCAAAGTCTATCACAAACCAGGTGCTTGAATATAAACATTATGTGGAAAGAAAGCATGATATAGTGATGGAGAGAAATTAATGACAGTGCATTCAGGGTCCAGAAAAAAGTTAACATTTCAGAAAATTATTTGAGAATGACAGCAGAAATTAGTTACTTAATATATAATACTAATAACTTTATATATTATGAAAAATATAATTTGCATATGTACTTATCAAACCTCGGAGGAAATTGAAAAAAAACAAAAAACATTTAACTCCAAAAATTAATTTTTACTAATGTGGTCCAAATTGTAACTGCTTTTTCAGTTTCACATGTACTTCTTCAACAGACAGAGCCATAAATGGCTGCATAATATAAATGGCAATATTAAAATCCCTTACTAAGAAACCTTCATCACACATTATGCCTTTAACTAAGGGCTCATTCCCAATTAGTTTCAATGGAAATGAGCTTAACATGGCAGCAAGTTGAAATGTGAATACCTGTTGGGATGGAGATACAGCGTAGTGGGAAAATAATCCATCACTGCAATATATATAAATTTCTGAGGTTTGTTGATGATATCTAGAATAGCATCAATGTCTGTGGTACGACTTGCAGGGCAGAACTGAGGTGGGGAGCTCTGAAATGATCAATTTCATTTAGGCTTCATTCACATGCAATGTCTATTTTCTAAATTCTATTTTCTATTCGCGGTATCTTATGATCAAGGTCTGTGCCCTGAATATCCCGCGGCGTAATTACTGGCAGCGCGAGCCAGTTACTTAAAGTAACTTATAGTAACTGGCTCGCGCTGCCAGTAATTATGCCGCGGGATATTCAGGGCACAGACCGTGATCATAAGACATACCGCGAATAGAAAATAGAATTTAGAAAATAGACATTGCATGTGAATGAAGCCTTAAATAGATATGATTTTATTCATACTGTGTATATGATATCTGCAATTATTCTTTTGATGTATAATACTAAGAAAATGGATTAACAATTTTTGTTAAGTTTCTAGTAAACTCCACATGCTATGGGCATCAGCAGATTATGAAAAGAAATACCCCCATTGCATAGTGAAATAGAAAGTGGACCTTTGAAAAACCTTTTGGATTAATCATGAGTGAAATGCTATGGAGCATAAAAGATTATATGGACTTACAGATAAGTACACCATGGCCTGGTCTTTCCCATTCAACTTCACTTCTGCAGGGGTTCGGTTGTTATATATAGTATCATAGTTGTCTGGCCATGGGGATGGTATCTCAGCATCTGGTGCACTCATTGCCCAGTAAGCTTCAAATATCTTAGCTATGTCTGCAGCAAGACAGGGACAGTCATATGTGACTGTGCCCAGTTCTTTCACCTACAGGAAAATGTAAAAGATGTCAATAAAAACGGTTCAAAATGATATAAATTGACGTGTTAAGAACTGAACTAAAGATGAAAGTTAAGACAAAAATGTTTTTAAAAAGTTATTAAAATGTTTTCACAAATGTGATAAAAATGTCATTTATAATGTTTTTATAACATGATTTTGTACAGTTTTAACATGGTTAACATGGTTTTGTATGGTTTTTTGAATAACATTTTTAAAAATGCTTTTAAACCATTATTATAATATTTCAAGAAAACGTTTTTAAAATGTTATACAAAAGGTTTTAACAATGTTATAAAAATGTCTTGCAGAAACATTATGGTGACATGTTTGGCATTATGCTGAATGGGCTATATGTAGTAACACAAGTTCACCTGAGCAAGAGATCTCCAGTCAAGGTTGGCACTTCCAACATAAAAATGTTTATTATCTATAACCCACAGTTTAGTGTGTAGTATCCCTGCTCCAACAAGCTTAGGGAAGTCTATGCTTCTAACATCTGCACCTAATTAGAGAACAAAAATTTATGGAAGTCAATTCAAGCTGTTGACAGCATTGAGAATGAAAAAACATTTTGACAACTTCTCATATTATGCTGACATGAACTCACTTTAAAACCAGTTATTATAATTACTTTCTAATAATGTTAAAAGCCACAATTTCCCTAAATTAATCTAATATCTTATCTTAAATCCATTTTTTCCATTTCACTCACCTAGCTGACCCAGAACAGCAGTGTCATTTCCCTGACTTACACCAGTTGGCTTGGACTGAACAATCCTCACTTTCAGCTTCCTCTTTGTCAGAGCATCTTTCAATCCATTGAACACTGTGTCACCCTACAGTAAGTTAGTACAATATTACCATTGTGTTTTTCATCAAAAAAACTTTAAAAATTTTATCACATGGTTTAAAGTGAATATCAATTTCAACATCTTTTAACATCTTCATAGCAAATTCTCTGTAGGGCAGAAAATAGAAATGTAACTGACAGACAAAAAATAAAAAATTTCTGCATACATGTATCATGTTTCAGTACTTCATAACTTTGAAACATTGAAAAAGAATCCCTTACATTGATTGCTGAAGGATCTGGATTTTCCATAACATCTTTGCCCTGTAGAGTAAAATAAAATGCTCCAATATCAATGCTCTCATTAGCTGCACTTATCAACTCCATCCAACTCTCATAAATTGAAGGATGGTTCAAACTTGTTCCATTGTAAGTGAGGTTTTCTGGAATGGTTTCAATGAGGGAGAATCTGAAAAAAAGATATACTTTAATTCATGTTATGGCAACAAAGATGTACATTTGTACCATATATGTCCTCAGTAACAGTACGTGATGGTCAACGGGGAAAAAAGAAGAATAAATGAAAATGACATAAAGCAATTATTTCCTTAGCCAAATCTAACAATCTTCACATCATGAAATGAAAGTGAAATGTGCTTCAGCAATAATTAGATCCTAATATTATCAAATTGTCAATAAATGATTTAAGTCACCCTTTTATCAAGCAATATTTTACCTGCATGGATCATTACATGTGTGGTTGACAGACGCAGAAGGTGAATGTCTATAGATGACCAGGAAAGCAGAAAAAACAGATGCAGTTGTCACCACGGCCAATAGTAAAACAGCTATATTCAGCTTGTAGTTGTCCATCTTTTGAGTATCTTCAATGCCTGAATGATGGGGCTTATTTACTGGTTTGTCTGGACAGTTTTTAGATTGGTGCCAATTTCTAACTTAATTAGTCCTGGCATGGTGGAAAATTCACTGAAATACATATACAAATTCTATTCTCTTACTCGCTGTTTTGAAAATATTAAAAAATAAACTTCTGAAAGCAACTTGAGTGAATCACTGGCGTTATAATTATGATCACCTGAGCACTGGAAATCTGTCAAAATACATGTAGTGTTGGCCATTTCTCAAATGATTGACGATAAATTACTACACACGAATGTCAAACAAAGAAGCTTTTGATGATATATGTGAACTGATTCAAAAATACTTATATTCTCAGTATACTTATATTCTCAGTACTTTTCAGTGGTTATCCCAATTCACAAAACTTACCTTAGTTGACATCACATGCACATGATGCAGTAGCATTTCCTTGTTGTGATCGCATCGTCTTTCCCACCTGTAGCAATGAAGCTAGCCAGAAGTAGGATTTCTTTTAAAAGTTTTATAAAGATGCGAAATGTGCTTTATGTTCAATAAAACATCGATATTTGGATGTATGCAGTCGGACTGATTGTTTATTTGTGTTTGAGTAATTTTGTTTAAAATAAAAACTCGAGCCCGTGACTGCCACAGTCCACATGCTTCCGGTTATGATCACTTCCGGGAGGAGCCGCGTGGTTTTTAGTAGTGTTGTTATAGGCTTCACATGATTGCCTGATTATGGTTGTATTTTCCGAAATGGCTCTGAATTTAGATGAAGCACAGGTGTGTTGCCTTGTTTAGTTTACGTTTATTTATGTTTGGTACTTTTGTGATGTTTTTTTTGCATAGCTAATGTGCAGCAAGGTAGTTGCTAACATCAGTTTCACAGAGGCGATTTTTAATTTTACATGCTCGGCATTTACATGTATAGATACGTAGATCCAGCATGTAAGGGCGAAAAATGAGCAGATTTGTAAGACGCCACTGTACACAGCTTGTAGTGCTAGTAGTAATAGTGCCAGTACAATTACTTTGTACATAACCATTTTTAGGTGAAAAAGGCAGCCTCAGCAATCAAGACATTTGCTTCTAAGAAAGGTGCCAACCTACTTCTTAATGAAGCTGACAGTGTTAAGCTGCAGCTGACGTTCAAGGTGATACCAAAGGTGAAGAACAAAATTATCAAGATGTAAGTATGGACATATAAACAAGAAAGTTAAATGTGAGATATGCAAGGATTATCTTCTCTGAGAGTAAACGCATTGGTATAAGCCTTCTTAACTCAAAACATACAATAATACCCTGTTACATGTAAGCTTACTCTAAAGGTTGTTCCATCATTTTTACATTGAAATATTTATATTCAAGGTATTTATTGAATCATGTATGTTTTTAATTCCGGATTAGGTGAGGATGATGTATTTATTTTTACATTTAAACTTAGATATGAGACAATCTTATAAAAATAGTATTTTTATCATTTATGATTATATATTGTTTACCTTGCAATAATTTTGGTTTTTAAAACATCAGTCCACTCAGTCATCCTATAACCAGTGAGACAACTGACGTGTGCCTGTTTGTGAAAGATTTGGACAAGAAAAACAGAGAATATGGACCTACTGTCAGGCATTTTCAAGAACTTCTGCAAAGTAAAGGTGTCAAGTGTGTTTCTGAGGTACACTTAAAGAAATAAAATTTTAAAAGTTATGAATTTTGCATAGTGTTCCCACAAGGAGCTTGTTTTAATTCTTATTTCAAAGATTTGAAAGGTGATTTGTTACCGAGTGTTCATCCAGTACCAAATTTGACCTAAATGATTTTAAATAATCATGTATGTTTTCTGTACCTTTCCTGCAAAAATTTGTTTTATTAAAATATTTTGTAACATTTTTTTCAGATAATTCCTTTAAAGCAGCTTAAACTGGAATATCAGCCATTTGAAGCCAAGAAAAGTCTTTCCAACAGATTTGATATATTCTTGGCAGATGAGAGAATACTGAGACTTCTACCTGGGTTTCTTGGAAAGGCCTTTTATGGAAGAAAGAGGTAAGAAAACAAGCTGTTATTCCAGATGAGTAGTTGTTACAAGGACCTATTGCAAAAACCGCTGTAGTAGAATTTTATTACAAGAAAGAGATCACACTTTTAATTTATTTTGTCACTATATTATACTAAACTTCCCACATGCTTTATATGTAAAATTTTACTTCATATTGATTACTGTATTTTTAGTAAGATATACAATAAAAAATAGGGCAGAACTTAGAGAATATAAAGGCTACCTTGATAATTGCTAAAAGAGAGACTACCAGACTGAGGGAATGGCTACTAAAGCACCCAGTGGAGGAGAAATGCACTAGAACTGGGGTTATTTGATAAGCACTCAGTCTGCACTCTGTTGTAATGTTTTATAATTGAAAATTGATGCTTATGAATGTGATATTGTGTTATTTATAGGCATCCAGTGCAGGTAAATTTGAATGCTACTGATCTGAAACAGGAGGTGAACAAAGCAGTGAATAATACACAGTGTATCATCAGTGGTCGAGGGTCAAACAGGTGGGTAATAATATGGAAATGGCCAAAGTTAATTGTTTATCTGAAATGTTTCAATGACATAATGATCCTATTTATACTATGGTATCATTTTTAAGAATTAGTTAAAATATTTCATTGTTACTTATGAATAAATATTTTAAATTACTTATGAGAGTTAAATATTTTTTAAAAGAAGTGATGGGAAGTTTTAAAGCGGAAGTAAAAAAAAAAATCAGGTCGTAGAACCATAATTAGTCAAATATTCTGGCCTTTTTCCATTTTACATCAATACAGCATGGCTAAGGTTGGTCACAGTGACATGACACTTGATGAGTTAACAGAAAATATCATGGCAGCTGCCAAAACACTCGCACAGGCAATACCTGGAGGTGTTAACAACATAAGAAGCATGCATGTGAAGACCGAGACTTCTCCAGCACTTCCTATATATGTGTCACTAGGTAAGGCAAAACAAACCATGAAAGAAAATTAAAACAAGGTAAACAAGGATATTTAGATGTCATGTTATGCACAAGCTGAATGATTTTTTGGGGGCTTGTAAATTCCTTTTCTGTTTGTCTGACATAACATGTCATTATGGAGGTTAAACGAGTTTATCTCTATTGCAGATAAATATTATAATGTAAAAATGGCTGTGTAATGGTGAAAAAATGGTTTATCTTTTAACTAATTTAGTTGAGTGCCTTTGCTTAAAGTTTTAAACCTTAGATATGTTAGGTCTAGGAAGCCTTTTTGCACCCTCAATTGATTTGTTATTAAAAGGAACTGCAGATGAGGTGATTCTTCCATCTCCACCTCCCAAACCTGAGGAAGATGAACCTGAAGATGTCACCACTGTTGAGGAGGGAAAAGTCAAGGTGACAAGACATGGGGTGGTCAAAATTATCCCAGAGGAATCAGATGGACAGAATAAAAGTGATGTAAAGAAAGGAAAGAAAAAGAGAAAATCGGATGTTGTTGATAAACCAGCTCAGGAGGAAAATGTACCTCCGCCCATTAAAAAATCAAAGAAGAAATCTGAGAACATTGAGGAGAAAGCAGAAGAAACTGTGAAAAAGGGGAAAAGTTCCAAAACTATTAAAGGTCCTACCACAAAAACAAGTATTGAGTCCACAAAGAAAAAGAACACTAAAAAGTTGAGAAAAGAACCTGCAAATGCCACTGGAGAGGATCTGGTTGAAACAGTTACTGTAAAGAAAACAAAAAAGACCAAGAGTGGTACAGGAGTAAAAAGCTCAAAACAAAACACGAAGAAAGTAATTTCTGTAAAATCTGCTGTCAAAAGGACACCTAGGTCTTCCAGCTCTTCTAGATAATCGATTAATGACTTTGGACTTTCAATTAATGCTTTGAAGGACAAGTAAGACTTTCTGAATACATTGCAGATCAGCCCTAATTATGATTATTGAGAATACTTCTTGTCTCATTTCATTTTGCCAACAACTTCACTGGATATAAATGAAGATAATTTCAATGAAATGTCTTCATTGTTTGTTTTTCATATATGGAGGGGTATCATGATGATTCTTGAATTTTTTTTAAAATATACACCAAGGACAATGACAGGTTTAAATAGACCTGCACCTAAAATTAAGTCTGTCAAGTTGAAGGACAAAAGGCCCTTGGCCCTTTGTAAAATGTTGGTCATGTGCATACAACGAGTTTGTTGCATTAAAAATATGTAATTTCTTCATTTCCAATTTTTTCAATCTTAAAATTAAGCCTTTTGGTCAAATTCTTACATCCTTGGTACCAAATTTTACACAAAGCAACTGATGAGCATATAAATTAATTTGAATGTTGGCTACTTGTACGTGAACAACTTGTTGATTGGGCATCGTTACAAAATGTGCATGTTATATCAAACTTAGGGGGCATTAGCTGAGTAGATCTACATAACCATTTTGAATCTGGTAACATTAAATGATTTTTAAAGTTAAAAACTACAAGGACAGTTTGCAAAACCATTATTTAATATGTTTATTTGGAGCATGAAAGCTGTGCTTCCATGGTCATTTGTCATAATTTATATTGATGCCTTAACAATTTACAATGTGTACAATCACATTCATAAAGCACTAACTTACAAAAATATACATTTTCCATGACAATATGTTTAGCACTTTTTTTTAATAATTCATCAATATTACCTATGTATAGCCAAATATGAACAGTAAAAATATAAATCAAAATTTGAAACATATCTGTACACTGTAATTTTTTCACTTTTCACAGTGACATAACATAAACAATAAATATGTTTAGGGAATAATGAAATTTCTTCAGTTTAAAACCCTAATTTCAATATATTTTTTTCATCTCAATCATCCAAACCTGAAGTAAATATTATTAAACAGTTCATTAAAATACTCCATATTATTCTATTAAAATATAATATATAAAACTTAATATTTACAAATCTCAACTCAGATCTCTGGTCCAGCCAGGAATTCTCTAAATAATATGACACAACGATATGCAATAAAAAAAGTATCTATAATAAAGTATGACGGGATATACAAATCATCAAAGGTTTTGTGAAAAGAATATTTGAACTCATTTTAATATATGAATAAGTCAACTAAAAAAAATATTCATCAAAAATATGCCAAGTATTTTGTATGGTTTTAAAATTTACTGAAAATCAACTGTAATCTGACTTAAAATATATGGCACTTGCTTAAATTAAGTGATCCATAAGCCATGCTTATAAAGAATACACTGGCATCTTCTCACTCTGAAGCGCCATAAAATTTCAGTTTCTTTCTAGTTTTGATATTCATCACTTATCCTTGCAGGAACACAGTACCATTTCCTTTAGCAGCACATTTGCAAATGCTACCAGGCTGGCTTTCCATACACATGTCGTCTTGATTGTTTTGGTGGAGCCACATCTCCCCCTCTTACACCCTGATCACTACTTGGTCGTCTGCTTCTCCTTCCCAGCATGCCCCTCTCTGTGGCAGAGATTGGAGGGGTTATAGAAACCCCTTGAGGAGGTGTTGTTGATTTATTGTATCTAGCAGGCAGGGAGCCTGAGGTATTTCCTCTACTGTATTCATATTTCCGAACCTCTGAAAAATTGTTATCTCTCTGTGAAGTACCTGGGAGTGACTTTTCCTTGGGATGTTGCCTGTTCTTGATTAACCAAGATGTAGCTGACATAGCAGACCAGTTGGATTTTTTTGAAATCTCCGACTTTCGTGAGAGTTCTGATACTTGTCTGGCACCCATAAAGACTTGTTGTTGTTGTTGTTGCTGCTTTGTATTATCATTGTTTTTAAAGGAGTCTCTTCTTGCTCTGGGTTTTGATAACTGCTGAGCAACCTGTCGGTCCAACTCTGCTTCATCTTTGTCTAGAGTAACCACCTGAAATAAGCATTTGTAAGCATTTGAGATACTTTGCTCTTTATCAAAAAATTCTATTGTGTGAACATATAATTTATGTTACAGCATTTACATAAAGTCATATGATTACAACTAAAAGGCAGATAAAAGAATCATCTATGGTGTTCTGCAAGAAAATGATTTGTGCATAATGTGGATATTTTCTAATCTTAGACACAAATTTGAGACAACTACATACAGAAATGCTCTTAGTTAATTAGCTGTGAAAAAAAAAACCCTGCTATTTACCCATTATTTGAGTCTTACCTGCTCAAACTTAGACAAAAGCTGTCCCCACGTCCTGTCCATTGTTCCAATGGATGCCTTGGATATGGTGGATGCCTCTCTGTCCAGGTTGCCTTCTGTCAACCAATCCCAGCTGGAGCCTGACTCGTGGCTGATAGGGCGGCAGGAGTAGCTGGAATGAGTGCTACGACTAGAGATGGACAGCATGCCTTGGAACTTTACTTTTCTGAATGCCTGGAATGAATGATGAAAGTAAATTTAAAGACAAAAGAGCCATGTGTAATTTTTTTCCATTAAAACATTCTGAAACTAAGATTAAAATTTTCTTTTATTTTTTCAAAGTTGAATACATGTATCAAATACTCCATAAATGTCTTAACCTAATTATAAGTGATTATCATAGTACAAGACACAAAATTATTTAATTTTCTTTGCAATATCTTTGAGCATGAATTAATTTTTCATCACTTCCGATTTTTTCAAAATTCATGGCACCATATACATACACTTACAGGCTTTGGTTTGGTTATTCCAATTAACAACTTAAATCTCTTCAACATGAAATCAACCAGCTCATAGTCCTGCACATCTAGAGTATTTCTGTAAAAGATCTGTGCCCTGACACCCTTGAAAATATTTAGCACTGTCGCCATTACCAAACCTCCAATAACACCATGTGCGACCACATTGAAGGAGATAAAGAAAATGGCTGTGAAATATGGCTGGTGTTGATAGAGATGGTCAAGGTTGTTATGGCCTCTAATACTTGCTAAGAGGGTGAGAAGGGAAGTGGAGAAGGAACAGAACTCTGACATTGTGGTGCCAAAAAACTGAAAAAAAATTTTTTTAATGAAAAGAAAGTACACATAAAATACTCTGAAAAGAAAGTACACATAAAATACTCATATGCATTCATTAAGAGAATATAATAAACAAAGAAAACAATGTGTGAAAAGGAAACAAACTTTAGGTAAAATATATTTCTTTTGCAAAAGGTAAGACAGTGTTCTATTTCATGGTGAAGAAATAAAATTATTAATAAAACATTATAAGAAAATACACTTTTTGGTAAAATGAATTACACAAACACACATCTATTACCAAGTAAATTGGTTATCTATAGTTAAAAAGGCAAAACATTTACCAGGTATCCTAATGCTGCATAACTGATCAGAAATATCACCAAGAGAATAAAGCAACCCATGATGTAAGTTGCTGCCTCATTTAGGGTTTTCCCATACACTGCCATGGACTTCACAAATCTGAACTGCCGTGTTAGCTTTGCAAAATATATATGTATGTTTTAATAAAATAAATTCCTAATAACAATATGATTTTACTTAATCAGCTTATTTTGTCACTTAAAATCAAATAAAAAAACCATCTGATTATTACATAAATACTCTAAAAATGGGTAAAAAGACAGCAACTCTAATAGTTCAAACAGTTGTTAATGAAAGTAAGAGGAATGTTAAATTACAGTTTAAAAGCATAAAAAGTTTCAAAAACAAAAAATACCTTTAAACATAATAAAAATAGAAGAAATGCACTCAGATCTGTCAACACACAGTTGTAGAAGGAAGCTCTGTGGATTTTTAACCCAACATCAAACTTCTGGTTACTTTGGTCAACCACCCCAGTGTTAAAGTATAGGCTGTATGCATACATAGCTAATGCTGCTGATGTTGTTAGTATCACTGCCACCTCATACAGATTCCAAAACCATGTAAAGTAGGAGCAACCTTGCTGTTTTAGAGTCACAGCAGTATGAATTATTAGGTATAGAAGCACAGCACCCATGAGACACTGAAATTAGGTATATGAATAGATATAGCAAATAAATATTTTGGTTACAGGTGTATCAGTATTAACTTATACTAGATTAAGGGAATAGATGCAAAGTCAGACACCCTGACCAAAACTAAAGGGAAAATAACAATACTTTTGCCCACAATCAACAAAGGTACATGTATATCTGGTCATGTGCATTATGTTATTTTTGATGAGACATTGGACAGGAATATGCTGACCAGTACATGGCATCTTACCTGTATAATCAAAACAGGGTCAATATGATCAGCACTGAACACCTGTAATTTATGGGTTGAAATCCAATGGCTAGTTACAGCTGAACCTGGAAGTAATCATGATATAACATGCTGGCAAGCCGAGGCATAATGGAACTTTTAAGAAGTAATAACTTCTTTGCAATAATGGTTATAAATTCTCATCATTAAATAATGTACAGAGCGAGGAGCGTAAAATTAAATGCAATTAAAAACCTCTAAAAACTTACTTCAAAAGGCATCAATGAAAATTTTACACAAATTTTGATGCAGTCAATTCAAATTACTTTTTTTTTTCAGACTAAATATCACACATCATATAAAGATAAGTATTCTTTTTAATAACACTGCTCAAACAATATCATTTGCTAAAACAATACCTTACCTGGCAAAGGAAATTCCACCAACAATGTGGCACTTGAATACAGATTCAGATTTGCATTATAAACAGTGAAGTACACTACCACAGCTCTTGTCCTGTAACATAGAAAAAAATGCAAAACAGAATGTTATTTTAATAAATGATATTTGCTGACTTTTGAAAAAGGGCAGCTGTGAATTTCTTCATTTACCAATATCAACTTTACTGATATTCTTTAAATTGCTATTTTTTATATTCATACATAATAATGACAATTTTTCATACCTTAAGGCAGGCCATTTTTGTTTGACAAGATTTTTTCTTTGGTGTTGGCTTATTTATTTTAACATAAAACATAAAGCATAATTATTCTAAAGTTGAACATACAAACATGTTTCTGAATTTTACTTCTAAAACACTGTAATGATAAAAGATTTCTACCTTTCATCTAACCAACTATGGTCCCTGAGACACTGTGTCTGTGTCAAAGTGTCATTGAGAGTTTTGTTGTCTCCATGCTGTAATGTCTGTACATAACCGCCACCATGATACCACTGTAACCTACCCATAAGTGGCAAGCTGGAAAAGAAAGCAAAAGGTGTATAAGTTTAAATGTTGATAACTAAGGACAGATAATTTCATGCTCAACACTTTCCAATTTTTGCTTTTGTGTGGTTATATTTCATTTTCAAATATATTTCCATGATCAAAATTTGTCCATGTAGCTAGGTAAAGGCAGAGCAATTTTCTTATCCTGTTTTTTTTCTTCATATCAATATTTTTGACTTTTTACCTGCAATACATATCTATGTGTAAGAATGTTTTTTTAACTTTTAAAAACGCTTTTCTTAAAAAATAAAATAACTGTCACACCTGTCAATCTCATCAGCTAAAAAGTATTTCCAGTTAGTTCCATTTTTGCTCTTTTGCTTCCATTCTTCCCTATAATCCACCATGTCTTCTGCCCATGAGCCGTCTCTATAGCAACCACCAGGAGGAAAAGTGGAAAGGTGAAGGGCTGGAAACACTTGACGTATTTCACAGGTGGCTGCAATAAAAGTCAAAGGGTTCTGTTTTTTATGTCATAATCACATTCATGTATCTCATAGTTGTCTTTTATATGCTTTACCCAGTGTTTCTACCTTACAAGCATTGATAAAAACAACTTGTTGGGACACCGTTTTCATACTTCTAAAGTGTGTAAATTTCAATTTGTCATTAAAATACCAAAAGTGGATAAAGTGCTTTGTGAATAATAAAGGTTTCTGTTTTCGTTACACAAAATAATTCAATTGTCAGGCTTTACAGAACTGACACATATAGCAAAGCCAGTCAAAACTGATAAGTTGATTCCCTGCATGACCCACCCAAAATTTGAGGAAATCTGATTTTTTTGTTCCTTTTTTCTGAATGAAATAATGCATTGGGCACTAGTTTGGTAAGTGGAAAAAAATTCCAACTGATCCATGGAAAATCTTAATGTTGTTGTTTTGATGCTTAAAAATCCACCACAATGTGGATCTTATACTTCTTCCCAATTAAAAATGAACAACTGACATTAAATATAAACTGCAATGCCTGTTTCCTTTTTAAATACATATTAAAAAAAAAATCAAAATTAAATGTTGTCTATCTACCCTATTCACAGAATTGTGGGATGTTAACCAACTTGTTGATTTTGCCTGACTTAAAGTGTCAAAGCATAGGGCACAGTATTACCTTGTTTGTTTCTGACCTGAACCATCTGCACATTACCAATTAAATGACCTTCAAACTCTTCCTCATACAAATTGATGCCTTGCAAACTTGGAGCCAGTACAGTGTCTGCCCACTGCCAAAATGTCTCCACACTATAATAAGAAATTTCTTTCAACATACACATAAAAAAGACAAAATCAATAATTTCATGTGTGATAGCTTCCACTTATATACCTGTTCACTGCCAATTTATCCATCTGTTATTCCTTCATACAGTTGCATATGTATTCATTTGTTCATCTATTTATTTATTAAATCATATTTCATTCCATGTGCAAATATATTTCTTATTCCATGCTTGCACATATACATACCTTGTGATATTAGAAAAAGATTCCCTTGCACTCCCAAATGAAGCCTTCACAAAAGCAACATCTAAGACTCTAGTCATGTGGTAAGCCATTTGGTCATGATTAGCATAATTTATGACCAAAACTAACCAAATGAAGATGAAGTATACTACTGTTTGCCGGATTAGGACATGAATACGCTTTTTCTTCTGCGCCTCTTCTTGTGCTTGGATCAATGCAAACCCACTCACAGGCTTAAACTTGACATCCTGAGAAAAAATTAACAAATAAGCACCATAATATTTTCTAAGTAAAACCACTCAACAAATTTACTGTTACAAACCTAAATTTTAATTTAACTGACCTTCCCTACTTCTATGTTGAAAATATGGTATGATTACCTGTTAGAGGGATCAAGTAAATAATTATAAATCAAATGAAAACAAAAGTGCAGCAGTAAGCTAGGATTCACTCTGTGGGATAGTGGCACAACTGTACCTACATATGTGTATCTATGTAGGTATATTTTCAGTGTAATACAATTAATACAAATTACAATTTCTACCTTTATTTTTTCGTTGGTTTCAATTGTTGGCAGAACCTCAAGATTCCCTTCTTCAGTTGGATCATGTTTCTTGCTAATTGCAGCTAGGAAAAGTGCTATAAAAACTACCTACAAAAAATATTTTTAAAAAAGGTGATAGTGTTGTCAGTAGTACTGATTGTGCAATAAGAGGGTATTATGCCATTTAACCAAAGAAAAGTATATCACTAAAATTATCAGTGTTGACAAATTTACCTATCATGACTGAAATAATAAAATGTTGGTAACAAAAAATTTTATCATTCAATCACTTATCAATTTAGTAGACATTCAGTTGAAAAAAAACTGTTTGGGTATGCTGGTCAAAGCCCATGTGTGTGTGTGTGTTATGCAATAAAGCCTATCAAGAAAAATCACTCCACTAACCTTAAGTGGCTCTGTTATGAAAGCTGACTGAACAAAACTAAATGCTAGGGAGATTAGCCACCTTAGTGCAACATCTCTTCCAAACTTATGTCCATACAGCAGTATGACCAGTATGGACAGGCCAGACAGGGCAAAGCACAAAAGGTAGGCTAGGTAGATACAGCAGTGAGGCAGACGACATGTTCTTCCAGAGGGCAGGGCAGGAATGTATGGGGTAGACATGCTGCGACCTAAAAAGAAAAAGTAGTCACAATGTTATTTTTCCTTTTATTTCAAGATTATCATGATAGAGGCTATGGTATTCTTTCTTTTTCATGTCATGAAATGATTTTCTTCTGTGATCATAATTACAGTTTTCAAAGTCATGAATATATATTATTATCTTTGACATGTGACAGTTTTGCTTGATAATTAATCCAATAGATAAAACAAAACAATGTATATCAAATATGGAAAAAAAAAATAAAAATGTTAAAATTTTTAATGTCCATTCATAAAGGATGAACATTATTTGTGTAAGAAAAAATATACAAATGTAAGAACAGTGCAATACTTACCCAGTGACCTAATAGCATGAGAGCGTAAACTCTGACCAAATGAGCTGCTTTCAAATGTTTCAATACTACTCTGTTTCTTTAGACTGGAGGACCTGGACCTAGCTGAAGGCCATGTGATCTGGTCCCAGCTTTTACGATGAATGGTTGCTGGGGTAGGAGCCCCAGGTCTGCTGAAAATTTAAAAAATGATAACTGATAACTTGCATATTATACACATAATTTTGTTACAGTCGAAAGTGCTTGAAGGTACACAGCTGAAGCAGACTGAACAATTTTCGTGCTATATGTGTTGCTGTACAGTAAAAAGAGCTCTTAAAAGTTTGAATGATGGCAGTTCTTTCACCTTTCACTTTCTGGCAGCTGTGCCTCATCTCTGGGAGGGAGCCTGTTGCTGCTATTTCTCTGGACAGGACGGGTCCTGAAAAATAATACAGACAAACTGAAAAAAATCATTATTGGAGTTGAGAATTTTTCAACACAGTAACATTTTTTCCAAAGCACTCCAATTTATCTGCTGTCAGCATACAACATCTGATAAAATTTTTGACATGGTGTACCTTTTAAGAATATTTTTGTCTACTTCGTTTTCTTCAGTTTCTTCTGGCTCTTCCTGATGAAAAAACAAAGAAAACTTATATTCATTTTTTTAATCTAAATGTTTCATATGCTTCATTTCAAAATTTAAGGCTACCAATCCCTCTTAAACACATAAAATGAATAATTCATATATGTAACAAACATCATAAATAGTTAATAGTCATCTGTTTAAACTTTCATAAAACCATATGATCAAATCACCATTCAATACCTTTAGTTTTTCAAGAGGCATATAAGAGGGTTTGCCTCTCAGGGAGCCCCCACTGGTCACATGATCTCCTGGAATGCCGTCTGGCCAACTCATTATACCTTCATATGACGCCCACATTTTGTCATGATTGCAATTGCTCTATGAAAAACAAGATATAATGTATAATGCTTAGTCCAGTGATGCCTGATACCTAGTTAATAAAGAAAAATGATAAAACTTAAGGTTTCAAGACATATTTATTACCAGATAAAAAATAAAAACAACTATAGACCTGATCGCAAGCTGTCAGATCTTTGCAAACAGAAAAAAGGGCACATTCATGAAAGGCATTTTGTGTTTGGTATACCTACCCTGACAGAGCTATCATCCCTGTTGCTGTATATCCCACTTCCAGAGTCTGTGTCCCTCCAGCTGTCATCTACACTCACTTCACGCTTCAAGCGAAACTGTCCATTTGTTCTTCTTAGGGGTCCAATGGCCTGTTTATATGAAAAAAAAACCGAGTAAGATGCTTGAATCTTTAATTTAGTCTATAATAAGGATGAATGCATTGACTTTATGAACCGAGATAGAAGGGGTAGGGGTCAGCAAGGCAAAGTCCAGTCTATAATGTCATTTTGACTTAGGGTGCATTCCCAGAGATTTAGATCGATCCAGAGATTTGGATTTAGATCGACCTAACTCCCTGGGGGTTCACGCTAAATTGCAGTCAGCCGAGCGCGCACCATAGTTAATTACCCCCTTACAGCTTTTAGTAGGAGGGACAGACTCTTAAGCCAGCTAAGCTGACAGTAATCTAGTGAGACTCCCCACAGGGATAGATCGATCTAAAATCTATGAGAATGGCATCTTAGTCTCCAGCTAATAGTCAAACAAGGACAACAGCTCTGGGGAAGACAGCAGACAAGTAGCAGTTGAAAATGTCTGTACAGAGGTAAGGCAAACACCATTGCCATTCATTCAATTTGGCTGGAGAAAACAAACCTTTCATATAAAAAAAAATATATTACAAGATATGATTTAAAATCTGGGGTGGAACTGACCTGTGCAGAGTCCACTGTGCTTTCCCTATCACCCAACTGCAGTATGTCAGGTGGTGCTATTCTTCCCTTCTTTTCCAGTAAACTCCCTCCCTGAGAGTCCATCTCACACATAGCCTCTATTTCTATGGTCTGAGCAGTCTGTGGCTTCTTGTCCAATCTTGTAAGCTTGATAATGTATGTATAAAGTTAGTATATAACTCACCCAATTGCATTAACTTTAATCTATATAAAAAAGACATCACAGATTTAAAGGATAAGTACTATTAAATTGTTGGATTTGCACTTTCAAACTACCATCAGTTCAAGAAAAGTTATGTCACTGGGCACAGATATTTGTTGAAGAATAAACGCTTTTTGTTATTATATGACAACAACAACAGATCTTACCTTATGCCTGCTACTTGCAAACATCTGTATGAGTACCAAGTTCACAGGGAACACTATAACACTGGAAACAACTCCTACCACAATCTCTTCCCAAGAAAAATATTCAAAACCAAAGACCATCTCAAAGTTCAAGTCGACATCTATATAATCAGTCTTGAGCAATCCGTACCACATGGCATTAACACACATAAAGGTGTAGAGGAAGGTGACACAACTGGTGACACGCTGAACCCGTGTAAAACTTGTTCCTGTAGGCCTTTCGAAGGTTGACAACCATAGGTGGCGCTGTGACCAACCTTTGGATGCCTCACTGCCAAATATGGTGGAAAAATTGTTCAGCTCTTCAGCATCTATAAACATATATTTAACATGATTAGCAAAAAAAGACACATTAAAATTTCAATCAGCTTTATTTTATTTTAAATATCATATCATGTAGCAGATTTTTAAAAAATTAGAAAAAATGTCAATTTACAAAATAACTTCTAACTGCAAGAGTATTTTCTAACATCTATATGTATTTTTGATGGTTCTAGTAGAGTTTCAAACTCTGTAATTCATAAAATTTTACTGCTGATAAAAATAATTCTACGGTCACATCAGAAGACAAAATACCACAAATCTTCAACCTACTTGCCACCAGCACCTCCTTTTCAATAGTTGGTTCCTCTGCCTCCAAAGACAGCCAACAGTCCAGTATAAACTGGTATTTCTGGTTAGTTTGTAAATCTCTCACCACAACTCTTGACACAAACCAAGCTGGGTTCAAACTGGTGTTGTCATGCCAGATGCGTAGTTTATAGATATCTCCTAGGTTTATATCTGACGCAATGATGAAAACATCTCTGCTGTTCCTCTGGAAAGCTCCTACTTGATTTAAATGTTGTGGTTCACTTTTGGCATTTTCTCCGTAGAGACGTACACCAACATGTGCAGAAGTTCCTGGAAATAGCAGTATGTACTCAAAACACCTTTATGATAGCCTTTTTAGACATGGTTTTCCACTTTTAGAAAAGCATTATAATGTGGGTTCTATGCCCAACTCCTACTTTAAGAATATATTAAAATTGTAAGTAAAAATGCATAAAATTTATGGTCCTAGTGCAGTAATTACCTGCCCCTCTCTGTCTCCCAGTGATAACCACAATTTCATATCTGTAGACACCATCTCTGCCACACAATGGTACCACGCTGACCTTCATGAAGTCTGCCAGGTCCCACCGCCTGGCTAGTATCACACACAGTATGTACACTGCACCAACTACACACACTGTTATTAGGGCTACTGGGTTCTCCCTTATATCAAGTCTCTGAAAAGGAAAAAAATACAGAGTATGTACATGTGAAAAAATCATGTGCATTACTTATCACAGTTCTAAAAATATTCTAGTTTTTTTCACTGTTGTTTTTGCCATAGTATAATTAACAGGCCTCTGTACAGCTGGGACAAAGTAAAGTATCCAACTTTTTTGAGATTTCATTATTTATTTGACTTATACAGTGTATAGTGACCCTTAACATAAAAAAGCAAATAGGGAAGTCAAAAATAACAATTTTATTACTCATTTTGCGAATTATCTGCATTTAGATATGAAATGTAATTCAAAAATAAAATGCTATTCTTGCTCAACAGCTCTTGCACATAGCCCTTCACAATAATGTGTTGGGTTGTAACACTTACAGCCAAATCCTGGAACTTAATTGCGTTAGGTGTGACAAGCACACTAGCACCAAAGGAGGTCAGGTGGTTGCACAGGCACACTGAGCATGCTGCCACAGATTCTGCATCTGGTTCACAACCACCAGTGTCCCAGGTGTTATTGAGTTCATTGTAAAACTGGCAGCTTGTTACATAGAGTCCAATGGCCACATTAACAGCATGGTGAACACCTCTGTTTTCTAGGACCAACTGGTAGCTGGCATTGGGATTAAAATAGCTGAAAGATGTGCAAAGAAAATATTTTTCCACACATTATGTTGTTCAAAAGAAGAGCTTTCAGTCAATCAAAGATACTTCAAGTGAAAAATTATTCAATGGAAAAATTTTTTTTGTCAGCTAACTTAATGTTGTTGGAAAGCACTAATGCCAAATTTATCCTAAATACTATAGAGTCACCATCAGTCTTTTGATGTTGTGAGCAAGCGTTAATTTTCAGCAAGCCAAAACATAATATTACACAATCATGTTTTTCATTTTACTACAGCTCTGATAAATGCAGGTCCAAAAGATAATTTCCAACTTATCAAGAAAAACATTTCATACCTTGCTTCTACAAAGATTGTGTACTTCCTGTGATCCTTGCCTTTTGCCATATCTTCCCATGATACCTTAAGTTTTTCTTCATACTTGGATGCTGTTGGCTCATAATTTTTCCCCAGAAAGGCATCCAGGAAAACATCATTTTCAGAATTATCTGGAGCAGTCATATTTGGTCGAACAGTAAATCTACAAAAGAACCCAGCCATTCTGATGTCATATTATATAAGTCATTAGCATGTTTAAATAATATAAACATTTAATGTAATGTCAACAGAATTACAAAACAAAATCACAAGTAAATAGAAAACTGTTAAAATACTGCATTATTTACTAATTAATAACTACGTATACTGCGACTTAAGAAGTTTCCTGATGTAGCACTTAGACCTCATTCCCATAGACACAATCAGTCTACACAGGTTGACCTAAATCTGAAGGGACTCTTGCTGACTGCAATCAGCTTAAAGCCTCCTCTTGTTTCCAATGTCTTTGAATAATCAGCAGCTTTGCTGTGTTCTACTTAATGCTAGGAGGAGGCGTGTCCTTCAGTTAAGCTGATTGCAGTCAGTGAGAGTCCCCAATGAGTTGGGTCAATTCATGTTTACCAATGGTGTCTCTGGGAATGGGGTCTCATTCTACTGAGAAGAGAGCTATCATTTAGCACACTGAAGCAGCAGCTGTTAAACTATTATTACCTTATTTGTACATGCAATGCTGCAGCAGTGTCCTTGATTCCTGTAGTATTCAACACCACTTTAACTCCATCTTCAGCCAACACACTTCTCCGAACGTACTTCATGTCCTGTAATGGATCATAGGCAGCACTCCCAACCAACCTCCCATCAAATACCACAGCCGAACTGTTAAGGTTACTGGAGCCAAACATAAGAACTTTCAGCCTACGATGAGGCATTAGATTGTTCACAGTGATATCCCTTCCATCTGGGTATTTAAAAGCTAAACCAGGCACCCTTGAAGTGACATTCATAGGTCGAACATATCCCCATGTAAATGGATTCTTGGGCATAACAAACATTATCTGTAAGACTTCATCATTTGCCTGTAAGTCCCCTAGAAGATTATCGGGTAACACAAAATTGATCCCATATGTGCTTCTCTCTTGCCAAATATCAGTGGCCACTGTTCTCCTGCCTGCAATTTTCATATCCCCAACAGCCAATGTCACTTCCTTCTCATTTAAGACTTGTGTTCTAAGCACCACAGCAACTAAATTTTCAGTCTGTTTCAATGCTCTCCCCACCACGTACTCCCTGTGTGTCTCCTCAGTGTAAGAACTGGCCCCCTTCTGGGCCCCAATGTTGGGCAGCCCTTTGGAGCCATTCCCAACAGTTTGTTCAATAGGTGTCAGCACTGGCACTTTGTCAGGATAATACACAGCCAAATTGGCAGCCTCAATCACATTGGATAAAGTGGTTAAAAGAGATGTTATGGCAAATTCATCACTATCCATGCCTTGAGTTACTGAGGACTGAAGAACCTGGTCAAGCCGCTCAAGAGTCTGGACTATCAACCTTTGGCATTGCTTGGATTGAAATTCATCCAAATAAACCTGTAACCACAAAATATAATGTGAAAATATCTTTAAAAAAACGGATATAGATAAATGTTTATCTTACTTTAACTGTGTTGTTACACAGTCTAAATATGTGCATAATTCACCAATTTAATATAATTATAGACAGCCTTAATTGTACCCAACTAACACATGAAGTTGGCCCACTCTTCATAGCAATTGCCCAATAAACACAATGCAATTTCTGCTGTATGGGTTAACATAAACAATATCAAAATAATACCAGCCAGTTTATCATTTCTTACTGTTAGTTGCTGTAGACTGAAAGCCACATCCTGCGCATCCTTCACTGTATTTAATGGTAAGTTGCTGATGGCAGTGGCTATTTCATCCCTGACCTTTGACCTCACAGTAAGCTCTGTTGCTATGGTACCATGTTGCTCTGCATCCTGAGATTCTTTGTTGACTTGCATAGTTAAGGCAATGATGTACTGAAGGAGGCTGTCTTGGTTTCTAACTGTGGTAAGTCTGGGAAGAATATCCTTACTTGTTTCTAAAAGGTACTCGCTTTTGGTTTTGTTGATAAGAGGAGCTTCATTTATGGTAACTGTGCTGAAAATACAAAATAATAGCTGGCATAAAAGTGAATCATTACACAAAAACCACAGTTTAAATTAATTAATAAATTAACAAACATTAAGACCAGCAAATTATTTTTTTCTGTGTTTCTATCAAATATGATTTTTTGAGTTTCTGACCTCAAAAGTGCATTTTTGGCATTTCTCTTTTGCAAACTTCCTCAAATACACTTACATAACAGTGCAATGTCATGTATGTAAAATTTTACATTCTTAACACTTGAAATATTGACATATTCTTTAACTTAAAGATAAAAATTTAAATATTTAAATTTACCTATTGAGACCACATGTTCTGCCTCCATTATCATCTTCCACATAAACCAGCAAACGAACTTCATTCCTCCTCAAAGCAGACCCCGGCCAAGAAGATAAGACAATCTCCTGGAAAGGTTTTACACCTCTGTACAACCTGTATCTCTCTGTATTCATCTCATAGTTCTCTGCAAAGATACTGTACACTAAATTCTGCACAACTCCATCCGGGTCAATCCACCCAGTGCAAGTCACATTGACTTTCTCTTCTAAGGCAGTGGCAACATTTGGAGAAATTCCGCATTTTCCTGGTCTGGGAGGCTGGTTTGGTTTAAGTTTCAAGTTTGCATAAGTTGTCATGTTATTGCTACTTTTCAGTTGTAGATGAAATGTATGTGCCTGACTGTTTTGGAGGACACCACGCCTGATGACCAAATTTGGCTTGTTTGCACCAGTTGTTGTGGTGCTCTCATCCAGTGAAACTTGTTGTCCATCTTCTCTGGTTACATTCCAGCCATACTCTATGGCCTCTCCCTGGGCACAGTTTGTACAATTACCCAGCATGGCCACATGAGAATTGCTGCTGATCTGGTCTGTACCTGACACACTACAGGAAAAGCACTCTATGCTGGCCAGAGGAATTGGACCTCCTACTGTTTTGACCTAAGAAACGAAGAAAGTATAAATGATGGTAATGTGTAAAGTTTGTCATCAGATTTCAGATCTGCTTCGTGCTGAACAGGCATTTTTCATACGGAACTTATAGTAGTACTGATGAACAGGAATCATCAGAAAGAATGTTCATGCCACGAAAAAAATGTTAATCAAAAGTGGTCTTTTCAGTATGAGATCATGTGTCCCACTTTTATCACATAACAGACAGTGAAGTGACCATTTAATCAATTTCTGCTTAACTGAAAAAATCACTTGAAATTTACAATCAGGAGCGGATTTAGGCCATCTTCTGGGTCTTCCAGAAGACAGTCAGATTTTCAAGTTTATATTGACAGGTATCTCTTTTTACTGTTGGAGGATGGTCAAAATTGGAGGATGGATCAACAAAGATAACTTGGAAGACTGTCAGAAAATAGCTACGGATCTGCCCCTGACAATTATAAATTTCTATTTAAGCTAACTGCCAATTGACCTAATAATGGAATGTTGAAGCAGAATGTGTCTAGTTCTGGTTAGCAAGACACCTTACCTCCTGTGTTGCTGTTCCAGTTCTCCCAGCTGATGTGATAGTCAGTGTAAACAGGTAAGTCTCATCAGGGACTAACGTGTTAGAGGGTATGGTCAGAGATTTTGAAGTCTGTGAAGAGAAACACCCTAAGGAGGCTGCTCCTGGTAATGCAGACTGAAAAGGATAAAGACGTAATGCAAACTAAGAAGGCTGCATGATAATTAAGGAAAAGTGGCATTTGTTTGGTCTGCGGTCATTCCAAAATAGTTTTTGGTCGCTTGAAAATAGATATGTTTGCGAAATGCTTTGCAAAGTGAATTAATCAAAGTTTTCATTGGCAGCAAAGCTATAGAAATAAAGAAATATTACAAAAAAACAAAATATTACATGTGAGGAAGTAAGAACTAACAAACCTTCATGGTACATTCCCAATAGAAAGTCATTGGTGGCTGTGCACTTCTTGGAAAGTCAGGATCATAGGAGAGGAAGGCATTCAAGTAATAATCCTCAGTGGTAGGAGCCAGTCTCTCTGTACCTCCCATGATTATAGCAATGGGTGTGGAAGGAACAATATCCAGCTCTATGAATCCTTGGGAAAACAGTGATGTATCCTTATAGGAGGCTGTTATTCTCACACAGTAATGCCCATACATTAAGGACTTTGGTGGAAGTCCAAGTGAGCTGACATCAGTGACTATGCTACTAGGAAGACTGACTGGAGTCACAAGACTTGAGTTACAACTGGGTTCAGAAAAGAACATCCATTTGAATTCCACTTCATATGAAGTGCAGCCCAAAGTGTCCAATTCAACTTCCATGTATAATTTCCTCGACTTCAAAGAGGTCACATTTCCACTTCCAACCACTTGTAAAACAGGAGGATCACACTTGATTGCATGGACTTCAAATTCCACAGCATCTGTCAAGGAGCTGACATTATTGTAAGCATGGATCACCAGCATGTAGATTCCAGGGTTAAAAAATGTCTTATTGAAAGACGTCTGATCATAAGTCACATCCATTGTATCATTCAATGACCAACGATACTTGACATTGCTCCCTCTTACAACAGTGGCTACAAAATGAAGGGTCACATTGAGGTAGACATAGCTGAGGGAATCCCTGGGGACCAGTTTCAAATCTTCCACTGGGACCTCGGCTTCTATGGTGGACGAAATGCTCTTTGAGCTGATGTAATTCCAGGCTTCCAATTTGATAAAGTACTCTCCAGGATCAGGGAACATATGAGTTACCTCAGCACCAATATGAACTATGGGGTCTGACAACTTACCAAGAGTCCACCTAAAAGACAATAAAAACAAAGTGGCAATCTAGTCAACAATATTTCAAATGAGTGGCCAAAAACTCTTTGATGTTTTTTCAGAGGAATTGTTAAAACTTTGCATCTAGACAATCACAAAATACATATCTGGCATTCCATGAAAACTATTTCTTTTGAAAAATAAATCCACTGTGCATATCTCACAGAGAATCTTACCATATTACTGCAGAAATTTGGTTTTAAGTTATTCACCTAAACAGCATGTCAGTGCCAGTGTTGGTACTCCCCTTGAATGTTGTTTGCTTGCCAACTGGGAAGGCATTCACACAACACTCCAAGATTTCTATTCCACCAATTCTCTCCTGGATAATAAGGCTGACATTCTCACTCTGCTTACTGATCACATTATCTGCTGTTGTCATGACAACAAAGTTGCCCGGCGACTTAAATGAATATGTCACACTACTGGGGACAGTGCTGAGATGACTTCCATCTCCAAAATCCCAGCTGTATTTGACTTCAGTTCCACTTATCACAGTACTATGGAAAGAGATGGCTTCTCCCACAGCAGCATATTGTTTATCTGAGCTGACAGCAAGCCCAGATATTGGCTGTCGAACATACACTTTCACTGTTCTATCAAAGGTGTTGATTTCATTGGATGCATTCACTCGAAACTCAAATGTCCCCAGTTTATTAAATGTGTGTTGTATTTCTGGCACTGTAAATACTTTGGATGGAGAATAATCAGTGAGTTGAACATAATACTTTACTGTGCCAGCATGACTGTTAGTCACACGCACTGTGAACCGCACAGTCTGTCCTAAGGAAAAGTATGGCATAGGGGGAGATGTCTCAATGCTGATCCCATTGATAGGAATTTGAACTATCAAGGTGGCATTGGCAATGGCACTTTCCAATGGACTGGACACATGCACTTGTATGGTAAAATGACCCAATTGGGAACACACACGGGACATTCTAGAGGTGGTATCAAAAGGTAAAGGAATTGTGGTGGTGTTGTCTTGCAAATACCAAGCATACTGTACACTGCTGCCTCCAGTGGTAAATTCTGCCTGAAAGGTTGCTCTGTGCATGTACTTCACAGCTAAAAAGTGTGGAACAATTTTGAGCCCGGAAAAATGAGTGAAAACTTCCACCATCAAGTCTGCCTCCTTGGAGTTCAGATGACCTTGACCTGCACAGGTCACCTGGTACTGTCCAATGGAAGTAAACATGAAAGTCAAAACATCTCCTGTATGTTGTCCAAGTGTAGTCCCAGCTTTTCGTACTGTCCAAGTAAAAACCACACCTATTTTCACTGGTGAAGAATTGGCATAGAAAGTCACATTGTCCCCTACTCCAGCATATTTACCATCCTTTAATGTGCTGTTGATGGAAACAGATGTCAAAGACTCAAAGACACCTACAGTCAACAACTTAGATTCGCTGCTCACATAATTATATGCTGTCACATTCACTGTGTACACCCCACTCAAATTATATGAATATACTATCTTATTCAGTTGGTGTGATTCAATCTCCTGGCATAAGTCACAATACTGCCATTTGTACTGTACATCTGTTCCCTGTGTGACACTAGCACTCAACTCCAATTTGGCTCCAATCTGGACCATTCTATATACAGGCTTAGACACAACTGTAAGCCCAGCAATCTTATCCTGAATATAGACTTGTATCCATGCCACGGCTCTGCTGACTTGATTCTCTGCCATAACCGTTGCATTAAAAACGCCAGGTATACTGAACGTATGATTCATGGCACGTCCTCTTAGAAGTGGCACAGGTCTGATATCATTAAAGTCCCAAGTGAAGGTAATGTCAGTCCCTTGCTGGAGCATGGCAGTGAACTCATACTGCTGATGCATAGTCAGATGATTTGAACTTGGACCAGTCTGGACAACCCTAAGACCACTGACTGGCTCTAAGACTTTCACGTCTACAGTAGCAATTTTTTCATTGATCTCATTAAAAACACGGAGATGAATTTTATGAATACCAGGTTTATCAAAGTTAACCACATACCATTCTGAAGATGGACTTTCCACAACCTTTCTATCATACTTCCATATAAACCTTTGCCCAAACCCTCCAGTAACAGTTACAGAGATGTTGGCTTCTGCTGTTCCTAATGCTCCCAAAGAAAAGGGTCCTTCAGCCTTCAGAATAACTGACTGTATTGGATCCTGAACACAAACAGCCCATGAACGAGACACATTGGTAAAATTACTGGTTACATTCAAAGTGACTACATATGATCCTGGTGCATTATAAGAATGGTTTGTATTAAGAAATCCTATGCCATTAACATGATTTCCATCCCCAAAGTCCCAGTGGTAGAACAGGTCTATTGGAGAATGGTGAACAATGTTGGCTGTGATGTTGACTGAACCAGGGGGTACAACACACGATGGCGATGTTTCAATTTCTACAATCTGTAGAGAATTCCCACCAATAACATACACAGTTATATTGCTCCTCTCCCAACTTACATCATTAGAAACATTCACAAACACAGAATAGGATCCCAGGGTAGAAAACTGGTGGGAAAAAGTTGAATTTTGTGATACAGATGGTGGAGACCCATCCGGTAATTGAAATTCGAATGTTGGATTGCTCCCTGAAATAACTGTGGCAGAAATAACAGTTGTGTCACCAAGCAATGTCGGGCTATTGGAACCAAGCCACAACCCCTTGACTGGTTCTTGAATACCAACTTTAACGGAACCTGTGACAAAACTGACACCATTGTATGCTGTCACTGTGATATTGTATGTCCCCTTCACACTGAAAGTGGTTGAAGCTGTGTTACTGGAAGTTGATATTGTTGGCTGTGTACCAAAAGTGAAATTATATTGAACGTTCTGAAGGTTTCCCATGGGAGTGACACTAACAGAAACAGGATCATTTACCAAATATACATATGAAGGAGTTGCTATGTCAAGTCCAGTCAGTCTATCAATGACTTCTATGTTATGTGTTGCAGACACAGTCTTTAACCCATCAGATATGTAAACAATTACAGTGAAATTTCCTGATACAGGAAAAAGGTATGACACACTGGGATACATGGCAATGGCACTGTTCGAAGAAAATGATACCTCAGATCTATTTCCACTTCCTAAATCCCACATCACACTGAAATTGGTATAGGCATTCACTGTTACTTCACAAATAAAAGTCACATTATCCCCAGTGGCTGCCAATGTTGGTGCTGCTTGAAATACAAGATTCTTTGGTTCTGCGTGTATAAAAATATCTACTGTGTAAGACTGATTCATCCAGCTAATTTGATTAGATGCATTCACATGGATTACCTGAGCACCAAAACTTGAAAATTTTAACTGTACAGACTGTCCTGTTCCAACTACACCTATGCCATCTATGGTCCAAATGTAGCTAACACTGCTGCCAGTGGTAATCTGAGCTTCAAATACCTCAGTTACATTTGGCACAACATCTCTGGTGTTCTGTCGAGAAACCTGAAGCCCTTGAACTTTGTCTTCAACTTCTATGTCAACTGAGTATACATGAGAACTAATACTGTTTTTTGCTGTCACTTTTATTCTAGTAGGTGTACTGAATGATAATTGTCTGGCAGTAAAAGACTGAGTGCCAGATGAAGCAATACAATCTACATGGGAAGATAGAGCACTTGGACAATGGGATCCAAAGCTGCTCAAAATGCCATCTATGGACCAGTTGGCTGTGATATTAGATCCAGCATCAACTTTGAAGAGATAATAATTTGGAGCGTTTCTTTCAACAACAACAGTCCCATTTGAATTTAATGATATTCCTTGTTGACTATGTAAAGGCTGCACCAATCTGAAGTTGACAATGTTTTCTTGAATGTCTATTATACAAGAATGGTTGATGCTGGAGAGACCATTACGGAGACTGACCCCTACTGATTGCATACCTCCAGAAAAGTTAGAAGCCTTTCTAAGAACTACAGGTGCCTGGTGTATAGCAAGTTCTTCATACATGGCTCTCACAAAACTCACATGTCCATCCTTCCATTCTGCATTTGTTCTAAAATGCTGAGGTGCTCCATTTATGTTTGTCCACTCCACAGATTGCCCTGCAACACTCAGACTACTTTGTTGCCAAATGGAAGAGGTTTCAGTCTCACTTTTTATCAAGCTAATGCTATAATCGTGCTCAAATCCCAGAACATCTCCAGATTTCACTTCTAGTGATTGTGCTGCCACCTGGAAATGACCCTTACTACCTGGGTTCAAGGCCAAAACTGTTTCTCCAATTAGTTTGTAAAATGGTTGATCTCCATGAAAACGAAATGATGGAGGTGAAGCTGCGGCACGCCTGTGCCTGCGTTCATAGGAAGAGTGTATTGATGAAAGGTGTGTATGTGATGATATGGATGGGTTGATTTTGGCACTGAAAATATCTACATTGGATGAAGCATAACGGACGGTGGTCCCAACTATGCTTGTATTCTGTTTGGAAGCCCATAATTTATTTAATAAAATGTCTCTATATAATTCTCTGTAGGATGATCGCTTTTCTCTCAATTTTTGAACACCTGCATCACCAGCTGCTCTTTTTCCAATATTATGGCTACCAGTGCAAGAAGCCACTCCTGAGACTGTTATGCAGCTACAAGGCTCCATGGCTGGCTTACAAGTCTGAGACAAGGGGCAGTACTGTGTTCCAACAGAGAAGTTGGAGCTGGCTTGAGATGTGCAGGAGGGGGGAGATACAACACAGGCAGCATATGGTGTATCACAGCCTAAAAAATAATGGGGAAATACAAGTGTATAACAGGACATGTTGACTGATCAAAGCACTGAATCCAAGTGGCATGCCTTTTTCACCACCTTTGGGTTAGGAAAGTTGATATGTTGTGATTTTCTGTTTGGAGAAATTCCATCTAATCATACCTAATTAAAAAAGATAATGCTAGCATGAGCCAATAGATTAAGAATAAACTCAAACTTGATCACTCACTAGTATAATTAAGTGTACAAAAAAGCCAAACAGCAAAAAAAAAAAAAAAAAATGAAGGATAGTAAAAACAATCTTCAGTTCATTACTGTCAAGTTGCAACTGAATTATATTATCATTTCGACTCTGCACCACTTACCAGCTGGTATTAAAGTCTGCCCAGTTGGACAGCTTGGTCTATATACCTGGAGATGGAGCCTAGTTGCCATAGTTACCCTTTCTACATAAAATTCCCAATTCCTTAATTTTCCATTTGACTGAAACCAGTATCCTAAAACACGAGGTTTGTTAAAATTGCTTGAAAATAAAAACTGTTCTTAAATATAATCAAACATTATTTTAAAATAGTTGCCAACTACTTAGTTTTCCTTTTTTCATGAATGAGGACATTTATAATATAAATGATAAAAAATGTAACACACAACCCAAACCTACATGTACATGTAGTTGAAAAGTTAACAAGGAACATAAAAAGATTCATTACAGATGCACAGCAGGCTACAGAAACTTTGCACAAAAAGTACAGTTTGGGGGAGTATCAGTAATTACCTGGGAAAATAGTAACAGTTTTAGGAAGCATGGTGACTTGCTTAGTTGTACCACTCAGGACCTGCACTTGACTCACTACATCCTCAAACACTGCTGTCCCTATGACATAGGTGGCAGCACTGGTAGAGGTTACTGAAATGGACAAATACAGTTTACAGTTCGGCTTAATATGTATATTTGTACCATAATTGGTGGAATCTTCTGTAAATGAAACTAAGTACTGTGACGTAGGTACACACACGTCATACGGTGATAAAGTATCATACGGTGATAAAGCTTTTAAATTTGCAGCACCAAAAGAATGGAAAATTTTACCCATCAGTCTTAGACAAATTGTGGACCCTGGACATTTTAAAAAGGAACTAAAAACCCACCTTTTTAAACAATATTATCTTTAAATTCTTGAAAAAACACTTCTTAAGAAAAACTGTTCTTAGTCATAGTTTTAAATTTCCCCTTTTTTATCCATTTTATATATCCTTTCATCTTATAACCATTAGCAATATTTTTCTTTCAATTTGAATTTTATAATTTTTGTAAAGTCTACTGAACACATGTTGGATTTTAGACTATAAATAAATATTATTATTATTATTATTATTATTATTACATGTCAGAACTTGATGGATGACACTGATATGTTGTAATAGTGGCAATAAATAAAAATTTAAATGACACCATACCAAATTATCATTTCTCATGTCACATATTTCAGCTAGGTTATTTGAGCTAGAAAACTATACAAAGCATGAACTAAAATAAAGTTGTTTTCTTCTTTTATGGCCACAAGACATATTTTAGAAACCTTGACATGTTGTATATTTTTTTGCAGTGAACAATGTATAAAATATAGAATAAAACCCCTTTTAAATTCCTAGCTGTCTATTGAGCCAACTACTTACTTCCCAGGTCAGTCCCATCTCTGCTCCAAGTCACCCCAACATGACTTCCTCTGCCCACTGTCAACCTAATGTCAATGTCACTGGCTGCTGTTGCAGCTGCAGGACATGTCAAAAATGTGTCTCTGATAGTGTCAAATACCTCCACCATGGTCCAGGCAGTGACATCTGACCCTGCTGTGACCAAAGTGACAGTGACATTGTAATGCCCTGGTACAAGGTAATAGTGCCACAAAGTAGTGTTCTGGGACACAAAAATGTCACTGCTGTCACCAAAGTGCCACTGATATTCCACAACTTGACTGATGTTTGTCTTGACAGTAAAAGCCACATCATCCTGCAGACTCAAAGCCCTTTCTCCTGCAATATCCACCACTATATACAACAAGACTTGTTTTGTGCCCCCAACATATAGTTTGCTGCAGAAATTATCTCCGCTATTTGGTTCAGGGCTATGAATCAGATCAGGACACAGGCATCCTGAGAGAGTGGTCAGATGGCCACACAGGCACTGATCAGTGTTGACCACAGTCCAATGGGTAGCTCCCTGGTCATAGCAATGGATCTCACAGCCAATGGTCACTGGTTGGTCAATGATGGAGTCCAGTGAGGTGAAGTGGACAAGATCAGTGACAGAAGATGTTGAGTTCAACAGGCAGGAGAGGAAGTCAGAATTACCTGGAAGTGGAAATGGAATTAAAATTACAAGAAACAATGTTACAATGATATCATTTGCTGCATCTGTTTTATTTTGTTGTTTTTTAAAATAAAATACAAAATGCTGTTCCTTTAAAAACATTTACATAATTTTCTCAATTACAATATAAAAAACAAGTTTGTCTGAAAATAGAAATACAATCATTCAAGAAATATTCATATTTCATACTGATTAGTTTTAATTGCCATTCTTTCAGTAATGAAATATCCATTTTTTAATATCAAATCAACACTTTTAAGCATTTAAAAATGCTGATGGTGAGAACATCAGATATTACACCTCAGCTTCCACTCACCACAATTGCCTGTAAACTGGTCTGGATTTGGCGATGGTGCACATGTGGCCCGCTTCTTCCTAATGGCTTCTAAAATAGATAAAGAATAATGAGATGTTTTGAATTTATTTTAATTACCATAGTTCCTGTACTTACTACAGTATACAAAACTGGAAAAGCAAAAGCAACAGTAAAGAATGAAGGAATTCAGCAAATAACAAATACCTAAATTGCTTTGGAGAGTTCTGATAATCCTGGCAACCAGCAGTGTGATAAATTTAATAACAGTACATACTTTGGAAGTTTGGATATACCCAGTACATACAATCACTGTAAAAAAAATCTGCCATCTATCTTCAATATTTAGGTGGTTTTTTATATTTTGTGATTGGTTCTTTGCAAGGATTAAAATAAGTCCCTACCACATATAAATTCCTCATCCTTCACTTGAGTCAGTAGTTTCTTGTCTAATTTGTCTGGACTGAAGCACTTTATTCCAGCCAAGTTGTGGACAGTAATGACTGACAAGCTGTCCAGCCATTTCTTTAACCACAACAAGTGACAATCACAGTGCCATGGATTATTGCTCAAATCTCTGAAATGAAAATGAAAAGTAAAGGATGTTTTATTAGTTTTCAAATTTTCCCTTTTCATTTGACAGGGAATGTGCTTTATGTAGTATATAATTTTACCTATATTCTACATTTATTTGCAACAGACTCCACAAAATTTGACAGAAAGTAAGACCTAAAAAGTCAATAGATTAACAGACTCTCACTGGCCAAAGACACAAAACAAGAAAAGTACTAAATCTGCAAAAAATCTTTCACCAAATGCCTACTTAACAATTGTCAAACAACAAAATCAAAATCATCAATTATTATACTCTAGAGATACAGTTGCTAGATGGAGCTTCAACACTTAGAAATTACAATTAGTTCTTATCTCTCCCTGGCTTTATCAAGTCCTGATACCTAAGGTGTGCAAAAACAAAATTTACAATTAGGCTAAAGTCAGCTTATCTTCTGGTAAACACAGTGAGCTGCCTAAGCTTGAGTCAATCTGGTGCGAGACAGACAACCAGCCTAATTGACACATAACTGTTTTTACAGGTAGCTAAGTGTGTTACACTCTGTAGTCATGATCCACAAGAGCTATTGTAACATACATTGTACACCCGAACATAAATAAATCTGTGTAAAATCAAAGATCCTTAATATGAGAAAACTACCTTTTTTTTTAGAAAAAGTCATCCCAAGCCTTTTTGGTTTTACTGGAAATCTAATAAGAGTAAAAACAGTCACCCCTATGTTAAAGCAAAAAGAAATACTTTTAAGAAGACAGTGGACTACTGTGATAGAGGTTAGCAAGAAATTACAGTGATGTTATTTAGGGTTCAATCAAATACAGCATTATATCTCTTCCCTGTGGATCTGTTTACTCAAGTGATATGTGTGTTGGATATCAAAATATGTGCTCGTCTTTATAACGTTCAGGTACAAGTTATATACAAAACCTGATACTATATCACTACAATTATTTAGTTTTATCTTTACAACCATGATTTGCAATTTTTTAAACTATAGAAAGTCTAGACATCTCAAGAAGTTTCTTGGGGTAGATAAAACTTGCAATATATATTTACAGTTTGAGCACAAAAGACATGCTTTTCGTATGGGTAGACTTGATGACTTTAAATACCAGATCATATTTCAACACTCTAACTACAATGACTCACTTTTCTTCATGTTGCTTTTCAGTACATACATTCTGGGTATCCTACATCATTTTAGTGGCAACATTTCTAAGTTATAGGGACGGTAGACCAGAGCATTCTAAATGGAATTAATATAGTACATGTATGTTATGGTGCAGATTCTGATAAGGAAGTAGGGGACAAACGTCAGTAGTCTATAACATAACATAANGGTGCATAGCGACTAGAGTGTTGTCGTCAGCATAGTTGTATAACGACGCTCTGGTGATCGTTGCGTAAATGTCATTCATGAAGACATTGAAGAGGATCGGTCCCATGATGGAACCCTGCGGGACCCCCTTTACCAGCGGTAGCCAATCACTGACATGTCCAGAGAGTTTAACCCTCTGACTGCGTGACGAAAGGTACGCCCATATCAAGGCACAACCTTTTTGCAACATGCCGTAGGCCCTGAGCTTGGCGATAATGAGCTGGTGCGGCAAACAGTCGAACGCCTTGCTCAGGTCCATTAGGATGGCTCCTGCGTGGTTGCGATGGTTTGTTTAGGGTTAGATGTGGATGTACACCTATGAGGACACTTTAGTTAAATTGAGGTTAAGCTGTGCGATGCCGCAGATCGCCTCATGTGGCTTGCATTTTTGTGAGTTCATTTTTGTTTCTAGAACGCCAAGGGAATCCATAAAACTGGTATCTTTTGTGTGTGCATGGATCGTTTTAATAGTTACCGGGAAAAAAAACTTTGCTCTCCTGGTATGTGAAGTAAGACTTATAACCAAGTCGATATTTAAGTCGAGTTCTCGTCTATGAACACACATACGTGCTTTATTAACCTCCTTAACATCAATAAAAAATTGGGTTCGTCAACGAAGGCACGCGTGAAAACAGTAACATCTTTCAGACTATAGTACGTTATATTTTCTTTTCACATTTCTAAGGCAAAATCAATTCCACTTCTACAAAAACAACAGCAAAGAGGTGACTTTTTAGCAAGCATGTAAAACACACAATTTAATGGTACTTGACTAACCGTGGCCGAACGTTCTTACGCCGAAAACGCATCTCCCGCAAACGCATTTAATTGGGTCACAAGATAATATCAAACCTTAGTACGTGGTGCTGCCCTCTATCTCACGGAGACAACAGGGAGAACGAAAGTGCTTGTTTCAAAATCGAAGTAGGTTTCAAGAAAATTTGTTTTCAGAGCCTTCAAAAATAAGGAATAGAATTGATTTAGCATATGTACCAAGATATTAGACGCCCTATTCACACTATGGTATAATATTTTTCTAAATTAAGATTATATTAAATACTGAAGTAAATTTAAAGAAATGTTATTTAAAAAAAAATTTAATAATAAATAAAAATAAAATCCCTGATGGTTCATGAAAAATAACAATTCATCTGAGAACTTTCAACATATTTGAAAGGTTATCTCTGAATCAATTAAGCACACTAAACAGTGAACTCTCGATATTAACCTGAAAGGCAAAGGCGTGCAGGGCGATTTTTGTTTTTCATTAATATAAAACGCATTTTGTAATTGGTAAACTTTAGGGGTCTATTTAAATGAAATACGTCACGTTTAAAACATCAAACTCCATCATTAGAAGTAAAAAAAAAAAAAAAAAAAATAGCACCAGATCACACTTGTAGTCAGTAAGGGCGAGAGATAGGCCTAATAATTTTAACTTTTCATTTTAAATAGAATGAAATCTCTGCGCCACCAAAATTGAAAAAAGCATTGATATACAGAAAACGTCTTCTACAGTTTTTTTTTAAGCAATGGATATGGTGGAGTTGACCTGAGGCAATAAGGCCCACCGAAATTAAACTCTGTTTCATGTAATGTTTTGCACCAATAATTTGTCCCCTTGCTCTGTCAAAAACATTTACGTTCTCGCCATGTCCATCTTTCGGTACTTTTTATTTTTCTTATTGGAACGTGACATGGAGAATGATTATAAAGTCAAGAAAAAGTGACCATAAGAAGGTTCGATTCCCTAGTGCATTACAGGCAATTTGCTGTGCATATGTACTCTAAACTGAACCAATAACAGATTCACTGGACGTCGATCGACCTGGAGGTTTTTCACGCAATCTTCTTGAGTATTCAAATAAAATGTCATACATACCGTCTTTCAATAATAAGTAGGCGCCATTTAAAGTTGTTCTTTTATAATCTGTCAACCAGAACCACATGGCGATATTTTGTAAGTCAGATTAATTTTTAGTTTTTGGAATAACAGAATTATTTAAACATGATAAGAACGTCATATTTATCAGATGGATCAAATGCACCAAATCATACAATTTAAAACTAAAACATCAATTGCCCCCCAAAAAGCACACACAGTGCTTCTTTAGTAAAATGTAAAAAATGGTGCTTTGCACTCTTTGACCTTTACGATCATGGTCTGATTAATCGTTATTTAGAAATCGCTTCAGAAATCACGGTAAATTACACGGTGCCTTTTTTATACACCACCCAGGTTGATGTGGCCAAATAGCTCTTGGTCAAAGAAATACTAAAAAGTTGCGTTTGAATCACGAGGTATACATGAGCAAATTTCCGGTGGCAGACACGCTCGATATGCTGAAGAATCAGTGCCCAGCAACTTCCAAACATAAACCACTTTAAAGGGGGTTACATTGTGCAATGTGTCAGTATTTGATAACGTTTTTTTTTTAATTTTTCTTAGTAGCAATTAATGATGGGCAGCTTCATTTTCTGTGTCTTGTCGTCACAGATGTACAGTTTATTGATCAAAATTATACATTATTAACTACGACAAACTGTTAAAAAAGTCCGATGGGGACAATTTAGAAATTGTGCGTGTGTTGCCAAAATAGATGTTTTCTACTGATACCTGCCAAATAAAATGAAACTTTGTTCAAAATTATTTTCAAAAGGGACAACATCTTAATAAGTCGAAATTCACGAATGACAGATACGATGACTTATGAAGTATACTTTCAATGCAGTTTTTGTCATTGTGGAACCGGCTATTTGCACGACCTAATTATTCTCATGTCGCCCCCTTACTAACTCGTTATGATATTTTTTATTTCAATATATCATTTAAATATGTATTGAAATAGAAATCTGTTGAGCAAACTGATATTTGCTACTTTTCATTCCCGTTTAACATCAGACGTACATGTTCTTATTTTGGTGTGAAACGTGTAGTTGCTGAAACCGGTGTCACCAAAACACGGCGAATTCGTCTTAAAGACTGTTAGTCTTGCTAGCCTCGATCCAAAAAAAAAAAAAAAAAAAAAAAAAACAGCAATAGTCCATTTAATTGTGAATGTCAATAGTCTATTTAATTGTGAATGTTCGACCTATTTTACTAAAGGTAGAAAATGGCTAATTTTTAGTGCGACAGTTGCTTCATCTAAATAAGCTACTTTTGATGTATCTCGGGTAGAAACAGAAATAAAATTCGTTTTTTTGGGGGGGGGATTTCAGAGTAAATTATATATGAAACCGCACTCAGTGACCAATGTAGATATTTGACAGTTGAATACTTTACTCCTGTTTTAATGCGTTACTTATCAACTGTCTTTCATATAAATGTATCACAAGTGAAATTGTTTACGTCTATCGAATTAAGAATGAGAGATGCAATTGAAAAAATATTATTTACTTACACAATGTAAAAGTGCAATAATTCTTTATCAATTTTGAAGTATTTTCAACATGAATAAGAACATAATTCACTGTTTTCTAATGGCAAGGGATATTTCTGCCACATTGACAAATTTTTGTATTCTCTACTTGTAATTATCTCTTTTGTGGTATACAGATACTGTATTTTCAGTACAAAACAATGGCAAATCGCTTGTCATCGATAAACAATCATTACTTCAAAGTTGGGATGTATTAATTTGGATATTTTACAACGAAAACAAACAAACAAATAAATCAGTATAGGAAAATGGCCACTCTGTTGGATTCAGTAGCCGCTTTGGAAAAATGCTAAATATCTGGAAAACCGAAGATGGCCTCAAGCTTTGTAATCAGTGCGAATATGGTCATGGAATGTGCATTGTAGCTATTTTCAATTATATTCAATGTCTACTTTTAAAAAGAACTTAATGCTTATATTTTAATCAGCTGTCTTGTGTTATGCGTGCATATTTATCATAATATTTATCACCTATTTATTTGTTCCGTTTTTTGGAGAGGGAGGGGGGATTGACTGTGTAAAGAATAATTTCCAGCAGTGTGACATATAATAAAAGATAACTTTGATATATTTCTTCATACATATCAGTGAACTGTAAATATAACCCTCGTGGTGATGTCTGCACACTGATACTAATCCAGATTATTCTCCACAAACTAATACATCAGCTGTCGGAAATGCGTTTATTAATAACGCAGTCTATAGAGTCATACTCGAGGAGCATATTTTCAATATCACAGCGCTGCGCTGATTCCGTCCAAATAGATGTTTTGTGATGAATGGCTGTTTTACGAACGCGGTATTTCAGAGAGAGAGAGAGAGAGAGAGAGAGAGAGAGAGAATGAGGATGAAGGCTGGCGAACTAAGGACTATATGTCGAAATTGGAAGAAAAGCCTACTCGCATATCACAATATCAACAGAAACAGTTTAGTGTGAAAAAAGGCTGCCATGGTTGTCGGCACAGATTAATATAGTGTTATCACAAATTACCTTTACAAATTACGTTTCTTATCTGCACACTATTAGAATATTTACATCAACGAACGTCTTGACCTTCGACATGACGCATAAATCCTATACTTTAGATGAAAAGTGTCAGGCAAAAACAATATTTACATATCAACACTATGTTAATAATCATTGCAACTGATATTTACAGCGGGGAGATGAACTGGGAAGGGGGGTATTTGAGCCGGTGGGGGGGGGGGCATAAAAACTCCAGAGCAGTATGTTATTTTACGCCTATAATAAAACATATGTAGCTGAGTAGTTTAGGGAGTATAATGAGTTTGTAGAAATTCTGCCATAGGTTACACAGTTGATATAACAGAAAAAAAACGTTCTATTCCCAATGAGCGATACTTACATTCTGAAGATGACCTCGGTAGAGGGGAATTCTAGCGCAGAGGAGAGAGTGGTCAAACCGGCGAAAGAACAGTCGATGTCACACTGTCTGCCAGGCGTAACGTTACATTTGCAGGTGTCGGGGCAAGGCGTGCACAATGCCGAAACCACGGGTGTGATATAAGCACAAACAAAAGTAAATGTCAACACCCAAACCCATAAAAAAACCTTCCAGTCTTTCCCCGTAGACCCGTCGTTGCTTATATTCAGCCGGCGAAGGACATGGGTTTTCATAATCTGCAAACGTTTCTCGTTATTAACTTTGAGCATGAGCACGTTGTGGACGTCAACATGACGTAAATCAAACGTCTATGTCTGCTGTAAAGTGCATATGTATAATACGACATGTCGCAGCGAGCGCGCTCTAATGTCAATCTATGGCTGCAGGAAATGTCTTGCATGTAATGCTGCCTTATCTGTGCCTGTACACACGGCCAAGAGAAACGCAGGAATTAATGAAAACTTAGATCAATACCCGTTTGAATTCCCTGTCAATAGCTTGTCGAAATTCACCCTTGTGACGCGGCAACAAATTACTTTCTCATTGCCTGGCTTGACGTGAGTCGTTTTTCGTCTTGACAACATCTAAATCACGGCCTGTGATAAATTTCTAGAAAGCCGATATGATTTGCCAAGCGCTTAAATGATCTAATGAACCTTGAGAGAAACGTCGATAATTCTAGTGTCTGTATAATGTATTTTTGAAGTCTATCTATAAAACATGCCGAATGCTATTTGCACAATTCGTTTAACAGTCGCTGCGCCTTAGCTTGGTGAAAGGCTCCTTATAGCTATTGGTTGTGGTCTGATCAGTATTTCCATATTCAATAGAGTCGACCCATCATATTTGCTAAAAATATCTCCATTTATAATCGTCCATTACAACTCGCATGTCCCCGTAAGTGCGTACATTCAAGTGTCACTGGACTAGTACTGGTTCATGGAGCTCGTATGGCGAGTCTTTTGTTTTAGAATTGAACGGTTCTTTCATACGGTTCATAGTCGCGTATAATGAGCTAACTGTCACGCTTCATGACGTTTTTATGGTTATAGAACAGATTTATAATTACTTCTCTTTATATGTTTTCACAGAAATGGTGGATGTAATATGATATTAAACACGCTTTAACAATATGTGCAATTGTAATTTTTTACGTACTTGGTGCTTGACAGTACATAGTGCATGATAGTTTCTGCTAAATAACAAGCTTCGCTAAGCATAATAAACTCTTGATTACAGAATCTCTTGTTTAATTAAGTGTACCAGGTGTTTCCCCTCGACTCTGCACCGATTTCATACGATGTAATATTCAACATGCCACGTTTTCCACTAATATTCCTGCTATTGTAGCACTTTTCATATGCGTTTGACTGTGTTAGTTGTGCATGTAGTAAGACAGCAGTAGTGCCAATGTACATGTATCCCCAGAGGACAGTAGTTATATCAATTATCGAGCAAAATAAGTCAGTGGCTGCTATCGTATTCCTATACTAATGAATAACTTAGTAACAAAATGTCTTACTTATTTCAAAATGAGTTCAGAAATTAAAAACTATTTAGTAAAATCCGCCGGCACGAAAGGATGTATCAGATATGGGAAAATTCGGCAAATGCTGCGCAGACTGGTTCATCCGCATTTGTAAAGCCATTTGCATGTTTCGGAAATCTTCTGAAAAAAAATGAATAAATAAATAAATTTATAGAGTAAAAACCAAAGAAATGATAAAATGACTTATAATTGGTGACGTGATTTTAATAAGATTATAAAAGTTATCCGTAAATGAGGAAATATTGAAATGTAATTATAACCCTCAAAACTATTTTGGTTAAAGAGTAAAAATCAATTGTATTCTTTTAAAGCGGTTGAAAAATTTAAAAGTGGAGCTAAATATTAATTCAAACACTGAACAACCAAGACGTAAAAAGATACGGTGCAGAGCATATACGAGCCTTTTACTTGTAAAACTACCCATTATTTAAAGGAAGAATAGATAATGCCAACACTTTTTTAATAAGAAGTAAAACACGATGTCAAATAAATCTTACCTTCATTGTACTGAATGTCGTTCGAGACTTCTAAATTCATATGTGGCAGCGGTGGCGGTGGTGGCGGTGGCGGTGGCGGCGGCGGCGGTGGCGGCGGTGGCGGCGGAGGAGGGACACCTGGGGCCACATTTACAACTGCAACCTGTTGCGTTGCTATTGGTGGCGGTTGGGTTACGTTATTATCACTTCCTCTCGTTTTTCTGAAAAGAGTTTCTTCTAATTTCTTCCTCATATCTGCCACCAGGCTAACCGGTTTCACGGGTTGCAGCTGCCCAACTGTTTTACGTCGAAGAAGCGCTCTCTGATAAGCACTGTAGTCAAAATGTGTACTGCTACTATTCATTGCATCCACATCATCTACATCTCGGTTCGGTATTTGTTTCAGTACAGACTTCGCATCTTGGGTTATTCGACTGGCAGGAGACACGGACTCGGGACGTGCTGGGTCGACATTGGGTGCCAACAATGGCGCGGGACTGACTGTGCCTTCCCGTAGCTCCTCCACGGCTGTCTTAAGATAGGTCTCTTCCGCTGGGTCCATGTGACTGGGTACAGGAGGATGGACTACAGTTAATGGCACTGTTGGAGGCGGAGGCGGAGGTGGAGGTGGTGGTGGTGGCGGGACTGATGTTGTGACAGACACTGCTGCAGATGATGAACTTGACTCACCCCGATGAACAGCAATTCCCAAAGGAGGTGGAGGTGGTGTCCAAGAAGGGGGTGGAGGGGTAGGGGGGCTCGTCGGCCCACCCGGGCTTGGCGTCGGAGAACGTGGACTTTTTGGCTTAGGTAACACGGGTGGAGGAATGCCTTTAGACCGCGTCCGTGTTTCCGTAGCCGCCGTTGATACTGCCAGCGAAAGTTGCCGTGGTTTTAAATCTGGAGAAGCTGTCTTTAGTTGCTTCAATTCTGTTGATTCTACAGACAAAGTTGTCGATACAGGAGACCCACTGGTTTTAGGAGATACGATCTTAGTCTCAGTTATTGCCACAGTTGTGGATGTAGTCTCGCCTGTTTCAGGAGATGGGACCGTGGAAAGTTTTATGTCTTTCGACTCAGTTCTGGTTACTGTAGGTCCTGGGGATCCTGCCGTCATAGTCACTGGAGATGCTATGGCGGAGGACGCTGATGAAGTATTAACCCCAAGAGGTACGTTATTATTGTCCTTAAACGTAACAATAGGGCGTGGTCGGTTGGTTCCGCCGCTCGGCACTGCACTGTCCTCTTGTGGGTACGAAATAACGACGCAAGTTGCTGCATCACTCTGTGGTCGAATTTCTAACGATACATCAGACTTGGGACTATCAGGTTGAGTTGAAGGAAACGCACTGACAGCAGGTAGAAGTCCAGTCATCTGTGAGCTCAGTGCGGCAGTCTGTAATTCACTTGGCCGAAAAGACACCGCGTCTGGAGATCCGGTTGGAGAAATGGATAGTAATCCGGTTGGTGAAGTGGATGGAGACGGTCCGTTTGTTGCTGACACTGTCGTCACTCTAGTACTGCTTGAAAACCCCTGCGACTCCTGGATGATCTTCATGGGTGTTTTTAGACTGCAATTATGGTAAAAAATAAGTACTCAACTATGAGAACTTTAATTCAAGAGTTTTTGGTATTGTCACTATTTGATATACTTTAGAGAAATTTATTTCCATCATGTTATCCATGTATTATTCAATATCGTTTACTGGGGATGGAGATGACCGGGGCAAGGGATATACGATCCTTAGTTATAATAGGACTAATATAAAGACGCGTCTAAAAAAGAACTCTTACCTGTTTAGATCGCTTACGTCTAATTCGTCGTCAGATTCCCTCTGCTGTGTAAGCACGGGTGCATCTTCGTTTTGATATGGGAGGGCAATAGGTGTTGGACCTGGGACAGAAAAATGTACTGCAATTTTCATACCGTAATGCTTTAGTATATACCTGCAAGTTATCGACGAGCTTTCGATGTATTAACGTAACAGAAACAGAATTTAGAGGTTTCCAAACAAAAATAGTCGAATTGAGTTGTGAAATTAAACAAAAAATAACTCGAATTATATTTTTATACAATTTAATATTTAAATTTCGAAACAGATATTATGAAATAAATTTGGTAAGTGGAAAGTCAGAAAAACGATGTTAAATCAAATAATATTGATAATATATGATAATAATTCAATACTATATTTAAGTACTCGTATATCTGTGGTACTTACGATTTTTTTGCAGGTATAAAAATGGGCTGACTCCCGGTGTGGCTCTTTCCAGCCGCGGTAGGAAGGAGGCATGATATTCAGGCTCTGGCTCCTTTAAGATAAACTCCCCCTGCAGCACTGGGTCTGGTAGGTCTTCCTCGTGGTTGTCTGACTTGTGCTTATCTTTTTGTTTCTTGTGCTAGATTATAAAGAGAGCAATTCTTATAGACAATTTTCTAGTGTAATTCACACTGTGTACATGTACTAACCTGTATTCCACAGTTCAATTTGCGGTATACTTAATAAGTAGTATAAGTTATTACTGTATCTATTCACCTTAATTCGAAACAGATATCGTACTTATTTATGTCTTCGCTTTCTATATTTTTGCAAATTTACTTATTGGTGTAACTCGTTTTGCACTATACACATGGCTATACCAAAACATCTATTTAGCTTGTCATAATAATTAGTCATATTATAATGTATACCGCCAGTCTGTTTCTAGTTTTGCCTCTTTGCATCTGTAGTAAAAATACACTGATAAAGGAAGTAATAAAAAAGTAACTAGGAACTAAGTACCAACATTATTGTGATTGTGCCCAAACACGTAATTGTATGTCAATTAATACATTTATAATTTATGCAGAGAATAATGTTGTAATAATATAGGTGAAATAAATAAAATGCATTTAACTTTTAATCGTTTAGACAATGATACCTTTTCTTGTTTATGCTTTTGTTCTGGATGATCTTCTGAACCATGTGCATTCATCTTGAACTTCAAGGCTTCCTCATTTGACATTGCATGAACATCTAAGATTGTGGGGTCTTTCTCATTTATATAACCTGAAATCAAAAGGTCAAGAGAAACAGTAAAATTACAAATTTTAGCGCTCGAGATAATTTTATATTTCCAATATACATGTACCTTTTACAAAGATGCATGATGGGAAAAATCAAAGTTAATGTTTGAGACGAAACCTTTCGTTGTGTGACAAAATCTTCAAGAACAAGCATGGAGACCTTTCAAAAACGCAACCTGTCACACCTAACACAGCGTATTATCGTACCTCTGGTCTTCTCCAGTTCTTTCTCATCCAATATTACTCCACCAGTCAATGAACGGGCGAACATCCCACACTCTGGGTTACTACTTTGTATAGCCAGGATATAGGGACTGTCACCATCCTATTGATATCAATAAATAAAAGTTAATTTTGATGTTCAGCTAACACGCGCGTTTATAATAAATATTTGTGCATACATTATATCACTTATTAATTGGCCTGTACAAATATATGGACATTAACTCTATAGCCGCTCGCACACATACAGGCGCCCGTGACACATAGTCATACACAAGAAGAAAGCACATAGAAATTAAAACATGAGTAATAGGGTTCATTTTCTTTATCAACACCTTTCTTTTTTCTTTTTTCTATCTTAATTTATAGACCTACTCACATTGTCCTTGATATGTATGTCGATCCCGGCGTCTATCAGTACTTTCAGGGCCTCCACATGCCCGTGTTCTGCTGCGTCGTGAGCGGGCGTCCCTCCGGTCACGTCCACTAGCCACACACTGGACATGGCCACGGCCTGCTGAGGGATCTTCATGGCCAGCAATGTACGGAGAATCTCTACGTGATTCTGGGCTACAGTATGAATAAAAGGCTTGTAATGTGGTAACATTTATATCAATATCATACATGTCACTCTCCGACTTATTTGATAAAGTTTTATAGTCCAGTTTCTAGTGCAAGTTTGGGATTTCACCTCAAGAAAGCTGGTTCCCTAAAAGACAGACTTTGAAATGTAAAAAAAAAGTTTCATTTCTTTGATTTTCCATGAAAAAACATTCATTGGCTTAAACAGCAAGTATACTTAAACCGTATTAAGAGAATTTTAAAGATATTTACCGGCAGCGAAGTGAAAGGGCGTGGCGCCGTCCTGTGCCTGAGACAGCAGCGCCCTCTGTCCCATTTTCTGGACAAGGTATTTGACTGTCTCGATATGTCCGCTCTGGGCTGCCGCATGAAGAAGGGTCATCTTTGCTTTGGTCAGTGTCCGAACGTCTCCATGGTGATTGACCAAGTGTTGCAAGCAGGACAGATGGCCCTCTTGTGCGGCATAATACATTGGTGTGGCCCCTGGTTTACATAAGAGCAACAAAACACATGTTAAGTAATCATTTAAAATTAAAATTACGTCTTACCATGACTTTATTTGAACGTGATTGCGGCTCCCCCCCAAATTCAACTGTGAATGTTTTACTTTGCATTTAGTTAAGTGGCTTCCAGATCTTAGTATTCACCAGGAACCATATGTTGTTATTTAATTTATACTGGTTTGTAATATTCTCCTCATTCTCTGACTGTAATGCACACATCCATTCAAAATAGAATACAAAAGCAAAAGACTTAATTAATCAACAAGAGGGTACTCTTACCAAAGTTATCCTGTGCATTGACAGCGTGTTTCCCAATTTTTGCAAGCGCCTGTGTGCAGGGCAAATCACCTGGTTAACGAAAAAGGATTCTGATAAAATTTTGATTAGTTCTCTTGTAATTAGAAGAATATCGTTCATAAACAAAGGGCGCATTCCCATAGATTTTAGATCGATCTATTCCTGTGGAGAGTCTCACTAGATTACTGTCAGATAATCCGGCTTAAATGTCCGTCCCGCCTACTACAAGCTGGAAGGGGGTAAAATTAACTTTCGTGCCCGCTCGGCTGACAGCTATTTAGCGTGAACCCCCAGGGAGTTAGGTCGATCTAGTTGGATCGATCTAATCTCTGGGAATGGGGTCAAAGACACACACTTATATACGTGTTATAACACAAAATTGCAATATTACTCACCTCTTGCAGCCGCTATGTGTATAGCCAAGGCCCCGTTATTAGCTTTCATCATACCCAACATTCTTCCAAATTTGTCTGAAAGCCACTCGACCATCGGTGCATGTCCTAATAAATAAATAACAACAGGTCGTATTTAAATAATGATGTTTGCGTTAGACCTTCTGTTTCGCAATAAGGTGTGGCTTAAATGTGAAATGTACATAAGTTTCTGTGTGGGCGTGGTATGGTTAGTTGATATGATGGTCAGCTTAGGCAATATGCGATTAATAACGAACTAAAATGCTAACAGTCCAGTATTTTATCAAAACACTAAAAGTCATAGGATATCCACGACATTTTAGATAATTTATAAGGTTGGACCAAAAGTATTTCGATCATTTGTCGTGCGTCAAGCACTTTTGAACAAAAAAAAAAAAAAAAAAAAAAAAAAAAAAAATCTTACCAATAATTGTTGCTAAGTGCAGGACAGTGAGTCCCAGTGCATCCCGGTCACACACCAGATCTAAGCGCCGATCTCTCTTGTACTGGATTATGTTCTTCAGTGTCTTAAAATGTCCAAACCTAGCTGCTTTATGAAGGCATGTTTCTCCTCGTTCATTCTTGGCACCCAGAGGAATGTGACTATTATTCAATAACCACCTGAAAAAGTATAAATCAAAATTTTCATTCAATTGAATGAATATTGCAAAACTTAAAATATCATGCAGGGTTACTTCAATAACGCGTAAAATTTAATACGTAATATTTTTTACCAAGAAAGAATGGAAAAAAGAGAACGTTTGTATTGTTTGCCAAAGTGATTGCGTTGTAGTAAATAGACTTTAGTCGCTTATGCCAGCTTTAAAGAAGAATCTGAAGTTTTTTAATAACTTTCCTCTACACTATGTATATTAAAATTGTATTTCTCAATAACAGATATTGAAGTGATATAGTAAAAAATCCGAATAAAAGAATGTGTCCCTGGTTGATTTGTTTAACTTTTTATGAGTATCTTATGGAAGTGTTTGATTTATTTAATTTACAAATATCATCTACAATCTGATATCGGGGGCTTCTAAAATAGTATTCAAAATTAAAGGATGGGCGATACAATAATTTTGTAACCGACTACTTGCGCACCGTGTGGTCAGATAATAATTTTACCCGCGTCCCCGATGAATTTATCCAGTTATACTCTCATATTGAAAATCCACATTGTAAACCGAGCTGTATTTACAGGGTAAATGGAAAGGCTCTTACTTTAAGAAGTTGATCTGCCCGAGCTTGGCGCAGAGGTGAAGTGCTGTGTTACCCTGTTTGTCCACTAGACTAAACTGCCTCTGCGACATAATCCCCTTGAGCTGAACCAAGTCTCCGCTTAGTATTGCATCTCTGGCGGGGTGAGCCTCAGGGTGACTCTCAGACTTCATTACTGTAGACTCCGCCGTTGGGCTATCTCGGGGCTCTGACGTCGCTTTAAATAACCCCGGCTTGTCAATATTGGCAACTTTTGAAAAATCAAAGGAACTTGAAAATATTGGAATGTCGGGCCTGCCGTTCTCCAAACTATCGTCTGCTTCCTCTTCCGTTTTGGTACTTGTCCCAAAAGAGGGCTGTGACCCTGGGGATGACTGGTAACTGCCCGTGCTCCCATACCCCTCTGACAGTTGCGACGTCTCATGATCTTCTGGGGACAACACGTCGTTGTTTTCCGAGTCTTTTATTGGGTTTTCACTAGTAGGTATAACGCTGGCCGGGCCCTCAACGAATGACACCTTCTTTTGGAGTCCATTAGGACTTGTTTCTTGGGCGCCGTTTTGTTGGCCCACCGTGATGTTAGTTACATAGTTGTCGGTCGTGACAGTCTTCGTATTTATTTCTGCCGGGTGTCCCGGATCTATCACATCTACCGCTGGCATTTTGACAACTGTGCTGTGTTCATCCGCGCATCCCGAAGTTCACTGGTACCTGCAACGTAATAACACCTAATCACTAAAACAACAAGAAGGCCACGCCTAGTTCATACATACACCTCTTTCGACAAGTCCAGCAAGATCAATGCCTTATCCCCCCCTTTTAAATTCTGCATGTATGCTGTGATATTTAGATCTTTTCCCTAGAATTTCAAATTAAATATAAGGTATACTTTACCAGCTGCGAATATCCGTTACTGATTCACCTGTAGGGACGAGAATTTAGGTCGAGAATTTGACGTGTGTATACTGTTGGGTGTGTGCCTGGCTTAGACCCAGTCTATGTGTGTGCAGTTGGTAAACTTACACAAAAGAACACAATATAATAGAACTAGGCTGCACGGTTCGATGTGTTTACTTTATTGACGTGTTCGGGTCGTTTGTTTTCTATAAGGGATCATAACTGCCGACAATGGCCGTAATATTTGACGGTTAGACTCAAATTTGACTTGCATGTTTCACAATCAAAATTATGAAAAGTAAAACTGAAGTTGTTACATCTAATGTATAACAATAAGAAGTTTACCCGATGAGCGTTTTTCTGAATGTAGTTTTGCTCTCTCTGGAATAAAATGTATTCGTAAACTAGATTCTGTAATTCTACATGTGCATAAACGATGTATTAAACAGGAGACAGAAGATGCTCCAAAAACTCCACTACTAGTACATGAATATGTAAAGATTTTTCGATTCAATTCCTACTTCAAACCTATACTCATGTGTTAAGTAGGATGAACTGACATTAGTCATCAACCTGTTTTTCATTTCAAAGTCAAGCGATGGTCTCCTTTTACAAATACACTTTATTGAAAAAGTTTTGAGACGAAACTTCCTTCCAATTGCTTAGATTTTTGCCATGCTCCTGTAATCAGAGCAAAAAAAGTAAATAAATAAAATAAAATAAATTAAAATAGATAAATAAAATAAATAAATAAATAAAATAAATAAAAAATGGCTGGATACATTGGATTGCATTTAATCAAACTTGACATTTGAAATGGCTAAAACCAAAAAGTATTTTCGTAAAAACTGTTTTATAATAAAAGTTAAATTTGAAGCATTTAAACAAATCGGTATACTTTCTTTTGGTGGGAAGAGACGGTAGTGTTCGATAATTGGAGAGTATTAACCAATAACAAAAGTAAAAAAAGTGAAGGAGAAAGATCGATAGAGCGAGCTGGAAAAAAATTCTCACCTACTGCAATACATATCAAATCATTCCAACACTGCATTTCATCTGGCGCACTGTGTGGTATGTGTTTGTGTGAAATCAAAAATTGAGGATATTTGCTCAACCTATGACAATTTGAAAGCTCTCTCTCTCTTTCTCTCTCTTTCTCTCTCTCTCTCTCTCTCTCTCAATACGTACACGGTGTGTTGGAACGCCCCCCTCGAAAAAATAAATGAATAAATAAATAAAAAATATAAAGAATTGCAAAGCTTCCTAGATTTCCATAGTGCATATAAGTGGGAATTTTGTATAAAAAATAAAAATAAACAAATAAATAATAAAGATCACACACAAATTTTCTTAAAAAGGCATGCAAAAATGACTCAAGTAAGGTGTCCCTTGAAGGGATTGCGTCATTTTAACATTACATTTGCACAAACAATTTTAAGGAATTTTTTTCTCAACTTCTTAACATAGAATGAATAACACATTAAAAGTTCAGTCTGGAACTTTTAGAATATATTTATAAAACCTACACATATATTCGCCAAGTAAATCAGTTGTGAAGAGCGGGTGTGGGCTCATGCGCAAGTTCGCATTACATGACATGCTCTGTTTTTTATCACCAAGCCATGCTGAAAATTCCATTTTACCACCGCTTGCATTGATGTGTAATTATGTAGATCGAAGGATGTCCCGTGTAAACCAATTTTCTACTTTTATTATGCATCCAAATTAAATCTTATTGGAGGACAAGTGGCATAAAATCAAATAACTACTAATTGAATTGGTTGAACTTTGATATTATGGATATTTTATGGAGGTCCGCCAGGGAACGAGAGTGAATCGCAGTCAAGCCTCAGACACGACAACACCACGGTTAAGATCGAGTGCAGTTTGAACGTGTGTTGGAATCTTGAGATCGACGTTTTTCGACGCACTACGTAAAAGCAAGGTAAATGACACCATTTGATAACTATTTTATTTTGTGTAGACATTGTTTCTTTTAACGTATATTGTTGATATATTTAAGCTATCGGTATTTTGCCCTTCCTTGATTGTGAGCAAATGACAGAAAAAGAGGTGGGTTACTGCTACTTTGTCATTTTTTAATCTCACTTTTGTCATCGGTACAACTGTGCAACGTTCTACAGAAACTTTTAATATGTGAACTTGGAAATCAATTGCTTAAGTTTTATTGGCAGTGATGAAGGCTGTCAACATTTTTAATGAATATGCATGAAATTATCTGCAAAATTGATTCTTTTTTTATTTTTTATTAAAGAATGGTTACATGGACTGTTCTTAACCAAGGCATAGATACAAAATGTTTTTTATTTCATTCCATTTAGCGGACACTGAGATAATTATTTTTCGATAAAATATCGGATTTGGAATAATATAATGCGTGCTATAAAGGGGAATGCCATAACAAATATGAAGTCGCTGTTACCAGGCGTAAATGAGTGAAAATGAGTATGAACACTTCAAAGATACATAATGTGCTGCGATTCTTCAGATTTCAGTTTCAGAGATTTCCAGACATACAGAGCACCTATCAATGCCATATATGTTGCATTGTGTAGTTGAGTTATTAAAAAGGACAACAACCGACTTAATCGTAAAAAAATACGTGAAATTAGCCCTTTATAAAATGGATTCCAACGCTTCAAACCAACTGTTAGCCAAGCTTATATGGGGAGAAATTGCATAAAGTTGTTAACTGCCTTCCTCTATCTTTCGCAAAGGTGAAACTACAATTTCACATAAATACAACTATTTGTCACAGACTTTATACTTTGACGTGAATAAATGATTGGTTTATTCATGTTATTAAGCATGCCAGATGAGATGGCTTAGATTTTTATATTTTAGAAGATAAAACTACAAAAGCAAGGTGTTTCGCTAACTTAAATAATTATAAAACAACAAAGAACATTTCTTGTTTACGTCATATTAAAGTGCCCCTGGTTTATCCAGGGGCGGATCCAGGATTATTTGAAGGGGGGGGGGGGGGGTCCGGAACGCCAGGGTTCGGATGCGAAGCCAACCATCGCCCCTTTGGTGTGGGGTTCGGGGTCCGCTCAAGTAGCAGGCCCCAAAAAATTTTTGGTATTTTGGAGAGCAAACAAAAATTCTAGTTTCAAGAGGGGAATATTGGTGTGATATATTTTTCAGAAACCGAAGGGGGGGGGGCAGGACCCCCTGAACCCCCCTCTTAATCCGCCACTGTTATCATTAATTTCACTTTGACACATTGTTATAAGAACAATTGATTCCAATACGTGGAAATACTAAAAACCATTCAGCTAGAATAACTAGTTGTCAATCGTAAAAGGGAAATAAGGTGTTCAGTGCATTTAAGAGTATCTTTTAAGACCCATTGAAAGCAGTTCATATTCTGATTGCGATGTAGCTAGTTTCCAGGTTTTTCCTCAACCTTATGCTTGCTAAAATCCGTGCCAAATGCTTTTTCTCTTCTGTGCCTCCAAAAACATTAGAATCGTTTCCGAACAAGTTTAAACAAAATTACAATACTACGGAATAATTACAAAAACATTCTTACTGTCACTGTTCATGAACTTCTAAGAACGTAAGTTTGGGGTCTGACACTGGTGCCTTTAACCTTATATTTGCATTCAGTAACAGATATAAGTCGCACCGATAGCATATACACATAGATGTATAGAGTCTATGCATACATGAATTGGAAACCTGAAATTAGACCTGTCTACGACTGTCGTGCTAAACACCACACAGGTAGAAACTGACTTGATTACTTCCCGTTTTCCCTTTTTCTTAAGAGCAAAAACGAAAAAAAAAAACTTAACGGTCTTTCTATTTGAGTTGAAAATTGAGTCGATCAATAAATAAAAATTCAACAAACTTTAGCCCATGTTGCTGCATACGTCATGTTAAGTAGCTTGCCTCATCCCGTATGATAGAGAATACCAGTTACGTGGCAAACAACACTATTACCAACCGCATTATTAGCCGTGCTACGTACATCACGTACATCGCAAACCGACTTTATATTCATTAAACCTAATCCCTTATCGTTGCTCGATGCGCGTATTCTTTTAGAAAGATTAAGCCAATACTAATTTAATTTGCGCCCTAATTGAGTTACAAATGCTTTTAATGCACATTAAATGCACATCCTTGTGATTCATAAATAGGTAACGATGTCAGACTGGCAAATGTTAGGAAGTGTGATCAATTCAGGAACCTGTAACCTCTGCAAATGAAGTCTTGCGATTTTATTAGAGAAACACACTAGTTTCTAACATTACTCATGAAAATATCGCGAAACAGTGAGGAAGTTTTCGGAATTAATATGTTGAAACAAACCTAAGAAGTGACCCGTCTGAACTGGTTTACCCTAGGGAAAAGCTTGTGGTCTTGTTACATTTATTTTCTTTCGTATAGTAGAGAAACAGAAAGAAGAGTTTGATATTACATCAACGACAACAATCACAAAAATTATACTTCTACTACTAATAAGAATAATAATAATAATGCTTACAATAAATCTAGATGGACGGAAAGAGCAAAAAGCTTGCACAGCGTATAGGCCCAAACGCAAATCAATTAGCCATACGTTCTAAAGATTTGATAATTAGCACAGTAGTATCTTACAAGTGCACAGACAGGCTTAACACAATGGAAACGAACGAGAAGTTATGCGCAAACGCACACACTTGCGCACACGAACATAAAACGCATGTACACAGTGTTTTGACCAACTCTCTCTCTCTATATATATTCTTACCTGTAATGGCGCTAAATTACAGATGATAATATGTATTGTGAATGACTATGTATGATGTTTAAATATGGTTACCACAGGACAGTATTCGGATGTGGTGCCGCGGCAAAAAAGAACTTTAACTGAACTGTAAATTGTCTCCACCAGCGGATGGCTTGCCTCGTTTTCCACTTAAGTTCAAATCTCCCGAGAGAAATTGTTTGGCTGCAAAAGCCTTTGTCACAGTATCACGGTGGACACAGTGAGAAAAAACTTCATGTTCCATTTTCGATACATTCACATCAGAATTCGATTAGTTCTTGATTCAATTTACACGACATCATTAGTTTCTCTAATCTATTCAGCGCTGTATAATGCAATTACTCCATGTTCCTCTTTGACAAATTAAACCCTTAGCGAATTCAAACCGAAAAAAATACGCCCCAGGCGCAATAATACAGTCTTATGCGTTTTTCATTTATGCTCTTAATCTACGGAAAATTACATTTTAAAACACTACTATCTTTATTATGGCGCGATAAAAATTATGTTTCCAAGTCCACAAGGGAATCCAGTCCCATTAGAAGCACTTTTGTGCAGATAGCATGATTACTTAGACTTAGTGTTTTGTGATGAGATTGTCTGTCTGGCTGTCTGTCCGTCTGTCTGTCTTTACTTCGATGGAGAAAATCGATTAAGCAGGCTTTGTCTCTGTACGCGATTTTTCCGTTCAGCAGATAAAAATCAAACAGAAAGGTTCGTTTTTGCCATCTGTTTTGTCTCAGTCCGGTTAGACCATTTCAGCACAAGATTGCACAGATAAAAATTCAGCAGAATCATGTTTCCAATCAATGCGTCCAACAAATATTAGTATTATTGCAATTATGAAAATTATTTCAATTCTTTGTTATTATTGTTATTATTTTTACACTTTTCACTTTCAGTTGCCCAGCAGAATGTACTGCTTTCATTACCCCCCGAGCAGTCTACCGCCTATACACCCTGCGGCGCGTCCCCTGGGACTGGACTATACGCATTGCCCTCCAAATCCATGTAAGTATCTTAATACTCGCTTGGTAGGATGATAAACTTCTTTTCTACAAGATGTCATCAGTTTTGAATTTTTATACATAAGTACAAGGTTAGATATGATGTTTGGCTTCAAAAGAGGTAAGATAATAGTAATTCAGATTTCGTATGCTTATTGGAGAGCCAAACAAATGATTCAATGGGTCTTTTTTCTAAAAAAATCTCTAAACCAGCAGAATACGTGGGAAGAACTAAACCAAAAGAGAGTAATGGAGTAAAGATCGTCTCTTACTGGCACAGCAAAAACGAAAACTGCCAATACAGAAATTTCCCAAAGAGAGAAGAAAAAATATGAACAAAACGTTACGTGAAAGAGTACACAGAAAATACATTTTCGAGCACAGCTTTTTTTTTTTGAGCATCCAGAATATAACAAAACAAGTTGCAAATGTTCAAATTTCGCCAATTTTCAGACGGCACATTCGGGATTCACCCAGATCTACATGACGACACTTTTGCCAGACGGAAGCAGCGACGAAATAGAACTACGTTTACTCTCCAACAGGTAGGCGAGAGAGAGAGAGAGAGAGAGAGAGAGAGAGAGAGAGAGAGAGAGATGGGTCTCATTGATATCACTGTTTGATAGAATTTCAAACGCTATCACATCTGCTAGAAAACCAGAAACTTGGATCAGATAAATGACTTAAAGCGACAAATGTGTTTTTTTTTTTACAAAACAAAAATGAAAAAGATGGACCAACTTGAAATTGTATTTATCATTTTCAGCTAGAAGAACTAGAAAAGGCGTTTGCGCAGACTCACTATCCTGATGTTTTCACGCGGGAGGATTTGGCCATGAGAATAAACCTAACTGAAGCTCGAGTACAGGTACCTCTTCTTTGTACTTTGGGGTCATTTTTTATCTAAAGATACTTGAAACGAGATATAGAAATAAACATAATTTCTTACTGAAGCACAAAAAATATCCTCAGTCAGTTTACCTTTCAGTTCAGGTATACTCTCTATAATATTGTCTAAATATTTTGCATAGCCTTAGAGTTTTTCGCGTAAATTTCAAAGGGCGGTTTATTCTTTTGTAAAAAATATAACTTTTGCATAAAAAAGTTAAAATGGTGTTTGTTGCATAGTCGAATGTAATTATAAGTGCCACCCCAACTAGTTCAAACAGTTCATTTTCCCTATGTAACCGGTAGCAATTTCATGCCTCTACAGGACAAATTGAAAAGTAATAAGTTCAATATTTGAAGGAACCACCTTGTCATTTGCTCACAGACGGGTCGCTTCACTTCCCGAACAAATTAATCACCGTTGTGTAACACGTTGATGCGCATAAACGGATTATTCCGCTGATCGTTGTTAAATTATACGGTTGCGTTGTCATTTTAAATCTTACGATTGTTCTTAGCTGAAAAACAATAGCAGAGTCTTCCTTGCTCTCTGTCCGCACTTAGTTGAACAGTGTTGACTTTATCTACATTACACCAACTGATTGCGCCCGAAAAGCTTTTTACGACACCGTGCGTTGGAGGGAGTTACGGCAGGGTGCCGTAGGTGGTAGACCTTGGTGACCGTGATCGCGTGTTTTTCGTCGCCGTCAGAACTGTGATTAATATTGACAAAGCGGGTGTTTAATGGAATTTTTTGTCGGATCACTTTTAATGCAAACTTTGCTCTATGTTGAAATTTAGAAGAAATGACGTTGTGTTACATATGTCCGCTTTTAAAACTGAAAATGAAAGTCAATTCGACATTTGCACGGAAATATACATTTTTCATTTTACAACAGTGTGGATGTTAATTTTAATTTCTATTAAAATAGAAGTTGTTAGAGATAGTACCTACAGGACGGTGGAAGGTTTTTCTGAATCCTTGTATTCATTGTGTCGTCGAACCTTGCCATGCAGAAAAAATACAATAAAATTTCGAAATTGCTCATCCCACCGTTTGAATTTTTAGGCATCTTTTTACAGGTGTGGTTTCAAAATCGAAGAGCAAAATGGCGGAAGACGGAGCGATATCAGCAACAAAACAGTGCCGCGCCGACACAAGGGTCCGGTGAGGGCGATTCTCATCAAGGACAAGCGAGACCACAGAACACTTCATCTACTGAGAACGATATTCCTCATAAACAAACAGATTCAACGACTAAACCTTTGTCTGTGGCCGAAGAAGAAGACGTGATTGAAGAGGCTCTTTCGCCAGACGCTGGTGACTACCAGAAAATATCGCCCAAGGATCCGGGCAACGCTGAATCGAAAGAACAGCGTCTTATCGAATCTGAGAGCGACAACAATAGCGAACTCAGCCAGACAGATAACGAATGCAAGCCTGAAATATTCAACAAGGGAAAGAACAATCATTCTAAGCATCTTGAACACAATATGATGCCATTGCCAGATGGATTAAAGAGAGAAATGCCGCCACAGCCATACATGATGAACCCTTTGTTGCAATTATCACCCCCTGGTTTACATAACGGAGCAACACTGGCGGCGCGCCTGGAGCAGCTTGCAGCAGCCAGCAGACCCCGCCCCTACCACTTCCCTCCTCCTTTCCACGTGTAAGTTGAAAACCGCCCCGGATGTTTTCTGACAGAATCCAAAATAGGTGTAAAATAGTGTCGTGTAGTAATGCTCAAGCTTAATAGGATCCGGGTCCTAAAAAAAGTGGTATAATGTAGAACTTGCATTGATTGATTATATTTACATTATTGATGAAGAAATCGTCTGTTTTTTAAGGAACCCGTTCCAGTCTTGCTTCAACCCCACCCTTGTGGGCAGGCCGCTATTCCAGCTTCCTCCCCCTGTAACGCCTGCAGCACAGGCTGCGCCCCCAGCACACCAGGGAGTGAAAGGTAAGAGTCGACAGATAGTAGAAGTATTAATATTTAATGACAATAAAACGCATAGCAAAAACTTTTCGTCTGAAATGATTGCAGAGAACCCAAAATACATGCTTCCGAAACACCACACGCCATTTCAGCAAAGCATATTTAAGAAGGTATTTTCAATATTCGTAATTTGAGTCCATTCACGAACATTCACGCAATTATGATTTTATAGATACAAAGTTATTCACATAATATCTGATGCTTTTTCATCAAATAAAATCTCGTCAGGAATACTTGTCAAAGGCGTTGACATAAACGCAAATCTTTAGACACATAGATGCTCCAGTAACGAAACCGTAATATAAGGGAAGGATGAAAATAACTTTTCAGAACATTTCCTTACATCTCTATTTAATTTGGGGAAGTCTCGAGCTCAATCCCTCCTTGGCCCGCCACTGTGGCATCGTTTAAAATAGTATACTAGAGCAACGGTACGTGCAAATTTGAACGTTGATATCTTGCCTTGCCTTCTGCTGTAGGCGTACATGGTTTCTGCACCTGCTGTCCACCCCGTGCTTCTTCTTGTAGTAACATCCTGGTCAACCACGAACACAGGAGCTCCAGCGTGGCAGAACTACGGCGCAAGGCTCGCGAGCATTCCCACGCTCTGGCCTTGGAGGCAGTGAACGGTGGTGGCGGTGGAGCAGGAGGAAGCAGTGGCGGAACCGCTGGAGAGACTGCAGTTGGAGGAGCCGATAGGGCAGAGCTTTTCCTGCGGCTCAAATAAGCAGCCAAAAGGTGTAGAAAGTTGATACTTCATGTGAACCTTATTGGGCAAGCAATGGGCACTCAATTTTTTGGGCAAGCTATCGGCACTCCTAATTGGTGAAAATTAGATAAAAATGTGTAGCGTTTGGCTGCTTTTATCAAATTACTTTCTCTGTGACATCCCCAGTATTATTCATCTGGAGACAAACATCGTTCTCGAACAACCAAATGTTTGAAGGTTTACATCAAAATTATTTTCTTTAAAATCATCGCTTGTATTTACAAGTTTTTATACATCTGTAACTTGAAGGACAATCTTCTGTAAGACCCGTATTACAAGGCATTTATCTACCCTTACGTGAATGCAATGCTTCCAATGTTTTCTGGCAAATGCTCGTACTTTAATCATTTTGGTTGTACATATATACCATTCAGTATTCGTTCAATAAAGAACTGTATCTGGCAGCCAGAGAGTGGCATAAGTGCTTTCATCTATTTCGTAAAAAGTGTATTCTAATATTTCCCCGATATGTTCTTATTTTACTGATTGTATAAAATTACTATTGTGCAACTATAATGATGAAGAAGGTTTGGCCAGGTTTTATATTTTCGCGTGTTTCAAGAAATTTGTCATCGGATTTTCTAGGTTTATAAAGTGAGGAATAAGAGCTTTTAGAAGTAATTTTCATTTTGTCCGTAATGCACAGAACAAAAATCCCCTAAGGTCCACGAAATTTCATGAATTGCAAAAAAGAAAGAAATGACTGTACAATATCAAATAGGAGGTAATCAAATTATTATTCAATGATGAATGAATTATTCTTAATAATTATCCGTTAAGGCCGATAATAATCGAGATAAGGCAATTACAAGGAGCGATGTGCGAGATATGATAATTGAATTATAAGCAGGGTAAATGGAACGTACGAGTTTCAAAACTCAAGGAGGCATGCAGATCTTCATATTTATAATCTTAACGTGTTCTATTTAATAACAAATAATAACCCATATATCTATTTCACGAACTGTTGCCATTAGTGTTCTAGTTTGTACTTCCAAAAAGGAAAGAAATTAAATAAAGTTCAGTACATGATTGATTCCGTGATGACAGCAGAGTGCATATGACTTCTGAAACCTTTCTTGAAATTCAAAGGTTCAATCACCTGTCTCCAAAAAAAAAAAAAAAAAAAAAAAAAGAATAGTAATACTAATATTTTGGATATCACATAATTCACATGCCAAGTAAATTAAGAACCGTTCCAACAAACTATTTCAAAACAATGAAAGATAAAGAACCCAAATTAGAAAACTAACCGAGCTGGTCAAATAACATGTCGGCCATGTATTCTCCTCAAATGCAGATGTAGGTATATCTCGGATTAAACCTAGAATATAAGCTTACTCTTCCCTTCTATATATAAAACCGACCGCTTATTTTTATGCATCTGAAACTTCCATCGGTGCCAGTCAGTGCCAGCCTTCTGCAGCTTTACCATAATCTTTCCCATTATGCCATTGTGTCGTGATCCAAGGACAATTATTGATACAATGAACCGATAATGTTCATTTTGACTTGTGCAAATTCTCCTTACTCCATTAGGGGTCCGTTGACGAGATTACGTGGACCCTTGATCGAATTTGCTATGATTGATATTACGATATAATATTATTCCGTCCTACTCACACTTTTTTCACGCACCGGTACATTACGGGAAAGTAATCTCTTTAGGTCTTCGTCTGATCCGATTGAAAATTTATCTAAGCTGTTGATCAGGGGGAGGGATGTCCAATATTGCAATTTTTCATTGTACATGGGGTATAAGTAATTTGAAAATCGTTGTAAATCTTATTTGCCCTTCATCCTAAATCTAACCACGGCAGACCCAAGACATCAAAAATCAATTTTTATTCAATTCCACCAAGTTATGTACATTTTGACTTCTTAAATTTAACTTACACAGGCACTCCTAATCGAATCGAGTGGAATATATCTTTTGGATTAGACATTAATAGACTCAGAGGCTTGCTAAATTGTATTTTTATGCATTTGACCCACGTAATTGTGTCAATTTACCGAGCGATATTTTCAATTTCTCAATCATTAGCATGACCCTGTATACGCCAACCCAAACACAATTGAACAGGAAATATGGGAAATTACAATGGAATGGCAGTGAAATAGAAATTTATAACATTTTCATCACAACTGCTTGGCCAGAATTCGGACTGATCGCATCCAATCACGGTCATAAACCAATCAAAGATCGTCAACGATTTTCAAGCCTTGAATCACCGAGGAATTTGCGATATTGTGGTACTACTCATCGCTATCATTTGTTAATTTTATGTCCGATATTCTTTGACTAAACATGACTAATTCATAGGAGTATTATTAAATGTAAATAATTATGGATCTTCTGGTTGGAAAAAAATTGTGCAGTAAATAGGAAATCCGTGCACATTTTTCCTCAAATTTATAGAGAGCTCAGCATTTTGGGACGAAGATATCAATCTCTACAAGAAAAATAATTCAAAACAAAACTAAGTGAATATTCCTCGGTCCTGTTGATAGCAATAAAACTATAAAAGAATTGCGGCTTCATCGCAGCCAGCATTATTTATCATTATTTAGACTTCCGTATCTTTATAATACATGACATATAAGACTTTGTAGTCGATTAGACGATTTGAACATAAATTACTTGAATACGTTCAACGGTATCTCTTTTGCGGCCTGCGACGGCATTTTAGATGGACATTGAAAAGGATCTAAGGTCTTTCGAACATGCAGTTTTCATCACTTTTCCCATGAGAAAACAACAGAAAATAAAGTTCGAGATATTTAACTATATATAGTTCAAACCATACGAGTACAAAGGGAACACGTCGCCACTTGATCGTTACCTAATATATACAGTGTCGACATCGAGATGCACCATCGTCTTTGCTCTTCTCATATGCCGTACTTTAATACATAGTTCAACATATCACAAAACTGAATACCACCAGTTTATTATGTAATTAATCATCTGGCTGGAGCGGAAGATATATTTCTGGTTCAGTTTGATTAAATTATTTACAACTGCCTTCAATCTCAGTTATCTAATTAAATGGAATAAAGTAGAAATAATTAAGATAATAAGACAAATGACTTCTTGACAATGATCCCCATGCCAAGCTTCAGAGAACATACATAATCTCATTCCAAGGTAATCTTATTGGCTTCTTAGCTTAACCTTAGGACTGAGAACTATATATATATATATATATATATATATATATATATATAGTTCCGGCTGCAGAGCGGGGATTCCCAATGTCTCTAAAAATCGAGACCCCCCCCCCCGTCAACTTCTGGTGTAGTTCTTGACCTACCATTGGTTAGCTTACTAAAATTGGCGTTTGAGATCTGTCAAAGTTACGGGTATTTTGAGAATCTTTGAAATAACCAAGCACCTCTTGTATCAATTGTATTCAGGCTTGCTATCTGTAAAATCATTTTCAATCTCTCGGATATACTGGACTATCGGAAGCCCAATAGAGTTCTCAGGAAAATACTAAATGATGTTGTTAAAATGATTATCATAATACAAGTGGAACCGACGATAATTTGCTTAATAAGCCTAAGTAAAATTGATTCATTCCAAAGTTCGATTTGATACGCTACAATTTAATTCTACTGGGGGACTCTTCCTTAGAAGGCTGAGATATTAATACTACATGCTGGCATGAAATTATATTTCTTCTTCAAGTTGCTGTCACTGTGGAGTGCATACCATTACTTCTATCAAGTACATCTCTTTCCAAAAAATAAGGATAAAATAGAATTAGCAAGAAAAAATTTTGACTATAGTAATGCAAGCGATTATCCCATCTAAATTAAGAACTAAACAGCATTGACAAGTTTTAGTCACTTTTAATCGTTTAAACTGCTTATTCACCAGACCTAGGGGTGGGGATAAAAAGGAAAAAGTAATATCAAGACTTAAAAAACTCTTCCTCAATCTCTAGACTAACAGGGGTAAAAATAAAACAAATACTGGCAAGGTTCCATATAGTTTTACTGTCTATTTGTGTTGACATTAACTCTTCGATAATCATACTTCCATCAAAAAGTGAAAATGACTTTACAAACATTTCCATTTTAACAGGTATGCGCTTATGGACACTGTTGCAATATTATTTTATATTGTATTCATTTAATCTAGAAAAAAATATGAACACATAATGGTTAGTCTCCAATTGTATGCATGGCTAAATTTTGTTACAAAATATTCCATTTTTCCAGATCTAAAAAGTAGGAAAGGTTGAGTAAAAATAATAATAAGTTTGCCATATCAATCATATAATAAGTCTCCATGTCAATCAAAGTAGCAGAATGGCATAACTGCTCAGAAATTGATCAGGTTTACATTTAGTCATCATAAATTCGTTGTAGTTTAGAATTCGGCCTCCGTTATGGTCCAGGCAAGATTTGTGCCCCACGTATACAGGGTGTATTCAAAGAAAGTCTTGCACTCGGACTGTTCTCCGCACAGCATTTGAATAGCCTTCTTTAAAGTGAAACCAAACATCCCCATCCAAGATGTTCTTCTTTTTGGCATTTTCTGGTGATGCTGAAATGTAAAAGTGAAAGACGTAATCACAGTAAGAATCTTCAAAGACATACAATACATTGAGAAAAGTATGATGTATAAAGCAGATTTAGGGTTTTCAATTTCTTTTTATTGGCATCGAAAGTGAAATTTGTTAGTGTCTATCTCCATTATGAAAGTGCCTCAAAAAATCAAACCCAGAACTCAAATATGGACTCAAGGATAATATTCCTGTGAATGATTTAAGATATGGTATACCTTGGTGATGAAAGCAAACCTTAGTGAGGAAAGGAAAAGTATTGAAATCAACAAGAAAATTTATTATTATTATTATTATTTTTTGCCATAGTGTGCCTGTAATTGTGTATGACAGCACTTGAGAATATCACTGAAAATGCAGTTCAAATCTACCAGATTTAATTCTATAGAGAACGGTATGTTAAAACAGAAGGGAAGTCTCATTGCTCCTTAAGCCGAATATCCTGAAGTCATTAATCTAAATAAAAACTCACATGACAAGATATCTTCTCCTCAAGTTATGCAAGATTAATTCAGCAACCATGTTGTAAGTAAAACCATATCACTGTCATTTTTGTTGATAAATAGTAAAATAACATCTTACCGTTCTCTTTTTTTCTTTTTGTTTGGATTACTCTTCCAAAAAAGTCCACAGCAGGCTGAAATGAGACAATGACTTTAATAACCTCCCTTCCAGACTTTGACCTGTTACATATGTACATTTTAGACTGTAATGCCTTTTTTTTTTAATTTTTTAAACAAGTTTTCAGGTTAAAGGGCTATATTAACATTCATGTGAAACCCATGGTGGCTTTCTGAAACTTTGGCATATAATAACTGGCAGTCTGCTCATTAAATCCTAACAAAATAAATAATATTTCCAAAAGTTCTGTTGGGTGTGGGTCATGAAAGCATTGGTATCCTTATGAGTAACTTAATTTTTTCAATCTTCAATAAAATTAATTTCTGTAGTGGGTAAGGTATGTGACATAAGAAATTTATAACTGTAATTTTGACCTCATTAACTTATTCTGAGCACAGAAATAGGCATTTGTTGAAACACTGCTTAGTCATGAGAAAAGGCATGTTCATAGAAACATGCACCATAAATAAATGAATACATATATTAAAACTAATAATAATAATAATAATAATAATAATAATAATAATAATAATAAAGTCAATGTAGACCTACAACCTTAGCAGAATTAAGAGAAGTTACTTTTTAATTATTTTCTGCCAATTCTGACAAAAACTTTTCTGAGCACCAAAGCCTCCCAACTCTACTTTCTGGCTCCTACAAGGTAACTTCCTTAAAGTCACAGAGAATTGTACTCTGTATCAGTCTTAACTTGGGAGATGTGACTGGGTTTGACACCTAATTATAGACAGAAACTAATTAAGTTGGAGAAGATTTCAGTGAAAATTCATTTACACCTAACCAATTCTGGGACTTTCTAATGGTCCATTTGTGATGCATTGAGATGCTTCTATGTCGGGAGCATGCCGAAGATTCAAAAGGTCAAATGACAATGGGAATAAAGGCAAATCAATTTAATCTCCAACGTCACATTATCGAAAGGGCAGTCTGAATAATGCATGGGGATGCTCAGCTGAGAGAGAGCAATGCCAACCCCCCAGTTCAGCTAGGTCTGGTTCGCCGGCTATTTTTTTTTTATAACTCCTAGTAGGCCCCACTGAAGATAGCCGCTCCTACACCTGCTTCACATTCCTCAACATACTAACCACCTGCCTTCACTTCTTTGTAAATTGTTCAAAATACCCAGTTTCCATCATATGTCAGGTCTTCAAAAGATAACATTAAAAATAATTTTTCCTACAAAACATCTAAGGTACTTTCTCCACTGTTGCTAATTCAAAAGTCTGGGATTGAAAAAAGTAGAGCGAGAGAAAAACTTCACTTACATGTTACACAGTATATGCCACAAACAATCTTTTCTATTGTTCTCTGGTTACTTTAAGATTGAAATAATTCACTTATTTTCTGAGGGTACCAGTACTTTAAAATTGAAGAAAAGCTTCACTGAGATCTTCAGGGTGTATTTGAGTGCCATGAGGCTAACACAGCTTCAACTTCCTAAATTATGCATTCTAATTGAATTACTAAATGGTATCATATATATTATGCACTCAAATTAAGACCAAACCATTTACTTTGAACAGAAAACCAAATTACTTCCCGTGTTTTGGGATCATGGGACCTCATCATGTACTCAGCATCCCTCCTCTGCCTACGAGATAATGCCATTTTAGCTAACTCCAAATGGATTCTAAGTGAAAAAATTACGACTCTGATCTGATTATGCAGATTGTTATAATGACAATAACATAATTACAAAGGCCAAAGTGACAAAACATGTTCCCCCTGAGAGAAGGGAAAGTTGTGCAGACTGTTGTAAGGAGCTGGAGTTAAGCAATTCTGTTTAAAATCAAGTGGAATTAAGCTGTTAACCACTAGGAGCGTGAGGCTCCCATAGAACAGCACTTAGACTAATAATCTCTGAGCCGTGCCTGCCATATTAATGATCCTGGACTGTTCACCACACTTCTAGCTGTCACAGCCATCCACAGTGCCTGTTCTCTGCTAACTAGAAGGTTTCTTTTAAGAATCATACATACTACCACACACATATGCCAAAGGCAACCCCTAAATAGATATCTCATGAAATAAAAAGCAATAGGGGCAGAGAATGCTGAAAATAAAAATGAAAGACTACCCTACCCTGTTTCTTTCTTTTTTTTTTCTTTTTAAACTTTATTCTGGCTTTACAAATAAATAAACAAAAAATAACTACATAATACAAAAAATACAGAGGCACTTAACTGAAATACTCCTTACTTACACACACACATCTCTTGCTTGTAAGTGTAAGATACAAAAATACAATATAATATGGGGATACATTAGCTCATTACTTACAGATGTTATGGCCTTGCATTTCATACCCACATTTACAGACAAATCTGATGACAATTCAATACATAAGCACTTAACATATAGATGTAGTAGAGCTTTTTTTTTCACCGTTAGGCCNTTTGTTGGGGGCTGGGGTTTTTTTATTTTTTTTTTTTTTTCGGAGAACGGGCGAAAATCGGTGCGCGCGCAGGATGTCATCCATAAAAATAAAAAAGTGTGGCCTTATGTTACTTTCATATCTAGGAAAGCTCCTTTCCCAGTTCCTTTACATTTCAAATAAGGACTAACAAGTTTCTACAGATTGTTCCATAAAAAACAGGGAAATCCTTCCAATGTAGGTAAATTCCCATCCTTGTTGAAGCCCAATGTTTAAGTACCCATGTAATACCACTGGCACCCTTATCATAATATTGCATATATTTTATTAGGTTATTTCCAAGTATTATGCCTTACCAATAGCAGCTCCCAGACATTCTGTCAAAATGATAATAATCTATACTGCACAGGGCAACCAATCTAGTTGAAATGCCATCAAATAATATGATTCTGTGTGTAAGTAAAAACATTGCCATTTAGTACCCATTATTACCAAAAAGAGATAAATAAACATGCACCCATTTACACTTCAACCATATGTCCACAATATCCCATTAAAATGCTACACAAATACACACTTTAATCCATTTACTACCTCCATATCACACTTTACTAACCCCATTATGAAACTGCCTACATACCCAGTACAAAAGTATTTTAAAACTACTAACACAATCATAGTAAAATTCTGACACAGGGTCTACCATAGTGCCTTCACATGCAAATGTACTCACACACCAATTTTTAAAAGCCCTCATCAATATTTCAATACATTTTTCATGCTATGCCAACCACCCTTCATATTTCAAGCCAAGCTATATGCAGACTACAAATGAGTTCCCAAGTTATCTTACCTTATTCCTTTGTGCATTCTAGAAAGGTACAAATTTTTTGATGAAAGAAAATAGAAGCATGTATCAAATGTAAAGCTATATCAAAATAAAACGTTGGGTATGTCTTATTTGAAGCTTATTCATGAAAAGTGTAATGTGTGAAAATCACAGTTGCGTCAAATGAAACTGACAAAAAATTTTGTCTCTGGGCTTGTACTGAAAATTCAGTGTTATATCTTGTGTTGCATTATGTGGGTTAACACCCACTAGCTAGTTATAAACAATCATCCAAATACCATACATCACAACCTAGTAGTAAATTTTCAGCATCTTCCTTTGAAGCGTGCATTTTTTTTCAATGCATCCACCTAAAAGTTTGAACATGTGTGTTTCCTTACCAGTAAACCTAAAGCTTTCTTGTCTATACTCCATTGGTATCAAGTGACCAATTTTACCAAATTTGATAGTGGTAAATTTTCAGCATTATCCATATTTATGCAGTTCATCATTGGTTCTCTTTTCCCTACAGAGATATCATAACAATATCAACAATCTTCAGGATCAAGTAGAAATACAATTTGGACAAAAATTAGGAGCGTTTAATGGGTTCAGCTATTGATACTCTGGTGAAAATCGCCCAAATGGATATTTTCAGAAAATCCACTTATTGCAGCAGCATAAGTGCGAAAGTCAATTTGTGAACACTTCATCTCATTACGATTTCATTACATCAAGTCCGCATTCAACCACCTCATCACCACTCACATGTACTTGTAAACAGGAAACAGAATAAAATGTACACGAAAAAAATATAGCCATAAATTCAAAATGATGATGATGAAGGAATGATTGGATTTATTGCTCTGAAAATGATTGGACTCAGTCTAGCTAGAAGTTGCATAACAGGTTAGGTCAAATTTAAGCTTTGTAAACAGTGCTTGAGCCATAAAATAAATGGACAAATTTAGAATTCCCATTTTAAAAATATGGAATTTAAGGGCTTTACATATGCATTCAACCCAAAATAGTTGACATCAAACTTGTGATACTAAAAAGGACAAAAATGCCATTCAGCTGTCCATGAGATGCTTAGTTTTATCCCACTTTGTGTGAAGTATTATAATCTTTCCAGTCAATATTAGACCTATGGATTCGAATTGAATTTCTATCCATAACTGCAATTACAGATTCCACACATTTTCAAAGTAATTACATATGAATGGAAATATAAACATATTTTAAAACACTTTATAACTTATTATACTTAAAAGATCTCTATTGCCATGTTCACTCCTCCTTTACCATCACCACGCACAACATTCACAAGCAAATAAATTTTACATTGATGGGGAGTCTGAAATTGTCTAAATATTATCATAAAAATTAAAACAGCAAAGTAAGTTAAGATGGTACCCAGATCATAGTTCATGTTACACAGTTTATCATTTGTAAAAAAAATTTTCTGCATTTTACGTAATATCGACAGCCCTTTTAGAGGATGACAATTGGACATGAACAAAAAAAGAGAAAATAAATAAATGTGGAACTGACAAATAAATATCTCCCCTGTGTAACATTTTTTGTTACTTCCAAATTAATGATAGCACATTCACAAACAAAATACAAATATAGCACTAATGCTATAACAATTCTTAAGCCCTGTTGTGAATGAAAACAGTTGAAGAACAAAATATTGCATGGAGGCCTGAAGGGGTAAAGAACAAAAGCTTTTAAGTCCAAGAGAACATAAATTGTGATCCTATGTAGATTATCAACTACAACGAATACCATTGTAAAAGAATTGACATTGCAAAAAAAGAGAGACTTTGCAAAAATGGTCTTAGAAACAAGAAAGTCTCTCTCTAGAAATAAATAAATAAATAAATAAATAAATAAATAAATAAATAAATAAAAGGGCAGCAGAGGTCTATGAGCTTAGACTAAACTGCAGCAATCGAGAGCCTAAACAGTGCATCAAGTTGACCAATCAACAAACTCATCTGAAAAACCCACGAGCATTTTGTGCTCTATCCAAATTTTATATTTTAGTAATTCTAAATAACCTAAGAATAATACTACTGGATGAATAACATAAAAATTCACTTTGATACTAAATCACCTTGTTTTCGAATAATTTTGATTACAAGGTTCTGACAAACTGAAGAGCAGGGAAATATTCACAGGATTAACAAGAAAAAATACAATGAAAATCCCCCTAGTCCACATATTCTATGGAAATGTAGAATATTCCAGCAGGAAATGTGGTACGAAAAGATTGCCCTCACCCAAACTGACCAGTCTATCAATAAAAGTAGCCCCTGAAGACAAACTGCGTGAATGCCTTTTTACTGCTCCACTAGTAAATTCTTTGAACCACATGCTAAGTCAAGGAATATCACCCAGAAAATCTCATCAAAGTGATTAGTTTTACTGATGAAACTCAACAGCATCTCTATCTAAATGCACAAGAAAATTTGCCTCATGAATTTGTCAAAGAGCAAAAGGTCCAAGAAATGTCACCAATTATTTACTTAATCACCACAACTGAAGTGACAAAACTGAACACCAATCTTGACACTCATTACACTCTTAGACTAGAAATGTTTAAAAGATCGAGTTACGACTTTCTATTATTTCCGGTCCTCCAGTGACAGTTGTATAGCAATATCCCGCACTGATAGCCTGATTATCAACAGACTTCCACAGACTTCATACAAAATATGACTGACACCCAGCGTAATTTCTTTCACTCTTCTCTGTGGGGATGTGTTACAAAATCAGCAGTGCCGCTGTCAGTCTCTTGCATGGACAAAACATCATAATAGAATTGCTATTCTAATGAAGGCATCAAATTTACAAGCATTGTCAAGAAAAATGCAATTACCGTCAATTAATACACTATACCAAGCTTCAATAAATGAAAAATTGCATACAATCCAATTTTGCCTTTCTCTTGATTTCAATTAATGTTGAGATTTTAAATGAAGTTAAAGGCTAACTTAATATTGGACTGACATGTGAGGAATAGTGCATTTGAAGTCAGCTCTACGTGCTGAACCCTGAATGCAAACAAGTTGGGATGCAATCTTAAGGTCCATCCACATTACACTTGTTTAAAAATGTCTTATTTCGAATTTAATTTGCTCATACTCCTGTCAGGCATTTGTCATATCATATTCCAGAGATTTCACAGCTTGGTTTCACAGTCAATTTTCATAAATTGCAATCAACTTCTCCACCACTAAGGTCGACCACCTGTAGTAGACTTCAAATGGTAAATCGTCACCACTAAAGTACCCAGAATGCAATTAACAGTGGTAAGAGCAGTTCACAAACAGTTCTAATTTCTGCAGTGTGAACAGGGCTTCAGAATAAAGCCTTTTTGCCTAGCACTACCAGCGAGTAAAAGGTGAGAATTATGGATATTACTATACTTTGTGGCTTTAATAATTCACTTAATGTTCACTCCAGATATTGGCACAGACAACATAAAAGCTGCTCGGCTATCAAATATTGATGGAAAGGTCTGCAGGTTACTGGCAATATCATATAATTCTACTGATCACAAGCCACCTGGTTTATTATACCACCAAAAAAAAAAAAAAAAAAAAAAAAGAACTACTGGCAAAGCAGAGAATGTACTTGAGGTGACAAGGCTGAAACAGACAGTGCATTAAGACGACATAAATGCGCACATTAAAATATTTTGAACTAGAAAGATATCAAAATGTTGAAAAATAAAAAAATAGATTAAAAGGACACACGNAAAAAAAAAAAAAAAAAAAAAAAAAAAAGGGGCTACTGGCAAAGCAGAGAATGTACTTGAGGTGACAAGGCTGAAACAGACAGTGCATTAAGACAATATAAATGCGCACATTAAAAATATTTTGAACTAGAAAGATATCAAAATGTTGAAAAATAAAAAAATAGATTAAAAGGAGACACATGTACACACATGTGTATAACAATTTTAAACAGTACATAAGAAAGCTGATCATCATTATTTCAGACAATGGCAGAGAGCCCACCTTTTCCTCCACCTCCCTGATCGGCTTGGCCTCCAGCTTCTGCAGGTGGTTAGGTACGGCAGGGTTGGCCGACTTCTTTGTTACTGGAGCTACAGGCTGCTTCTCAGCTCTGCAGTGATGACAAAATGATCAATCATGTATGTACGTGCATGTTATAGTAGATGAAAAAGAGTGCATTTGCTTCTTACATGTAGTAGTATTATTGGGCAAGAGCTTTCAATTTTTTTATTTTTTTGGGACTCAAAATGCTGAAAGAACTATTATTTCATGTTTGTCAAATTGTGAAATTGTTGAATAATGATTCATATATAATTCATCTACGATATATAAAATATATAAATATATATGAAATGATTATAAAAATGAGTTAAGATGGAGAAAATATGTGTAAATAATGAAATTTAAATATGTGGGGGTGGGAGCAGTGAACCCAGACTAAAGTGCCTGCCTACACACCTTTCAAGTACTGCCTCACTTCTTCTCATCTTCTCCAACTCAATCTGAAAGAAAAAGGTCCGCATACATATTTTAATGTGGACAGAGAATAGTACCACTAAAAATAATTTGAATTTTTTTTTTCAATCACACATCACATTTAAAGTTATTTTTTTCTTCTTTACTTAAAATCATAGTTACCACTTTGGAAAGATTGAAGGTCATGTGTTAATTACAGCCCAAACAGTATGTTTTTTTCTTATTATTTCTTAATATCAAAAGGAACTGCACTTCCTGGATAAATGTTTAAATCAAGTTAAGACTCAATTCATTTACCCCTTATAAATTTAATATCTGACCAGAATTACAACTTGCATGATGAAGCAGGTCAGTCTGATTAGCTTTCACACATTAAAAACTTCACAGCTCACCTCCCTGGCTATCAGCTGTTTAGCTGCATAGGTTAACTGTCTTTCAGGCTTCAACCCTGTGAAGTGAACCACTTCATCTAAACTCCTTGAAGATGAACAAATAAATCAAAGATAAAATATTAAATGCTATCATGCTCTGCTCATGTTGAACTACATCTTATGCTCAATCAAGTGAGTCACTGTCCTGTACAGAACAAAATGTGTCAAGTTTTCAATTCCAATGATGTAGATACTTGCCAACAGTGACGACAAAATGTTATGATCACACATGCACATACACCCACACATACCCAGAAAATCACATTCCTTAACTCACTGGCTGCTATACAATAAAAGTACACAAATACATTACAAACTAGTGAAAGCTCTGAGAGATGCTTGATAAGTGTGCAAGCCGGCCATAAAAGACTTGAACTGAGCTTTATCCTTTTATGTGAACATTCATACACTTCACAAGGCCACACACTATTGTTCCTTGTCACATGGCGTACTTGCTTGCAATGCCAAGAAATTAAGTCTTGGGTTAGTTTCACAACATGAACACAGTAAGTTGGTTAACCCCATTATGTCTAAAGGAGACCAGCTAGAGCAATTTTCTTATGTTTGGGAATAGATGAGAAAGCAAACATAAATTATTAAGGAGCTTAATTTGATCAGCTTTTAAATTTTTTGTCACAGCTCTAATGGTACTGTGTTCATTTCGCAAAATTTGACCAATCTTTGCTTTTTTTGACAAATTACACAAATACAGAGAAATGTTCATTATTACTAAATGACAGAGTGCTGGAAATGTTACATACACAGCATAAGTAAAAACCACACCCTTGCATAATTGCTATGGACTTATCGACTACCCCATACAAAACCATTAAAATTGAAAAAGTATGGGATTTTCAAATGCTGTTTGAAAACTGTTCATAATATCTTTATGTTACTTACGGATCAAGAACGTATGTGTATTGTCCCTCTGGTGTCCTTTCCTGGCGATACGTCATGTTATAAGCAATCATGATCTGAATCAGGTGGTTCATATCCGCCTTCTCCCTGGCACTGTAAAGCTGTGTGTTCACCTGAAACCATCGCGTACAGAACAACAGTTCCAGATCATTCTGTTTCCACAGAATAACTTCAATATACATACAAGTTAGAACAACTGTGAAAATACAAATCCAAAATTATAATATGGTAATATTGCATTGTAAGATTTATTCAAATTTTAATACTGAAAATTCAGATAGTGTTCTCAAGGTCCAGCAACTCAGCAGGAGTCGTATTCTCTTACTCTTTTGAAGTATTCCAAAAGATATTTCACCACAATTATATCCCAGTCCAACCTTTTTGAATTTTCTAAATCTTGTTTTTTCAGATAGATTTTTGACAATTGAAACTTACTAGGATTTTTTTTCTACACACAATGGATGTCTGATGTGTGAATCTTACAAATACAAGCCTTAATTACATTTTAAGAGATAAAATTTTATAAAAATAACAATAATTTAAAAACCTGCCAAAATATGATAAAACCTACAGGTCTCAGTGTGGGTGTAATGATGCCCAGCAGAGATGGCAGAACCTCCAGCACAATTATGGGGATGTTCAAATTTTTCCTCACAGAGGGTGCCATCTCATTCATCATGGCATTCACCAGGTTTTCTGACTTGGCCAACTTAGTGGTGCACTGAAAATACATAGTTCATAGGTATAAGCTAGAAGTGTTTTCAGTTTCATGCAAATAATATTTATCCAAATGCTGCAAAACTTTTTAATTTTCCAATTTGGCATTCCACAATTATTTCTGACAAGAATACAAAGAGATGTCCCCCTTTTCAAATGCAGCATTTAAGAACCTAATGGTATATATTTTTAAAGCATATACTTTGTTTTAGCCAAATAATGTAATATTCAACAAATCAATAAAAAATGATGAAGAAAAATAACAAAACTTTTTATACTTCCTTTTGCCCAATCTTCTACAGTATTTCATTAAATTAAATGTGTGTATGAGCCCAGGAATGTCCCTAAACCTTCCCTCAGACTGACTATGTGAGGGATATCCCCAAACTTCACCTCATACTGACAGTATGAGGGATATCCCCAAACTTTATTTCATACTGACCATGTGGGGGATATTCCTAAACCTTACCTCATATTGACTGTGTGGATAAGACAACTTGGGGTATGATGTGGAAGCAAACAGCAGGTGGAAGACCACAGGTAGGTATGGCAGGTAGCGCATCATTATATAGAGCTGATAGTGAGCTATCTGCTGGTTCACCAGGTCTGTATAGCACAGCCATTCACTGGCCAGGGTCAACTATAATATGTGAGTTAACATGTACTTAGTACATATAGACAACAACTGATCATTTTTACAAATTTGCTGGCTATGATTCATTAAAATGCAGGTAATTATAATATACAAATAACAATCAAATACATAAGTAATTTTTTTTTGTAAAATGGTCACTGACAACTGTCATTGGTCACTTTAAACACAGGCCTGACAAAAATATAATTCATGAAATACACTTATCAAAAATTCTTACCAATATATAAAAAGATTAATCTTTTATAGATAAAATCCTACAATATCACATGCCTTACCCCATCAAATCTTGGGTCCTTAATTTTCATCTCTAAATAATTTTCAAAGATTCCCTGGGTTACTTTTTCATGGTCTCCTGCTGCTATGGCAACCTCATAGATGTGCTGAAACCTGTACGGACAAGACAAATTGAAGATTTTCTCAGGAATTAATGGAGGATAAAATTACCTTTGTTGAAGTGCTCGGTACAATTCCACAACAAATGAAATTAAGTTTATATGTCAAATGTGCTTTTTTTTTCTTACTTTTTCCACAAAACTCACTGCATGTTAAATTTCCCAAAGTTATTGTTTTCTAAATGTACTTTCAATATCCTGGCTTACCTTCCTGATGTGGATGTATTGTTCTGTGCTAAGAGATCTTGCATTTCTTGAACACTTCCACGCTCATGGGGATTGACAAATCTTTTCCTAAAAATGAATTAATACCACCAGTTTTATACTGGATGAAAGGTATTCTAATGAATGTTTTTTGTTTGTTTGTTTCAACCTGAAATGTTTCAATTGTAGATGCAAAGTATACAAAAAAATGATCAACCTATGCAATGTACATTTAGTTTTGGCTGTATCAAACTGTTTGTTATTGAATTAATAAGTGAAATAATAAGTGATATCAAATGTTCCACCTTTTAGGTTTAGGCATTTGAAATATATCCTGCCAAACAGAGAAGAGACTTTTGTGAGCATCCTTCTGTCCTACACTCAATGACTGGACACTGGACATGGTCAGTTCCTTCTTCTGCCTCTGGACGAACTGAACACATGGAAAGACATGAGTTGCATTGCAGTTCCTTATTAATTGATATACAAAGTAAATAAATGTGAGGGAAAAAAATGAAGTCATGTAATCAGGATTAGAATCAAGTCAAAAACATCAATATGTTTTTCTTGAGAGAGAGAGAGAGAGAGAGAGAGAGAGAGAAAGGGAGGGGAGAAAGAGAGACGTAATTATGCAATTTAATCAAGGTGAAACATGACCTGGCAACATTACACATCAACAGTAAGATACCTTGTGGACATTACATAATTCTTCATACATCAAACATGATGTCATAACACCTGTGCTGTGTTCTCATGATTATGTCAGATTGCCGGATGACTGGGTCACTTAAACACTTTACACATACCTGTGTCATGTTAGGAGCGATAAGATATCACATTACCTGTACAATGCTCCGACAAGAAATTTTACAAAACCTCAGAGAATGCATTTAAGGCCAATATCAGCTAATCAATAACATTTGCTTGTAATGTTATCTTGGTGAAAAGATTTGACACCTTTTACATGACAATTTGACCTTTTTCAACGCCACACCATGGCATACTTTGACAGGGAGACATCCAGCATTCAAAGGTGTTATATAAGTGTACATGTAAGTATGGGTTTAGCATTAGATGTGAAAAAAAGGTCTCTGTTCACTCTAATACCACCTGCAGGGTGTTATGATGAAAGAATGACTAACCTGGGTGGAAATGATATTGTACAAAATGTGCTGTGAATGGTTGTGTCCAAAACAGAACTAACTCAGACAGCGAGTTGACCAACTTACATCACCATGTGACCGGATTACCTGGGTAACCTCATCATGTCTAAAAAGTTCAGATCCCCACCTTTAATCAAACTGGTCATCTGTTCATGTCAGTTAAGATGTTTTTGATTTTGGGTTTAACTTAGTCTAGTTGTGTACTCAGCCAATTTGACAGCCATATACCTGCAGCGTGTTCAGACAAGATCTGATGTCATTATTTGACAGCCACATACCTGCAGCGTGTTCAGACAGGATCTGATGTCATTATTGGTCTTCTCACACAGCTGGAGCAAGGCAGACATGTCTGTACTGATTTTATTCATTCTACTAATCTGAAAGATAACACACTGCAAATGTAGTTATTTCATTTGTTTGTTCTACACCAAGGTAAGATATGCTTAAATTGGACAAAGACTAAATAAATATCATGTTTATAAATGTCTGTAACCATAATCATTGTAGTTTATTGGTGACAGTACAGAAAAAGCCAATTAAAAACTTCTCAGAGCTTCTTTAAATAAAAATTACAAAATCACTAATTACCTTTTTTATAATCCACCTAATATAATTCTAATTTATTTTCAATTCCATAACAATGAACAGATATCAAACACTAATCAGAGTGGTCAAAAATCATCAATTTTTTTGAAAACACATGTGTAAAAGGGGGGGGGGGGGGGGGATCAATACATTACCAGCAAGCAGACTCAGACTCAACATACCTCTAGTAATCTAGAAGCCAGCTGTGCAGAGGCAGTGGGAGGGAAGTGTAAAACCAGGGCATTTTGTCGTAATGTCCTCAGAGCAGGCACATACCTGAAACAAAGGTATTGATACTCTTGACTGATGCATCAGACAGGTAGAAAAGAAAGGTGTATTGATATTTCAGTGGCACTACTGTTATAGGTTAAGAAAAGTTGGAATTCTACGTAATACATATTTTTCAAGACAAAATGCCATTTATAATACCAAAATCAAACAAAGCACAAATATCTAGATTCAATCCACATTTCTTCATAAGAAATTTGTCATGAAGAATAATAAAAAGACTTACAAATCATTACAAACACAGATAACAGGTCTTAACAGAATCCGTTCACTCTTCTTTTTCTTTTTGGTGACCTTTTCTTCACCTTTGATGAATGACATCAAAATATTGATAGATTGCTAAATAAAAAAATAACAAAAATACAAAATTAAATATATATTAAGGGGAAAAAGAATAAATAAAAATAAATAATAAAATTAAAGGTGTTTGAAAGTCACTAATACTAACAACTGATTACAAAGTATAATTTCCAGCCAATATCACATTAGCAAAATCTAAATATTTAACACTGTTAAAAACTGGAACTACTCTGGATGACCAAGGCACAGAACTTCAATTGTCTAGCATGTGATTTTTTAAAAAGACGAATCCATACACCTGTTCCACAAAAGATCTATAAAAAAATTCTAAACTTTTAGACTAAATTTAGTCTACTAAAGATATATCAGCAGTAGTCGAATTAAATGAAATATTGTGCCTGTTTAATCAGGAGAGAGACATGGCTAATTTATGTTTTTCTTACAGAAGGAGCACCATCAATCTCATCAATGACCAGACAGTTCGGCCTTGGGTCTGCTCCCATTACTGCTTTCATTTGGGTAGCAGATTCTATCTTATTCTTAAAAAATTCTGGAGATCGGTCATCACTGCAATATACAAGAAATACAAGATGCTAAGATGATCATAACTTATTATTAGAGCAAACTTGCACACTAAAACTTTTTTGTTCTCCATTTTGCTTATGACTGAAATTTAAATCTCAATTAAACCAGAGTGAGGTGATCCATGCTTTCATCATTAGTTTTAAGCTAACAGTTTTTTCCTCATATTCAAAAGGATCACACCTGTCTGATAGTCAAAAATTAATCTCTGATAGTGAAGAAAAGCCAGTTCACTAAACTGTCCATTGGCCAGAGATTTAGACCTCATTCTCATAAAGACACTATTGATCTATGTGGATCGACCCAACTCTGTGTGGACATTGCTAAGTTCAATCAGCTTAACTGAATGGAATGCCTCCTTTTGTTTTCAATGTACTCGTATAATCACCAGCTTTTCTGTTTTCTACTTAATGCCAGAAGGTGCGTTAATCTGTTAAGCTGATCGCTCTCAGTGAGAATTCCTACAGAGTTTATCGACACAGACCCATGGTGTTTAAGGTAATGAGCCCTTAGTCAGAAATGTGGGGGTCAACCTGTCTTACCTGGCATTCATCTCAACTACATTATACCCAGCATGGCTTGCAATTACATGGGCCAAAGTGGTCTTACCGAGACCTGGGGGACCACACAGCAAAGCTATCTGAAATTTAACAAATTATTCACCTTTATAAAAATTCAACACATATAATAGAGTTATTCTTAAAATCACATACTGATCATTTTAAAAAACACCCATGACTTATGACTTTGGCATCTGCCAATAATATTGCAAGGCCAACAATCACATTAGAGACAGTTTTTACCAGTGACTTAAATAGTTAAAAAAAAAGAAAAATGAAAATATTTCATATTTCTTCCAATTTAAATTCTCTTATCTGAAAATACCTTTTGCATTGGCCTTCCTAGTTTGTCCAAATCCTCTGTCACTTCCTCCTGCTTTTTAAAGTTCTTTTTCTTGCCATCTTTTTTGCTCTTTTCTTCTTGCTTTGCTTTAGGAACTTTCTTCTCCTTTCCAAACACAACATGGTCCCACAACTTCAGCCAGTGCAGCAACGTTCTGTTAGTGCTCTGCAAAATGGAAATAAAATAAAAGATATTCTGAATTAAGGATAAAAAGTGTATATGCATACTGCAATTTGCTTGCTTGCATGTGTGTGTGTGTGTGAGGAAAAAAAATGCAACAACTCTGAAGTGCTAGTAATTTTTCAACTCCACCCTGAAAGTATTTCTGGAGTCTATATAAAGATTTAGAGGGGTTTCTCAGGCACCAGCAGTTACTGAAAAATATCATTTTTAATCCCATTCCCTGTCTACCAAGGTTCAACCAAAATTCATCAAATAACAATGTCAATGAGAAAAAGCACATGAGAAAAAATATACACAGATTGAAATTAAAATGATAATTACCAGCTTTAAAGAAAATCTTATACGTATACATCTATAAACACCAACAGGTGTTCCCATTAAAGTTGAAATAAGTGCACATCGTTTCTCAAAAGAGTGTGTACCTCATCACTTAAGAGCTGTGTATATTGACGGGGTCTGTATTGTTCTACCCACAGCTCATGCTTCATATCTCCATCACTTTCCACTTCTTTATCAAGCATGTCATGGTCTTCAGGCAAATCACTTGTTAACTCATCATCCAAACCAAGATCTGTGTCAAATTCCCTGTAAAAAAATAATATGCTAATACTGCAAACATTTTTAAAGTGAAGATGGCCGCTAAATTAAACCTGTATCTAGATATAAAACGGATATATACAAATATCTGTTCATCATTCTAACCAAAAAACATCCAAAATTTTAAAACAATTACCAACCTGTTAAGCTGATTAGTCAGTCTTATTGATTCTTTAATTACTCTGTTTCTCCTCTGAAATGATAATTTCCATAAAAATCATTAAAAAACATCTGGAAGTTTAAAGTCTGACAATAAAATAATTCATAATTAATACATGTAATCAACAAAAATTCAATCTCATGTTTAAAAATAAAGATTAAGCAATAAAAAAATATACATTGAATAAAAAAAGTTAATGGTGTCCTGTTCTACCTCTTGTTCCACTTGATCCTTCAGTGCTTCAAAGGACATTCCCAGCAAGTGTGAACTGGTCGCAGAAAAAGCTGCATCCTCCTGATACAAAATAAAATTGTGTGGACCTTAAATTTGGAAAATGCAACCAACCACTAACCACATAAATATCTGGATTTCCCAACCACACAAACTCTAATCTACATCATTTTTGCATCTTTAATCTCAATGTTATGAAAATGTATAACAACCATAACCAAATATTGCCTGATAGACCTCGATGGCATTCAGCTTAATAAACTTTATACTTTACTATTCCATCAGAATATATACCTCTTTTGTCAATATACTATCTTCTTTCACTTTCATGTAGGCTCTTGTTCCATCAACCCCTGTTACAGATATAAAATTCCCAGCAGGAATTCTTCTGAACACTCTGGGACGGTCGTAATCATAACCTAAAACAATATGATGTGTGCATTTTTTAATCTACTTAATCCTCCGGCATCCAATAACCAAATACCAGAAAAAAAATCCTATTATTTCAAATGTTTTATTTTTCCATCTTCTTTATTTTATACACTTTGCTTTACCACCATACACCCTAATATGCATGGGCAAAAGTTATAAAAACTGCAAATCCTGAAAATGTAGCTTACAATTTTGCATTGCATTAAGACCCCCATTTCCAGAGATTAGATCGATCTACTTTAGATCGACCTAACTCCCTGGGGGTTCATGCTAAATAGCTGTCAGTTGAGCGGACACGAAAGTTAATTACCCCCTTACAGCTTGTAGTAGGCGGGACGGACATTTAAGCCGGATTATCTGACAGCAATCTAGTGAGACTCCCCGCGGGGATAGATCGATCTAAAAGCTCTGGGAATACAGCCTAAGACTATATGAAAATAAATCAAAATGTTAAGTTCTACAGAGAACGGTTCAATTAAATGCCTGTTGGTTTACTTACTATCAAGCACTCGGGTTTGGTAAGCATCCCTGCTGTTTGTTGGCTCTGCCAAGATACTGGTTGTAGTTTTGTTTCTTTGGGCTAAGATGCGTTTCTCCAAAACAAGGGTTGGAGATGGAGGGGGCGTGATTTCAAAATCATCTAAACCTGGTTCGGGTCGATTTTTGGGTATGGAAAGCGATTTTTGAGGGGATAATTTGACTCTCTTTCTTTGTGGAGCTGTAATCAAAAGGTTATAATACAGCATGATAATTATTGATGCAGTTGCAATTTTTTTTATTTTGCACTAACAAAAATTGACAAAACAAACTCGAATCTATCTCAGTTTATCCAATGATGATTTCATAGTTAATGTACTTTCAGTAACAAAATTTCATTCCAGTGGCATATAAAACTTTTTACCTTTTATATTCCAATTTTTCAGTCCTTTGAGAATCGTGTTCTTATTTTGTTACTACTTCCACAGAGAATAGATAAGACAATAATCACAGAAATGAAAAGATTTTTTGTAAGAGAAAATTACTACCAAAGATCTCTTGACTAAATGAAACTCAATCTCTTATAAAGCCTCAGACTAACCTATCTTGGGCAAAGCCTCCTCAACATCACCATCAGAATCTGACAAATCACCAAAGACATCCTTTTCTCTCTTTTTCCTTTTGTTGGACAGATCTGAAACAAAAAGTTATGATTGTGATTTTTACATTACTTTTAGCCTTTTTCTTTTTCCAGTTATAGTGATTTTAACCAGATCGATGAAGAATTTGCAGGTATAAAAAAACGTACTTTCCAAGTTTGCTGAATTAATAATTTAGCAAGAGTTTTTTTAAAGCATTTGACTTATATTTTATATACAAGTATAAGCATGGAAATTTTTCATGAACTTGCAAATGCACTATAGGTCGATATGTACTGGGTATATGTAACAGGCAGGGCAAAATCATTGCAGGCTTAGGGGTCTTCTAAAATATGGATATTGCAAAGCCCTGCCTAGATTGTGCAGGCCCAAAATATTGTAAGAAAAGCTCAAAAAGTCAGCTGACAACTTAAAATTATGAACATATCAGAGTGGTGTGTTAGAAGTTATCCCTTGTCAATAAATGCACAAATTTGGAAATAGCCTGTAAAACTGCTCACTACTGGGTACAGATACTGTAGGGTGTTAGGCCAGAATTAGCTGTCAAGTTTGGCCATGACTGGACATAACACATGCCTGTATTTTCACTTGGACTGTCCAAAGGTGTCAGTATGCTGTCATTGAGGTCCACTGGGTCCTTGCCAGTTCCTTTAGATGGAGTGAAAGCCAGACTTCTTTTTGACTTAGGATATGGTTCATAATCTGTAAATGATATGATGCATTTTTCTCGATCACACAGTGTTGCTTAATATACTAAAATATATTTCTTCATAATATTTCAGTCATATCACCTACCAGAAATTCCAAACTTAAAAATGTATGAAGTCGCCACATGCATGTATCAAAGTAAACGTACGTTAGTACTACTACTAGCAGGGGGTGGAAACGCGCTATTTATATGATTATGACGAGCCTAACCGTCAGCACCGGATATTAGTTAGTGACCTTGAGGGGCAATTAGGCTTGGTCTTTGCGGCACGCGCGAACAGTAGTCGATCTACCACACCTGGGTCTTTTGTTTTTGACAACTGTTCACTCGTCAAGGAGGTGCTTGTTCAAGACTACTGACTGATATCTACTAGTACTACCAGTGGCTTCATTAGTAACGTTCCCACAATACATGGTTTTCTGTCTGTGCGTACATACCCTGAATTTGGTTAGCCTCACTGACGAGAACAATGGACGTTTCTTACCCCTCTCTAGGATTACCCCTGCTACTAGTAGTAACACTAGAAGGAAGCTAACAGTTAAACTACGTGAATTAACATTGAAATGAATACTTTATTACTTACAAACAATGCTGCACTTTATTCCCTACATTTGGCGACATTCTAACATGGGAAACTATGTGTTAGCATTGTTACATATGGCAGTTGAGGTAATTACATGTACGCACCGTCCATCTCATTCATCATTTCCAGTTCGTCAGCAAACATGGCTTCAAAATCCTCCTCCATGTTTTTGTTTTTGCGTCTGAAATGCGTTATTGCAGATTTATGTTGAAAAAGAGCACAGAATCATTACTAATCACCACATCAGGAAAACGTACTTGTATGTTTTCAGGTTAGTGTTTGCAAGGAGTTATAACAGAAGGAGATTACNAGGTAGTCGCCATCACGGAATTTCCCGCGTATTTCCCCATGACGAGCTTATTGGTTTCGATCTCATAAAGGCTAAGATAAGTAATTGTATCACTTGTGAATCTGTGAGTACATTATTTTTATAAATCTCAAAGAAAAACAGATAAATATTAGATATGTCTTTACAAACTTAGGTTTATTTTTGTGATGAGCTTTTCCTGTCTTCAAAGAGCACAAAACCGGCTAGTGGCGACGCCAATCTGTCAGTCAACCTGAATGCAAGACGGATGTACACGTTGTAAAATCAAGTCTCAACAAAAACATCTTGTTCCGTGTTAATAAGCAAAAACAAAGTTGACACATATTCATCACTTATCTGAGATAGTCTAGACTCATAAATAGAGTTGTTTTTCAAAGAATAAAAATTTAAACTTTGCATTATTTTGCTGCTTTTTAAAAGAAACATAATGTTATTAAAAATAATGAGAATTTTAAAGAATTAGACTTAAATACATATATAGATGTTTGAGACAAGCTTCAAGAAACCTCCAGAACTTTTTCAAGCTTAACATGTGCGCACATTTTTCACCAAAAAGACGGAAGGGTGGGCTTATACTGTAGGTCTTACTCATTAAATATGATGAATAGAAAAAACAAATGTTTTTTCTACGTTGTTTTGGAAACTTGATATAAACAAAATAAGTCAACAATCCATTTTTCAGCTCAAATTACTATTATTGCATGATAGATTATTTTTATTCCATTGTTGATTCCCACATTCACACATGTAGGTCTTGTAATTTGCACTGAAGCACGAAATTTATGGTGAAATATGTTTTTGCCTTCACAAACAAGATATTAACTGAAATCAAATTTAAGTGGACAAATGGAGTGAAACCCATTCATGTCTATATTTGCATATTGCTGGGCAAATATTTCCAGATTTCTGAAACACTAGACTTTTATTTTGATATAAAAAAATATAAAACATGTTAGCTCCCCTAACTGGACATCCAGATGTTTATTTCTAGGCCTAGCTGGCAGTTTCAAAGGGGGTATGACGTGGGGGGGGGGGGGGGGGG